ACTCCCAGGTTTTCGAATGTTTCTGTAATCAAAATAAAATCTTTATTCTTAGGACTAAAGAATGCTGCTTTGACTATGAGGAATTTTTCCAGAAGAACAGATACCCTCATGATTTCTAAAATAACAGTGAACTGTTTGTGAACAAAGAGAGTTTGAAGTTTTTTGTGGCTGAGAAACATTTGTGAGACTCATATTTGTTGGATTTCAATTCCTCTTCAGTATGCGTGTCGTTCTTTAGTGGAAGATGATCTTCATTCAGTTCGAAGTTTTGTCGTTTTACAAAAACCGAAACGTGGAAGTTAAGGGACGTTTTTTAAACATGACAGTCAGAATTTTGTTTCACAACGATATACGGAAATTGTGTTTGCCCTAGTAGTAATATGTAAAGCGCAAAATACCCTCGGGTTGCACTGACTGAAATTATTGATTTCAATCATTACTTATATTTAAAAACGAGAAGTGCATGTGTAACGACAGAAGGCAAGAGTCAGGCAACAGATCATTTATTAAGGAAATCAACGCATATTTATATATGATTTGATAGTGTGGAAAATTCCCATATTATGAATTAAAAGTCAATCTGAACGAAGAATATTCTTTTCAATAATTTCTCTTCAGGTTCTTACAACAGTTATAAAATATAATAATATTTGTTGTCGTTACAATAAAGGCCAGTTATGCGGTGGATAAATTTTTTAACGTAGAATAACAGATTAGTTATGGGGTGTCAAAATAAATAGTCGTATTTGTGTGACAAACGTGCTAGGCTGAATTCGATTACAAAATATTGTAAAACGGGAGACAATGGTGATTAATCATAATAGATTTGTAGAGTGTGGGGTAGGAAAATTGATAAGTCAGTTCAAGGTTATAAAAGGTGTCAGGTGAGTGGCTAGTACAAAGTGGGCTGTGTTAAACAGGAGATAGTAAGACTGCAATTGTGATTATTCAGCTTCCTGTTAACTGAAGGTTATACAAAAGAAATCTTTTCCTATCACCAATATAAAATCTTTTTAAGAAGCAAAAAACAAACTTTTTTTTCAAATTTTCAAAAGCTCACCTCGTTTTTATACCTTTACTATTAATTTTACTAAACTCAATAGTGTAGATTACATTACTGGACCGTTTGGTTCGACGAGCAAAAGACTGCTGAAATTTTCCTCTCTCTGTCTCTCTACTCTGTGTAGTTAACAACAACAGATTGCACTTCAAACAACTGAATAGCTTCCACGCATTGAACAGCTGAACTGAGTTCCAGGGTATCGTAATATTTTGATTGTTTCAGTGCCTGAACATTCAGATATCAGTTAAACATAATGATAGGTTTTAAGTATTATGCTTTCAGCAGCACCCACACCTACTACGTCAGCATTTAAAGTAATTTCAGATTGAATATAAAGTAAATATAAATTACTGAACGTAAAAAACGTGGATCTTTCAGTTAGACTGACTACACTGACCGACTAACTGCGTAATCTCACTTTTTGTGAGAGTAGTTAACACATTACCTAATTCGATTGTGTAAATAAAGAAGAAATAACTTTCAAAGAAGGATTGAATGAATTAAATTTCCTCCAAAAACAAAAAAATTTTAGAAATCCCATTATGAAAATACTGCAAACCCTAGGAATTTCATCTTTCAATAATAAATAAATGTTCTTATCTGAGTCTGATGTTAGCATTGCAAAAAAGGAATGAAGGTGAACCTGAGAGGAAGTAAACAAGCTGACTGACTAAATGACGGAATAATAATTCTGTTTTTAGGAAAAAAAACTAACTGAAAAAGAAAAGCACAGGTGTATACTGCTGTCGAAACAGCAAATGAATTAAGGTGTACTCATGCTTATTCATTCTCTAGCATCAGTAATTGTCTATATTTAATATCCCCATGGAAACTCCAATTTTTAAGCATTTATTGTCATCTTGTATAATGAACTGAACTTGTAAGCTTAGCATAATACATGGGATAATAGAAGGATATCTGGTTCCGGTGTGAGTAAACTCAGCTTGTGCATTAACTTATTATAACTTTTACCACTATTACTATTACTCATAAAAAACATTGGACACAACAAATAAATACAAGTAGTGGGATCTATAACTCACCAGTACAGGAAATCGATCTGTAACTGTAACTACAAACAACACCAAACATACTATGAATTTTCTGTTACGTTAAGAAAGGTGTATTCAGTAAGGAGATAAAGACATTAAAAAAAAATTTGGGGAGTTAGTTTGTGGATAGTTACTTTTACAAATTTTGTGATGTTCCTGAAGGATGTTTTAAGCTATGAAGTGCAGGAGAACTTATCTTTTGTCAAATTAACCGAAATGAATCTTGGTTATCTTCTTCTTTACGACTACTTACGTGCACTAACAAACTGAAACCACTGTTTAAATGAAGCGTTTTATTGTCTAGATGACCGTCAATATTTTCTCTAATCCTTCAGTCATCCATATAACAGGCTAGGTATGCAATATGAAAACACTATGCAGTAGTAATGTGGGTAGAAATAATCTAATGTAGCTTGCTTTATTTTATATCTGTAAAGATTTATTATGCAGTTTGGTAGTTTTAGATGAAATTCACCCCCGGATAATTAAGTTTTATTTTTTCTCAATCGCCTACTCCGGAAGCGAGACTGACGGAGTAAATATAAGGCGTTCTAGACTTGAATAACAATACATACCAATGCACAAAAACACCAACCAATCTTTATGATAGCACAGATCAGCTATTTACCGAGAAGTGGAGTAATTACGCACAAGGTTACAATCACGTATTTGTCTTCGAAAGATAAACAAAAGATATAATAAAATTTTCAGGGTAAATTAAAAGATATCCTAATGAATTTATAATTTCACTATGATTTTATATATGCCAATAAGTTAAAAGTTGTAATTCACAACCATTGATGTGTGATTACACCTTTTTCATAAACCAATTTCACTTATGATGGATTAGTGCCCAGGAAAGGAAGAAAGATGTTTAGACTGTTTGAAAAATTATATTTCACCAGAACTAATTAAAAAACTATTCAATGGACAAATTTGTTAAACAGAAGCTGTGTTTCGTTGTAATTCCTACGTCGGAGTCACTGTGATATCAGTTATGTCACGATAAGTCTTTTGGTAATTCAACTTAACAATGTAACAGTAGAATACTGAGGCTAAAAATATGCTCAGTTATGAGGCAACCATGATGTGTCACAACCGGAAAACTCGATAGCAAAGAGTCGCATGTCTAAGTCAATTTGAACTGATTTACCAGTCACTTTACGACGAAGAGAAGAGTTAAAAATTATTCCATGTGTAGAATTATGTGATAATCACTTGGTTGTATATCAGAATATAGTTACAAGAAGTGCTATAACTGCATGACAGTTTTATTTACATACTTCATTATGGCACAGCAAGATGAGTGTCAACGACAAGAGGCAAAAGAAAACCTAGATGATAAGTAAAATATCTAAAACTAGAAGGAAGTGACATTAATACGGTAAAGTTATTCTGCTTTCAAGTCTAGATAAAGATAAAGGCAAGATGCATCTCCATTGCTTCGATCGATGCTGATTTAAATACTGCTTAAGAAAACCACTGTTGAAATTCAACATGAATAGCGTCAAAAATGTCTATAAGTAGGATTCCACTTTCAATTTAAAGCAATACACTGTTACCGACAGTGAATGAGAAATAACGATACGGTGCTAACGTGTACGCATCAGGAAATCAGCTGAATGATAGCTCAGAAACTGTCGATGAAATTAAGTGTGAGTAGCTATGTCTGTGTCTTATTCGTATACGTGAACCAAGAACAAGACAAAATGGCGGGGAGGGGGTTTGTTCCACACGCCTTACTGTGATTTAACAGATTTAAGAGTTTCATGGCTTTGGTTGAGATAAAGTCAGCATTTTTCATTTACTTGAAATTGCTAATTTTTTCCAGACACACTATGACTTTGCTTTATGCATAACCACTTATCACTCACTTAGTCAAACATTATTCAACATTTGATTATCAATGCATTTATACCCACTTATCCCAATATGTTACCTGGATGTATATATCAATCAAAGAACTACTGAGACTGGTATTAATGCACATCTGCTTGCTATGACCCAACTCGATAGAAAGAGTATCCGAACAAATGCTGGCTTCAGTCTTATAAAAGGGAAGTTTTCAAGTATACATTGTGGAAGAGTTCAATGACGGATAACTTCATCTTTCTATGGCTACTTTATTTATGAAAATACTTCTGTTGAGGACTTTCTGTCATTCAAAAAAGCATTTATGGGAAAACCTCGTAACCAATGGGAACATTTCACTACAAAGTAAAAGACATACAAATAATGTTACGATAATGTATAAAATCAATTACTAGGATTTGGCATGCATCAATGACTAGTTTTCTTTAGTTAAACCTAATTCATTTAGCTTTACTCATAGATTGTAATTGTACTGTTGATGGGATTACATGAATTGATCATAATGTCATAAAACTGTGCTAGACTAATTGGTCAAGTGTATTAACTTGTTAAGAGTAACGTCACTCAATGATTAATGAAGTGCAACCGTGTGACGTTGCTCTGCTTATGTGAAGTGCAAGTGCTTCAACCTGTTTCATACAGTAAATAAAATTCAAACTGATTATTCATCCTATGGGAAGTATGCATTATTTGTTATATATATATATATCTTACTTTCTATAATATTCATAAATCTTAAATTTCAGGAAAAGTGACCGCCCAAATATTTTTCTAATGGAGACAATCGTAAATGTGTCACATGTTGGAAAAGAACTATGATTATTGCATTGTGTGTCTGTTAAGCCATATTGGACAATATAGACCAATAGTCATCACGTGGTAGAATTGCGACCTTTGTTAACCTAGAGTTTATAATTTGATTGGCTAAAGAATTACAGCCAATTTATTGGCTGGCAATTTGATTCTTATTTTCATTCGGACGGCTGAACAGACATTACTGATTTCGAAACAATATGCAACTGACGATGGATACTGGAAAATCTAAAGAGATGCTTTTTGATCCCAAGGAAGAGCATGATGCTTGTGGTGTCGGCTTCGTAGTAAACACCAAGGGTGTGCGTTCAAACAAGGTATGTAATATATACTTTTCCTTTTATTGTACCATAAGAATACATGAAATCACATTCGAATAATTTAAAATAAATGTCTGGTTAAAATACCTATTTAAGATAATTCATTCCTCCAAAATAGCTGTACAATATCTGCTGAATTACAATCATTCTTGGGAATGAATATTCATATTCTCAAATCATTATGGAGAGTTAATGGGAAAACAAAACTTTAAAGTTGTCCTGATAACACTAATTCTCCTACTAAAGGAATTTGTTGTCACTCTGAGAATTTCCGTGCATTGCAAGAAGTGATCAGTGACCTTGCAAACTTGACTCATAGAACCCAGTCAGCACGAAAGTATAGCCAAGATAACATCGGTTGCTCTAAAATGACACACTAATGGATCTGGCTCAGTCCTAAAGAAGGCTACCCGTGACCCAGATAACATGGATGCAAAGTATTTGAAAGCAGTGTAAGATGGCGCAGGTCGAAATGCTTGAGGGGAGGGACCAGTACCCTGGAGACTCAAGGTACTCCAATCTCATGAGCGATAATAAGCATGAAATTTAAGTTTACAGCACAGCACAGCACCAATTACCTACAATTATCTTTTCTTTTAATAAATGACTGCTTATTTAATCAATCACTGATGACATTTCACCACTTTTGTTTCATACTGATTGGAATTCTATCCCTCCATTTACGAAAATATGTATTCAGTCAATAAAACTGCCTAGTTATAAATTCTGTGGCACTGAAAAAACCATTTTGCATATAAGGAATAAGAGTAAGTGACTATAAATTGATGTTATACGGCCCTGAAGTCACCAACTAGAAAGCTTTTCGACAACACTTAACAGGGATTGAAAATATAAAGGGCTAGGAATAACATATACATATATATGTATATAATTAACTGTACATTATATAATGGACAGAACGTTTAAGGTACTCTGAGCAGACAAATTCTATCACTAGCAGAAAGAATATATGGAATTAGGATATAGACAGGTTTGTTCTTCTTACAGTTCTTCTTCAGAATTCAGCCTTTCTTTTATAGATATCTTCCACTAAAATTCTTGTTTCATGAGTATAATCGGTGTTACAGGATTGCTGCAGTCAAAGATTGAATCTACAGTAGAAAGTTAACTCATTTCATGGGGACATTTTACTGATACACTAGTGCAAAACTACGAAATAGTTGCTTTCTTGTTTACTAGTAAGTGTTACTCATCTAGCTTCAGCAGTCAATTAGGAGGTGATTCTGAGTTAGGTAGATGTATAAGAATATACTATATACTGTGCAATAATTGAAGATTAAAACATGGAAATCATTTTCATTTTACAAAACGGTCATGTAAATTTAACTACCATAGGAAAACGTATTAGTTTCTAAGTATGTGATGTACTAAAACGCTGAGACATTATATTGTTTCAGTTGATATGTGCTGATGTAGACATAATCAAGGTTAGCGAGAATATCCCTGGTATTATTCTTCAGAAGCAACTGTTCACTGACACTTTGCATAAAAACACACACGCGCACACATAATTCCATGAAGTAAACAGGCTTCAGATTTCTTTTCCTACTGTTTTCCAAAACGCTTGCCTAATACTTGTTCATTTATTTTCACGAATTAGTAGCAACTAAGGCAATGCATACACATAATTTGTGTATGTCTATGTTTCTGCGCCGAGAACGAATAAAGATTAAATACATTTCATACACACCTTTAAGTTCTCGATTAAAATTACTGATTTTTGTGTCATGTTTACATGAATTTTATTTTTTTATTAACAAATTAAAAAATATTTTATAAATCAGATTATGCACATACTAGTGCAAACATGAATTTTTATTAAACCCACCTCTTTTATTTCTCGTCTGGTAAAAATTTTTTGTCTTCTTATACGACAAAATTACTCTGCAGTAATCTTTTATTCTACCGACATTTCAACTTTTTGGTTCGTGCTTTTCAAAGAATAGGCTTTTTATCTCCAAGAGCACACGGCTTATCGCAATTAAACCAATTTTGTTTGCTTGAAGTAAAAGATTTTATCAGTGTTGATAGCTGCGTAGTAATAATGCGTAGTTCCATTATTAGTATGCGCGTTTTGTTTCAAGTAATTTGTCTTCATATGTTTGTGGTTTTTTCGTAAGTTAAATATAATTGGCTTATTCGGCCAATAAGAGTTAGGTTACGATGAGTAACATACGGAATTTTCATTGAATCAGTGTGTGATTGTTGTCTTTGGGTGTTGCAACAGCAGTCTTTCTCATTATTGTAGTTACGGATGTCTAAGATCTAGGTAAATCATAAAGTCCAAGGTAAAAGGAAAGGATATAAATTACTCTATCTCACTTTTCTCAACAATTCAAGAGACTTGTGTCATACTGGCTCTACTTAACACACGACTAGGTATGAAAGATGTGCAGTTAGGTTATCAGAAGCACTAATAATGATTCAAAGCAACTTGATCCAGTCACCTGAAACTCAAATTACATTAAGTGAATGTATTAGGAGAAACATAATTAAGTGCTAAAAAATGCATTCTTATTGTACCAGAAGTGAGTCAGTGGTCCAGTAGTAGAATGCTCACAAACGACGCACGTGGTCCAGGTTCAACCCGCACCCGACTTACTCTTAGACCTCTCTTATCCGGTAGTGAGACCAATAAAGATGGAAGGTTGGGCGTAAGGCTAGAAATCGCATCCTGTAAATAAACACCAATGTTACTGAATAATTCAAAGCTCAAGCTTAAAGCCCTACGGTCTACTCTGAACCCAAAGGGATGAAGAAAATATTCCAGAATGATGATTGCTGCACAATTATGTACATTTATAAATTTTTGATGAAAGCTGTTGTCGAGTAGCACTTCATTTTCCTCATATTATTTTGATTTATGTGCCATAAGTTCTATGCCTAAATTAGTTGTTCTACTTACTGACATTATTTACTTCACTATGAACTATACAACGAATACCACTACTTACAGATGTTCAAAAGTCGAAAAATATTCGTAACTGAATTATTGCATATTAAAATACCAGAAAGTGTTGTTGTTTTTGTTATTCTACGGTCAGTTGGTTACTGTTCGAGAAATGTTTACTTCCTAAATTCATCATTCTATAGCAAATATTTCCCGATACTACATAAATAAGTTAAGATAACATAATTGATGCAATAATAGACATGTAGTCTGTACAAGATGAAAAGTGGATTCGATTGAGACCACTCAGTAACACTGGAACTACATATACCATTTCCAAGTGATTTACCTTAAAATAATTCAGATTTCATCATTACACTACATCATAGATTTCAAATAAAAGGACCGATGTCACTGATAATCTTTTTTTGTAACATTAGATACTAGGTCTAATTCGTCGTGTATTCGATATTTGGAAATCCATTTTACACTAATGTATTTACTGTTCAAGGAATTTATGGATCTTATATCTCACTTTTGAAGTGATCAGTCCTCAGTTCTGTGTAGAAGTTTCGCAAAGTAAAATGAAAGATGAATCCGGTAGTTTTAAAAATAGTATAATTAAATATTACTTCTTTTTATATTATTGATAGAAAGGTTGAAACACACATACTCCAGTGGAAAATAGGTGAAATAATGAGTATTTTATTAAGAATGAACACAGCTCATGAAAGATGTGTAACTGTTAACACTAGTTAACACTTTGATACTACAATCGAATGCTTTATGTCTATCTATAAAGTTTAGAACAGTAAGATTTTTTGTATTTCAAAGAACTGGGACATAATTTCTGGATTTGGTATCATCACTGCCTTACACCCAACTTACAGTATAACATGCCAATAAGTACTTTTAATTCCAGGTAATTACATTAATCCTATGGTCTTGGCTGAAATGAAGTTATCAGTACTGATGGTTACAGCTTCATCATATGAGTCACAATTTATCCAGTGACCTTAACTAAGATGCAGAACATATTCTGTACACTTCACTGTATGTTGCGGATATATTTCTAAAAGCATTCTGAAATATTCAGAAAATAATTTAGTTTAAGGTACATAAGCTGTCATTTTTTTTAGAAAAATATGCATCTATCGATTTATGGCATTTTACTATGCATATTCTCCTTCAAATAGTCATTCTGACCTACAATTTCTAATGCATGTTGTATATACAACGTAGCACTTACTGATGTATTTTGTGGTGTCATTGTATGCATAGTGTAATAAACTGCAGATAGTCGAAGACAGACACACATACTCTTTCTTGATGTAAACAGTGTCTTGATGAGTTTTCTTTAAAGTACACACTCACATGACCTATCGTCATTTGACATAATTTTTGTTTACTTAGTCTACACTGCGATTAATAAGTTCTGTACGCAAATATGCGGAATTGATATGTGTACACACAAACATTACTTATGTGAACTTTGGTCAACTTTTGACTGAATAGTTGCACCAACATCTGGCCTTCTATGAGATGCGTATATTTTAAAAAATCTCGGCGTACTAGTAGTAAAGTAATTCCGAAGTTTCACACGACAGTCTGCTTTTAGTTTTTCCAGCGTAACAGCCGAATTAAGAAAGTATGTCTGAATTCAATCTTTGCTCAATCATATTTTTAGACATTATTTTTGATAGGTTATTCACCATGAGTTGTAAAGAATGAGGCTAAAGGTTATGGTAACCTATTGTTTGGCACAAGGAGTTTTGTATAACTCTGCTCTCCAAGCATTAGTGCGTTTTTTTACCATCTGTATAGCACTGAGTTTAGAAAAAAGGGTCAGTGGTTAGTAAGTCAGTTGACAGGTACTCTACCTATTTTACAGTTGCAAGGCATATTAAAATATTGAAATGGGAAACTCACAGAAAGCTGCTTAATTTCAAAATGAACTATGTTGTGAATCACTATTTGTGCAACACCTCGGTCGGTTTTCGACATAGAACTTTGCACATGTGTGCGGCAGTTCAAGTCGCCACACTCCATGTAGCACACAAAGCAAGAGCAGAAAGTAGGAGAAATGCATAATATAGGCAGTAAACAGAGGTGTGAGACAAAGGAATAGTAATAACGAAGAATAATAGAGTTCGATTGGAAATCATAAGTTACAAGGAGTGGATGCATCTGGGCCACTGAGAACGATTTTGAGCCATGTCACCAATTGTTTCCAACCATTAGTTTTTACCATTCCGAGGACCCCAACTAGGAAGTCTACATCTTCCTACGTGGCTTAGACTAACTGTTGTGGATTTCATTGACTGGTGCCATGTTTTCGTTTGACCGCCGCTAGCTCTTTTCCAGCTTGGCCCTATATCAGCTAACATTGCCCGTCGAGGAAGGCGATGACTAGGCATACGTAGCACATGTCCTAACCATCTCAGTCGATGTAATTTCACAGTCTCGTCTATTGATTTCCCCTCCTTACCTAGCACTCGACGCCTAACCTCAATATTGCTCACCTTATTATTCCACTTCACGCGGGAGATAGAACGGAGGCGTCTATGATCAAACACAGCTAATCTTTTCATGTCTTCCGCTCTCAATAAGCTTTAACCATTGAAGATGACCACACTGACTGTTAGGACCGCTGTTCGCGGATAATAACTGACGAAAGTTGTGTCTTTTCTCAAATTTTATCTAGTTATGAAAAACATGGCTAAGTGGTAGCGCAATCTCTGTCCGACATAGTTTGACTTTGCAGCCAAGTAGTAATTTCTGGTTTTCACTGAACTGTTTAGTAAACTTTGAGTAGACAGAACCTTGCGATAAAGTTATTTGTTAAGATATGAGTCAAAGGATAGATGAATACATTTCTAGTCAAAGATGAAAGTCAATAAATGTATATAGAGAACTAAAGTTACCGTATGTTAATGTTAAAGTGAATGCTCTTTGTGTATAAAGTGACACTAGTCTGAAATTTGCAACTACATCTAAAAATTTTCTGTATACCATCTCTGAAGTGGATATTTCACCAGAAAGTGATATGAACTAGTGAAACGGGTTAATGCATGTTCATGGGTTTCTAATCAATCTGGTGTTGCATAACTTTCCTTAAAACATTCACGGTCGGTTTTCATCATTTGAAACTGCGCTCGTCATCGTGCTTAACTCCACTTTAAAATATTGCTACTTTTTCCATTATTGTAATTACTATTATTATTATAAAACAAGATTAACATCAGTCCTCATTAGCACTATAACTCGTTTCAACCACTTATCATTCTGGTTCATATAACCTTCCATATAAACACATAGAAGTGGGTAGCAAACAAAGGAGTCGACTTTAAGGGACATAAAATGCTTTATCAGGCTTTAACTCCAAGATTTTTCATTACGAACCTACACTAACTACAGAATCGCTAAAGCTCTGAACAGCTGTTTATTTCTAGCTCCTTCGGCTTTTCCGAATAGTGATTCCAATCAGACCCTTAACATAGTCCAACAGAATACTAAAACCTTGGGTAGTTCTTATTTAATAATTCTTCATAAACAACGGATACCCATGCCAGTAACATTGTGAAATTTCGTATTTGCATGTAGATATCAGGGGACAACGAACCCGTTCTCATGTTTAAATGTTACTAGTCGGTAAGTGGTGCCTTTTAGAGACTATTTCTCGCTACAGTATTCGACTGACACGAAAATTTTAATCCCATATTTAGTTTATTATATTTCTACTGATACACTGTTATTTTAATCTCATTATTTCTAATCCTCTATAGGTACTGAAAGATGCAAAGGTTATGCTGGAACGTATGGATCATCGAGGAGCATGTGCTTGTGATGAAGATACAGGGGATGGTTCAGGTGTAATGACTTCAATACCTTACGAGATATATCTAGAGTATGCACGGTAAGTTCAAGTAGTGTGGAGAAATCCTCATGATTTATTTATATATATGTAAACACGACAGAAGCTTTCTATTTCATTAGTAGTATTGCCATAAATAGTAGCAATTACATGAATGCAATCTATTTCAAAGTGTAATGAAGAATAACATTCTACAAAAAAAACTTTTGTTGTTTGAAGTAATTTTTATTTAGACAGAAAATTTATTTTCCAATGAAATTTATCATGACTGATAAATTTTCTACCTTCACTTTTGAAGAAAACACTGATTTGAAAATCACTTTTAGTTTATATTTTTTAATATTAGGTTTTTGTTGTTTATTAAATGGACATGTTTATGAAGAGATAGTGACAAATAATCAAATTGTTTCAGGGACTACTGAAAATCAGATAGCATTTGATTATTGTATTATATCGCACAATTACCAGAAATGGAAGGTCATCGGTTCGGATGGTCTAGAATTTTTTGACTTCCATTCAACTAACAGCTGCTAATTTGATACAATAGTTTCAACCACATATGACAGTAACCCAGCTGCAGTATACTGGCTAATATGTATGACATCTAATCATTCCCACAATTAGGTCAGACAAAATAAAGTAAATCACTAAGATGTCGTTGTAGATAATTTACATTACAATGAAGGTTTGTAGGCTAAGGTATACCTCTTGTTCACTGGGAATGTCAAAAGGTACTTTTCTCTACTGAATCACATTTGCATCCGACTTTTATCTTCATTCTGTAAGCCAGAGATTTTATAGGTATACGAAATGATAGCCATTCATCCACCTACACTTTGCGACTTTTCATTTCCACTGGTCAGGTACTTTCTGAAGTGGATGTTTGTTTACATCTGTGACATTTGAAGGCATTACTTCAAAATTATTCCGAATGGATGTCAAAGAAACTGCTGAAAAGAATATCGGCTCCTATTCTGTAGACAGTCACGCAGTATTGGATTCTTTTGCATTTTCTGTAGTACTCAACATTTTCTGACCATTTTAATTCCCATTCTTTACTGTTATTGTCATTTGGGCATTTTGTTCTTGTTGTTACTGATAGCCTAAAATCATAGGCAGTATTCTCAATCTTTTCAAAACTTTAGTGTAACTCTGATTACATCAGGAAATAACTTTCACTAGCCAAAATGCTGAAAGTACGTAGAATAGTGTGTATACAAGACTCCAGTGAAGTTATTCATATGATATTAAATTTCTCAGCTGAAGATATATGAAAGATATCTTGTACTAGAAGTAATTTACTGACACTTCAAGCATATTTTAACTAGTGAAGCAAACGGCTAGTTACAACGTAGTTTATCAAGCATTATGTTTAAAGCAAAATACATATACCGGTTATAGTACTTGACTTCAGAAATAAATGCATAGAGTAGAAATATATTAGGAAGGTGTTTTTGTGGCTGTATCTATGATACGGCTAGTTTGGAACAGGAAAGTTCGTATTTCTGTCACTAATTACCATAGTTAGTGACTCTACTTCTAAACTGTCCAAGACATTATTACTTCCTTGTGGGATTCAGTGGTGGACAGAAATTGCTCTCTAGGTGGAAATCTAAATTTGTTAGTCTGAACCTATTTATTAATCAAGTGTCCATGGTCCTTTTTTATATAGTATGTGACTAACTACTTTATGAAGAAATTTATCTGGGTGATATTTGTCTGAACTGTTAAGTTTTCACTTTTCTTTAAATGTAGCGTAGCTATCCTGTTAATCAGTTTCTGATAAGTTAAGATCAGACAGACTTCCCTATTTTATTGAATGAAAAGAAGCGATATTAAGTTTTTAGTATGCCTATATTTCTGAAAGGGCATTTAGTGCATTATGCATCATTGTCCATAATTGTATTAATAGAGTCATATTATTTTAAGCATTTAGCCTTATGCCTACAAAGTTATTGCTACAAGAAGCAATAGATAAATGTTGTAACCGGTGATGATTGAAGACAAAATGGAAATTCGTGTCGTTGCGTAATTCAGAACAGCGGCTTTGAGATTAGTAGTCCAGTAGTGAAGCTCAGAAATCATCATCTATTACATAAATATCAGTCTGCCAGTCGTGTGGTAGCCTCATCAACAAATAAATAACCAAACAAACTTAATGATTACTTGAGTTTTAATAGGAAAAAGTGTCTTTTAAACACTCAAGAAAATTAAGTTGTCACTTAAGGGACTCTGAAGTTACATTCTTGCACAAGCAAATAGACTAAGTTCATAAATGTTGTTGTTGCGGTCTGAATATTTCACTCTTCTCTTCAGTGTAAGGTACTTCTCGTAATAACTCGCAAAGTCGCTTTTATTTTCTGGATAGTTTAAAATTTAACACCTCTAAAAACTTGATAATACCAAACAACTTAAAAAATTTAATAAAATCTATATATTATTGAATCTAACTTTTAAGAGAATAAGAGGTTTGTATTTTGTCACATTCAAAAACAATCCTACCAGATAAGTTTATCTAGCCCAGTAGACAAAACTCCTAATCTTCTAAGCAGCTTTAAAACAGTGGATAGAACAACTATCCGCCAGATTATAATTTTCACTAGCTGTTCTTCTAAAATGGTTTATAGTGAATTTTATTTTAACTTATTGTAAACAAGTATGATCGAATGTTATGTTGTCAGTTAGACAGGATTAGCCTGTCATTTGCAGCAGATCCAAACCACAAATGTGGAAAAGACATGTATGCAAATGACAGATGACCGTTGATTGTATGCAAAAGGAAGAACAATATATCTCGGTCAAATAACACTTTGTCTAGAGGAAAAATAAACGAATTCGGAAGCAAGTGAGTAAATCGGAGTGATGCTGTACTGTACTGATCTAGCTGGACATAACTGCATTAGTTGTGTAGGAATTGGCCATTAACAAAGATATTCATAATAATAAGAATTTAAGTAGGCTGATAAGTGTAGTGGGATAAAACACGGCTTGTTAAAGGATACTAATCAATGGTATATGATTACTGATCACTGCATATTTTCCTTTTAACTATGAAATACAAGTAGATAATATGAAAAGTAATTCAGTCATATCAGTCATGTCCCATATCACCTTTTATAGCTAGTACTTCAGCAAGATTGTGCTTTTTCTGAAACTAAATTTGAACTGGAATATTGTTATCTGATGACAGGTTTTGTCGCCGAAATCCTTAGAAGTGCTCACAGTACCACTGAACTGCCATATAAATGATCTCATTACAATTTATTATTAACGCTTTATCGCCTCTAGTGACCCAGCGAACTAGTCACTACTAATTTAAGAGTAGTTTTTAGAATAGCTTTAGCATTTATTTGTACTTAAATCTTTACACTAAAAGTCTGCTATCTTTTCCTTAAATGCTTTTTGCCGGTAAAAATGTTTAGAAAAATGCTGTAGACGATTATTCTGATGACATTTTGTGTTTGACACATCAGTCTGAAGTGAGTGCAATACAAATGACTGTATAATTCAAATGCATCGCTGTATAGAGCACTTGTCCAGTCGTAAAGGGATGAACAGTGGATATAAAGAAATTTAGGACTAAACGGTAGGTTAACAGGTTGGATCTCTGTTGTCTTTCAGGAAATATGACCAGAAAATCTTCACAGTCTAAGGGAAATAGTTTTTTTTCATTAAGTCCTATAATTTGTACGATAATATTCAATCAGAACACACTAACTTATTTAATTTATCTGTGGGGTTGTAGTGTATTCTAGAAACAGTACACCAATTATATTATCTGTTCTCTTAGTACTCATATTCATTCATTACTAACATCATACTTCTGTTTATTTAGATATTTTACTTATCACTACTGTTGTGAATTACTTTTGTTTAAATACACAGTGAAGCCAACGTTCAGTTACCTCCAAAGGGTCAATTTGCTACTGGTATTATATTTATACACGATCGCAACACTACAGTCGATGATGTGATGAAGCAATTTTCAGAATTATCTGAGGAGTGTGATCTAAAAGTAGGTTTTTAAAATTTCGTTGCTAAAATTACGAAAATCTGTTGTTAAAAACAGTTGTTAAAGACGGATATATAAGTTTAAATGGCAACATTCAATGGGATTTTTTGAGTAACTGGTTTTCATACAACACAATACTCATTTCTGTTTGAGACTAACTTATACTTTCACTACTTAGATAATCTCATAAAACCACTGACTAATGATAATTAACAAAGTTGTAAATAGCTTTCTGCATAAATTTTGACCAGAGTACATTGTTTCATACAGGAACGACTAACCGGATGGTAAACATGGTATCATGTCAACAAACAGGTAACCTAGTCTTAGAATTTTTTTACCTGTGTATCCCTACAAATGTCCAACATAATTCCAGAATAGTGATCATATTGTCAGCATTATTTATTCATTAAATGGGCATTTAGAAAGCAATCGCTTGTTCCGAGTCCACTAAACACAAGGAAGATTTTATGTTGAAACTTCTCAGCATCACTAGCTAATTAATACCTAAGCTTGATATGAGTATCTAGATATAGCCTAGATAAAGTTAATACCTAAGCTATTTTGTAGACTAAGGTACTCAAAGGATATGAAAGTAAAACAGTTTTAATTGCTGTCTTGAACAGCAATTTGCAACTCAACAGTTTGAGAACAATCCTGAGTTGATGCTGTATCTGTTGCTCTAATGTAAGAATGTTCTAAAATGACCATAATAAAAACTTATACGTTTTTCATATCGTATCTCAATATTTCCTGCCAATCTGCATCGAAAATCAGAATTTTGATTTGTTTCACTGGAGGGCCTGCTACTGACAGTTTCAACTCATAAGACATTCTTATTATATAACTCACAGGTCGAATCTTAGTGTCAACTCTGTCCAATTTAATTATTTTGTAGATGCGGTGATGGCGCGTCATTTAAAAAAATTTAAGCAAACTTGAGTGCAGTTTTGACCTGGAAGACTTTTAGGTCTTACAAGAAGTATTTCTGTCTGTATTTCAATTTTAACTGACAACCATATTTTGGATTATCGTCAACGAAGGAACTACTGTTTAGTTGTCTTCGAAATACTGTCATTAGGAGAATTAATCTGAATTTATTTGACACTTTGAAACGAATTTTCTTAAATTAGACTATGTTAGTGGTCAATATCACAAATTCAGTCGTTAATAACTCAATCTTTGTGATTATATTGGAACTGTATTAGTAAAAAAAGATGACCAATCATATGATAGACCAAACGAATCCTATCTGACACACGTGACGTCCACTGTTTTGTTAATTAGGGTTAGATATAAATGAAATTTTGAATAGACCTGTCCAAACTCTAATCTACTAGATACATATCCTAAAACAAACAAACAGTTTTATTGACACACAGTTTGTTTCTAGCTCATATAACCGTTATGATAATTCAGGTGAATAATGGAAATAACATTATGCTAATTTTCTCTAAACAAGCAACCATAAATTCTCAATATCTTGTCACAAAAATTTATTGAGTAGAGCTATTTTTAAACTTCTAAATAATTGAAGAGTAGGTTATCAGATGTATTCACCAGTGTCCAAAATATACATACTTATCTTCATTGGCGCACAAATTCCATCACCTGAATTAACATTATACAGAGCATGAAAGATGAATTCCACTGGTAGGTTTGTTTTTCAGACAAATTCAGGGATGGATAGATAAATCGAGAATGATTGGAATTTCTGATATAAGCTGAGCTTTTCATACTTAGGATTTAGTTGATCAAAAGGGATTGTGCCTGAAAGGACATCGAGTAAGAAGCCAGTTAGAACTGGGGATCGGAGAAAAACATTCTTTCTACTATGGTACCTATCAAGAATATGTAACATTGTGAGCTTGGCGTTCAAACTATGAAGCCATTATTATTGTGTTCAGCGTAAGAACTTCTAACACTTAATTGTAGAGTTAAGCGAGATTGTAGGATGCAGAAGATAGGAAGCTGCGTTGGTGAGTTATTCGGGTTTTAGAATAAAAGATTGTAGTCGGTTACCTGCATCGAAAGGATAAATAACATCAATTTATAATTTTACAGCATTTTTGTGCAATTATTCATAAGGTAAAATGATTTCATGAATGAACTGTTAACGACTGGAAACTGTAATTAATTCTAAACATAGCAGATCTTCAAAAGCCCAGTCCAACTTTCTTATTTATCACTCTGTAAAATAGGCTGACAAAATATGATCAAACCTAAACCTTTTTGATTAGACACTAGTAACTAGTGTGATGTGTCTAGTCCTTTCTTTGGTGCAGACTGAATTCTATCAGTCAGGTTTGTAATGTGGCCACCATTCTTAGTAGCTCACCATCACGGTGCACATTGGTTTAATGATATTAGATAGTTGGAGGCAATACGCAGGAAGCCTTGAACCTAGGTTTCGTGCTAGTTGGCACTCACCAGTCAGCATGGCGTATCTGCACCCTGGAAGGAATCCATGTCCCTTTTGAGATTCGAACCCGCGTCACCCAGTGCTGCAGTCAGAGACGTTACCACCTTATATTTGTTTAGGTCCGAGGTAGCCTGATAACACTGTCAATGATCTTGTGCATGGATCCACTAAGAGGAAGTTAGCACTAATCAACAAATCAGTACCGTAATTTCAAATTTGAATATGAGTATCTGTTCATAGGGCTGTCTCCCGGTTAAAGTGATCTGCAGCTGTATGTATCAGCTAGGAATGAATTTCATATTGCCAAATAAAGTGAGATAATACAGAAACTCTATATATCGCCTGATCCCCCATGTTTGACTACTTTCTTTTTTTCCGTGAGTAGATTTTAATACAGTGAATACTGCATCAAAGATACTTTGGTTTGAAAGCGAATTCAAAAGTTGAGAAAGTCTCTGTTAGCTTCTTTTTTGTTAATTCAACGATCTGTAACAGTGGAAGTTAGAGAAATTCTCAGTAGGGAAATAAGCTGTATCAATTCGTATATTGACACATTGTAGAAAAAGTGGTGACTTCCATAAACCACTCAAAAACACATTGTTTTGAAATCAGAGACATTTAGAGAATATTAGAAATGCATAGTAAGCTGCTTAGTAAGTAGTGTCATCTAGTACCAGAAAAAACATTAGGCACAAATAGACTTTTAAGATGGATCTATAATAAAAGTGCGTCGGTGGCATAGCGGTTAGGACGCTCGCCGACCATGTATATGGTCTGGGGTTCGATCCCCGGCCGGCGCACTCCTTTACCTCACTAAGCCAGAAATAAAGCTGGTGAAGAGGAAAGGTTGGGCATGAGGCTAGCAACCCCATCCTGTTAAATGAACACTGCTACAGAAACTTCAAGCCTCTAGCTTGAAGCCCTGTGTTCCACTGGGAACGTGAAGGAATAAAAAAATATATATGTATAATGTTAAATTAAATTAATAATGTTATTAATGTCAGCCAAATACAGCACACTGAAATGATATACTCAAAAAAGACAGTTTCCATCTAGCATGTATGACAAATTCAGAATTAAAATTACGAAAGCATTATGATTGTACACGTTTGGGAACTGTAACAAACTTCGTCACACAATTTCTAAATTCATTTACTGTGGGAATTGTTACATCTTTCTACATAAATTATCGAATACCAGCGCGAAAACGCTCATTTGATTTTTTCAGCCAGTAGAAAAATGAAAATATATTCGTAATACCATTTTTTTCTTGGAGAGCGGCTTTGTAAACTAGGATTTAAACTGCTCACTAGCGGTAACCATAATGCTACGTAGTGAATGTCAAGTATTTGATTTTTTTGAGTATTGGACGTTTAAATGTGATGGTTATCAAAATAAATACAAAATTATTATTATTATTATTACAAAATGTATCAAGTTTATGAATACTGTATTTCTTAGTTGGATATACTACGCACATATTCCCATTATTATTATTATTATAATATCGAATATGCGAATTCGGTGTGACGCAGTTTATGTAACTAGAAAAGGCTGAGCATGCTTTTTGGTTGAAAAGTTTAACTGCGCAGTTAAAATCATTGATAAAGTGCTCCAATGAAGTGCACAGATTTTATCACTTTTATCCAGTAATAATTAGATTACGTAAATAGATTATTTGTTTCAGTGCAATGTTCCAGTGTGATGAGTGACTGTCTGTCCTCAAACACAACTTGACAAAGTCCACCGATCAAGACGTCTCACAACAACTTCAGAAAGTCCATCTCATTCACTTAGGAACAATGGATTAATTTTCAGTTGTTGGTGTTCACAAATTTGGGTGTGAGAACTGATACTTGTTCATGACATTGAATAGTGGATGGTGATCCTACACAGTAACTTCACGCTTACCGCTACTTATCAACTGGATATGTGTATAATGTTAGAGAAATTAGTACCCTTCGCGCTGCTTGTCACCTCTGTTTACTTGACAGCTGTTTAGTTCTCGATAAAAAGCTAGAAATCAAACTCCACATCATTTACAACACAATGGGTGACCGCTTTTTATGATGAAGTAATTTACTTAAAATTTTTCAAATAGGACAACATGACTCTGTGGTTAAATTGTAACAAAATTTATTGTTTGTTTTTGTTTCTCATATCTATTTTGCTTACATTAATTTCCGTTTTAACATAGAGGGATTTAGGAAATTCAAAATGGGATAAATCCAGGTCAAATGAGGTGTCTATCTCTTACTTAGATACTGGTGACTTAGAGTAAAAAGGGAAGAAGGTTGCGTGAATGTGATACGCATTGACAAGTACAAATTTAAAATTTGTTTTCGCTCCCTGAGTATATCACATATTCTTTGTTTCCTACATTTCTTTAGCCTCGTGAATTGCGTTATTCACCGTTATGATAAACAGTATATATGCCAACAAATATGGTACAAATCTGTGTCGGCCGATAAAAAAAGTACTTCATTATAAACTGTGAACATTTATGAATGAAATTTACTGAGTAATTCATGGGTTATCCGCAAAGGAAGGGCTTTTGTTAGAATAACCTACTCGATTTATGGCCTTTCACTACTTAGACATCAAATATATCGAAGAAAATTCTTTCATAAGCTACGGAGTTCGTTTGTAAACTAGTGGGTGATTCCCATCCGCCTGTTTATCAGCAATCATAATACTTAGGTGGTTTAGTTCTCAAGGGTTCGGTTGGTTACAAAATCAATTTAGCCACGAACAAATGGAAACAAGAAGCATAAAACAGATATTGCGTCCTTCTTTGGGATGTAACTAATGTTGATCACTTACGCCTTGATGGAGCAGTAATTATTTAGCTGTTAGTTTTGAAAGCAAACTTATCTCAATTTACCTCAAAGATTTCGAAAGTGAAAGACTATCTTTGTCAATCTTAGTAGAGGTCACAGCTTTTGCTTAGAACCTATCCCATCCAAAAGTTATTAACTGATGAACACTGCATTCGAAGTCATTTGAACTGGGATAACAACAGGCTCTATTTACAGACTGGGATGAAAAATCTGGTCAGTGCTCCTAGGTTCTAAATAAATCACCAACTGATTTAAGTACGTGAAGAACTTACCTTGAATATAGACCCATTAATCTGCTTTTGTGATATTCTGAAGAGGTTAAAAATATGCGACCAACTTATAGTGAAAAAAATCTACCTTTAATATTCGCAGGTCTACCTCACTGTGACTTTAGCTAAAATTTGAAAAGAACATGCACATACCCTATTGACGTTAATCTCAGTTTGAATCCGACTTGGTTTTCAATTGGAATAAAATTATTTTTAATTTTATGTAATCATATTCCGTTTCACTCTTTTCATCCTCCTTTGAGTTTTTATGTCATCTACTCACATCTCATATTTAAATGAGTTTATTTTCATTGCAGGATATTAATGGATTTGTACCTGAATGAGCATAAATCACTAAGAAAATGAGGAAAATAGCATAGGGAAGTTGGCAAGAATCACTCGTTTCTAGCAGAAATTCAGGTAGACAAAAATAGTGAGTGGGTAGTGATTGAGTATGTGTTTGTGTGTGTGTGTGTAAGGGAGACAAAGAGTGAGAGGAAGAGAAGGAAAGTGGGAAAAAACTCTACTAAAAAGATACAGAGAGTAATATAGGTATTTTGATACTGTTGCATAAAATCTTAAATAAGGTTTGATAATCACGTGTAGCTTGACAGTATTCGCTTCTCTTGTGAAAACGAGTAAGTCTGTTCCTACTCATCGATTTGGCTTAACAAGTATTGTCAGCTTAACTGAAAAACACTTTACATTAAGTAACCTAACAAATGAAATGAATATTTTACTATGCGATAGCATTGTGTTTATGGTGCTGAAGTGAAATATGAAATGCACAAAAAGAATGCATGTTTCTATGGCAGCAGATTAATGCTATGATACTTTTGCTGCAGAAAAAATCACTAGAGGAAAGTTCCTAATTAGTAAGATCTTTTATATTACTAGATGATAACAGAAGTGTTGCCTTTTTAGGTAAAAAAAACCTGCATTCAAAGAATAGTGATGAAGAATTCAGGTTGTAAATCCCTGTGACCGAATAACACTTTGAATGTCCACAAACACTTATTTCCTTTGGTCATTGCTTTCTGTGTTATCGTCTTCTTGTTATTTGTATTGACGTATGGCATCGAGAAGATCAAGCCTAGTGATGATGAAGCATATGTTTAAGTGCATATTCTGTCGTATGAGTGAACCAATAAACCTAGATCGAAGTAAGATCACTTCTAGACGATTTAACTGTCTAAAATCTATCAGCAAAAAAAAACACTAAGGTGCTAAGGTATTTTTGGTTTTCACGGAAATAATTTCTGTAGAATTTAATTGTAAATCCTGTGCAATGCAAACAACCACATAACCTGGCATAAACGCAAGTTATATATATATAGCTTTTGATGACTTCTGTTTTTTCATCCTGCTTAGTTTTAATTTTCTTTTTGCTTATATTTGTGTACTTAAAATAAAGCTTTTATTCTGGCGCATGACAGACGTGAACAAAAACTGTATTGGCATAGTTGCACATTCCGAGGAGCCTGTCATTGTTCAAGTAAGTGAAAGTAATGAATGAATAAAATGGATGAAATCTTCCTGCATAAATTCGACAGGATTTTTAATTAATTTGCATTAATTTGCATCTTCTCCATTATATCTGCATTTTTACACATTTGCTACATTCGCTGTGCGTTTTTCTTTTCGACCAGTAGTGTCATTAACTTATTTTTTTGTAAGTAGTGGAAAAGATGAAGAAGAAATTCGTTATTGCCTTCTTATAATGTTCAACCTAATTTATCAGCTAGTTGTCTGATTCCTACCTACTACACGCACCTCTTCCTAAAATCTATTCACCTGTTTCTCAATCATTCATTGCACCGAAATGACAAAGCGGGGTTTTGCAACAGGTAATGCCGAGGTTATATGTTATTTATTTTGTAACTTATCTCATAGTTTCTAATCTATGGATATGTGAATTTGTGGTGTCCCATTATTCCATTTCCATTGTTCTTCCAAGTACTAAAAGCTCAGGACCATTAGGGATTCATGTATTTGTTTAAATGCATTAAAATCACTAGAATTCGCATTTCGGTATTTCAGAGACAGGTCTGCACAACAGAAAGTCTGATTACTCTGAGAATTGTCGTGAAAGCGATCCGTTTGAACTTCTTGAGCTTATAAATACTAAAATATTTTGGTAACTGAAATCCATAAGTTTGGAGTTGTATTACATTGGTCTTTCATTTTTCGATTTAATTTCAAATTCGTCTGAAGAGAGTTCTAAAACAGGAGAAAAATCTCAGCGTAACCACTGAAGTGTATTTATGACTGAAAGGAAACAGTTTTATGTAAATAAAATTATATAATACGCAGATGAGCTTGGTATAGCGGTCAAGTCTCAACTTTGAAAAGGCCTTCGACAGAGTCAATCAGTAAGCAGTTTGGAAACTGTTTTAGTAACAGTGAGTGCTGCAAACATTTAAAACAGATATTTAATGATGCTGCACGCCAAGTAATTTACAATGAGAAGCCGACCGAAGGGTTCGAAGTGGATACGGAAGTAAGGCAAGGTTGTTTACCATCACGGATGACTTTCTTGATTGTGGTAGACTGGATCATACGGTAGACTGCACACAAGGAGTGGGAAGACAGGCATATGTTGAACTGGCAAAAAGAGAGTAAACGATTTGAATTTCGCGGATGGTTTATGTCTGGTGTTTCACAAACTCAAAAATCTACAAGTGAAAACCAACAAATTCGCGGAAAGGGTAGAGAAAACCGGACTTCAGGTAAACGTGGAGAATACAAAGGTGTAGATACTCAACCAACAGCAGCTAGTACCCATTATCAGTGGGAGGAATCTGAAGGAAGCTATCTCTTGCTGCTACTTCGGTAGCACCTTTTTGACCACAGGTGGCGCAGATGAGGATGTCAAGACCAGTCAGAGACCCAGGATCGGACAGGATTTCTTTACTGTGAAATCATCGTGGACATCTACAACATTTAGCATAAGGAGTGCGATTTTAATACTAATGTCAAGTTATTGCTTCTATATGGTTCGGAAACTTGACTTACATGTCATCAAAAGCATTTCGGACAGCTTGCCAACTTTCATCAATAAATACCTTCTCTGGTTTGATACTGAAAATCGAATGGTCGGAACGGACAAGAAGCAATGCAATCTGTCGGCAAAACAGACATGAACTTACCACCCAACAGATTTGCAGAGGGAAATGGAAATGGACTAAATTTAGCTTGAGATGACTGCTGAGTAACATCACATGCCAGGCTGTCGAGTGAAACCCGGATGGGAAGTGACATGTTAGATATAGATGTGAGGGTGATAATGAAGGAGATCATGTGGAGAGAAAATGAAAGCTTTTGGAGAGTAGTGGAATTAACTGCAAATGACGACAGAGAACAGAGTACAGTGGAGATGTACCAATGAAACCATATGTTCCAGCAGGAACTCAAGAAACAAATAAGAATAAATATCATGGAACATGTTGGATTTGTAATTGTTAGCATTTTCATCTTAAGTAAAACAACTTACAGTATTAAAGGTATGTTTTAACATTTCTAAACAAATTAAAATTAATGAAATCAAGTATGGAAACTACAAATCATAGAGTGGAGTAGAAATGGGATATTGTGCATATGTCCATTGCCTGTCAGGGAAGACTAAGTAACATGTAGAAGAAACGCATGCTGAACCATTCCCCCTTAATTATCGATGATCACTTTATTTTGGTTAATATTCTCATGTGATTAATACAGTGATTTTCTATGATTAGATATACATCCATAATGTGTATCTCACATGACTAGTATTTATTGTTCAACATTTCTAAACAATAGTAGGTGATAATTGTTACAGACACGTCAGTGGCATATTTAGTTTACATAACATAAATAGTAGGATTGATCTAAGTGAAATCAAACAGCATATTCCCGGACTGATTTTTTTCACTAAAGCGTATTCAAGGTGGTACAATTGATAATTTCCAGGTAGGAGAGTGCACCTTTATGTAAACAGGAAATACTAAAACATAGTTTGGTATGTCTTAATGTTTTTACTTGCGCAAAGTATTACAACATCAAAAATGGCCATTTCACACCTAGGTTTAGTCTATTTTGAAAAGTTGGCTTGAATTCAGCTCCGACTTGCCTTTAGTATACTACTTTTTCAGTCGATTTAAACATAAATACATCATCTACTTCTTCCGGTCAATACATAAATGTTGCATTACACGTAATTTGTACTGCAGTATTCTCGAGTTTTACCACTGTAGGACTAACTTTATTCACTTATATGTCGGCATATTTTAGTATTTGGTATTAAGCTCCAGTCATTTAGGGTATTCAGTTTGACAAAACTGCTGTCTAATGTTTATATCATTCTGACTCCTGAAAAAATCAACAGATAAGTGTCAAATGTACCTAACTAACTGCTCTACCTGTCCAGCAGCAGTAGTAGTAGCAGTTTATGACACGTATGTCGAAAATGTGAACCCAGACGAGTAGTTTCGATGGAAAACCTTTTAAACACCTTAGTTGTTATTATGAAATCGTTAACGAATTCCCTTTGAGAACCATGGATTTATCTTAGTTTGGTAGCGCTGAAGGTTGTCAATAGCTTCATTAAACCTTATAATTTACTGCCTATTGCTCACAGACGTTTGTTCTCGAGAATGTTTTTCAATATCTCATGCAGTCAACAGTTATTTCCGTCGGAATAAACTAACAACACAGTTACTCTCAAGTATTTCAAATAATGAATAAATGAAGTGGAAAATAAAAACGAAAAATAAGATTAATAAGTTGTTTAGTTTTTAATCCTATATATTGTGGACTCTATCTAAATGAGTTGAGATTCATGTTTCCAGTTAAACTTTAATGTACTATACTTTGCTAATCCTAAGCAATATAATAAATGAATGTCCAGCTTCCCACTCCGGTACTAGTTGCAGCCTTAGGAAGTCTGGAAACAAGACACATGCTTATTCACTAATTTGTAATGACCTGTGTTGACAGACAGGGATGTAAACACTTAAAAACAAGATTTTCCTCTTGCATAGCAAAGAGCTGTACACCAGACTTGTTCATCCAATGAAGACATTTCTTGAAACACCTTCTGTAGAAAACTAAGAAGGAGCAAATATTGTTATAATTTTCCTAAAAATCCCCGCTAAACTTGTAATTGAGTAAAAAGTGATCTACGAAAAGGACTGCTTACATCTCCACGTTTTAAAAATATTTCAAAATCGAATAACAAACTAATATAAGCCGATAATGATCACACTTGTTGCCAGTAAACGAAGTCTGTGTAATTTAGACTGTTTTGAAAACTGCAGACTAAAACACAAAAATGACAAAAAAATAACCATGCAGTGCGTTAACTCGCTTCTTTACCTCTTTTAGCCTGACGCAATATTAGACCTTCTCTTTTTTACCTCGTCCTTCTGTTCAATTCTTCCAGGCAAGTAGCAGCTCAGAAGAAACCAAAATAATGTAACTGTTTTGTAGTAGTGGAAGCCTGAGAATGTTCCAGTCAATCCAATAGCTTGATTTCGTAGAAAGCTTCTAGTAAACAGATGCTAAAATTAACTTGAGTCCTTTAGAAACTGTAACTTTACCAATAGAAGGTACATCCAAAATCTAGACGTCACTTTTACGATGTTGTTAGAAGATTGACTAAAGAGAGTTTCGCCGTTCTCTATGTACTTCAAAAATTCATCATTATTTAGTATTTCTGCTTTCATGTCTTTCACAGATGGTCAGAATAATGAGCACTAATTTTAGTCAAGAAATAAAAAAAGATAGTTTAAAGCATGCAGGTCCGAAGACGCTTACATGTTTTTGGTGTTTGAGTGTGTATGAGAAAAGTTCAAGCTTAAGACTTGATTTAACAAGTTCGAAACTGTCTACTGACAGTGTGAGACCAAAAATGTGAACTAGTATTCATTTTAAAACTAGTGTTTTCTGCTGGTACAAAGTAACAGAAAAATATTTCAAACTAACTAGACCACGTTACACAGAAGTTTTGAAATCTTCATATTATCACTTTCAGTGATCGGCTCAAATGTCGTAAAAAGATTATGCAAAAACATGCATAATGCTTATTGGTACATACATAGGCTGAAATATAGATTAAGGCAAATAATTGCTGACAGTCAGTGAATGCTAGATGGATATATCAATTAAGAATTTGGGAAAGAAATTTCTTCAGAGCTTTTTTAATAAGTTGAAACAGGAAAACTGAAAAGCATTGGATGGTGGACGCATTTTTATTCTACTTAAGGTAACCATCCAATGAAAAATCAAGTATCAAGGTTTCAAGCGCAACTTTATTAATCATTCAATAATTTCCTTCTATAATATTTTGAAATTAAATGCTTAAATTTATATTATCACTAATTAACCCTGGATATCATGGTGAAGCAAATCTTGATCACATTAGCTCCTAATAAAAATGGACTTCTGACCGACAAACACTCGAATATACTGTTACATTTTTTTCTCCCACAGTTCAAAAGTCTTATGCTTCACAAAATTTATTTTCCTCAGAATATATACCAATCTGTTGACAGTTTATTTAAACTTTTGAAATTACAGGTATTTATTTTTATTTATTTATTTATTTGAAATTACAGGTATTTGTCGTTAAGAAATCATCAAGTGAAGAACCCTTCGAAAGTACAGGATTTCGTAGTAAAGTGAGTAATTATTGATCCATATTAGTGAAACTGCCTCTTACAGATTCAAAGAGGAATGACTGTATTGGTTAAAAAAGATGTTGTGTAGAGAGATCTATCTGATGAGAGGAAATTTTTTTTGTATGTCTATGGATGACAATCATTGTTGTATCATTTCGGTATGCTGTAAAAAAAGCCAAAAGCAGCAGTGGCAAACAACACCGCCACCATCCAACCAACACCTGTACCATGACTACCGAAACAACAACAGCAACAACAACAACGGTTTATGTGTATGTCACTAAAAGATCACGTACAAATTTGTAAGATAATGTTTTGCCAGTAAATTGAATAACTTGTTAATCATCAGTTTTCTTTGTAAATGGATATCTAGCATTTCATTTTATTCATTGATTTTTGCATTGTTTTTAATTATTTGTTCATCCTTACCTGTTTACTTCTTATTTGTTGATTAAGTGTTGACTTTTGTTGTTTGTTAATACACACTTTGGTACTTTAGACAAGATGCTTCAGTTGTTTTAGACTGCCAAAAAAGTGGAATATCTCTAGTCGACAGTAAAACACAAAACGACTTTATCTACCCAGTGTTGCATATGTAGTATGTTGTAGTTGTATCCTTTTTGTCTTGCAAAGACTACAACTTCAGTCTGACAACAGATTTTACCGTTACATTACTTATAAGTCATCATCATCATCATCATCATCACTTCTGATGCCATCTTTTAAGGTCATAACCTAAAATGAAGAATTTTCATCTTCCTTTGAATTCCATATAAATTATTAAGCAAATCTAAACAGATTTGGACTGCTACCATTCGATTTATTCTTCTGATATGAATCTGTTATCTTTTCTAACCACAGTTTATGAAGCCTACAAGACAGATGCATTTACAACGTGTGGTACTACTTTGTGATTAATATAGGCGAACAAATCCATTTGTATACATATACACTTAGCTTGAAAATGATATTAAATTAAATAATGTTACCTTAACATTGGTTTCTAGTGGATCTTAGATTAGTTTTAGCACCATAATAGTGTTTTTCCGTGCAATCATTGAGACACCTTTCAGTCTATGTTAAGTGTCTGAGTGGAATCAATCCATCAGTACACAGAGAAATCTTTTAGCACCCCGCTGTCTTGAATTTCTGCAGTAATTTATGTTGAGACAGGGATTAGTGTGTATTCTAATTCAATGCCCTTGAATAAGTCGATAACGTACTCGATAGACGGTGTTTCTGAATTTCAATCGGGGACCTACTTTAATAGCTTTAAATTCTGTTACTTATGCTATGAGGTTCGGTTTGCATCGCCCAACCAATATTCCTCTAGCTTCTATTTTCATACTGATGCGATGTTAGGGTGTAAAACATTTGTAAACTGGGCTAATCTGTCCCCAGATATATTGCCGTGCAAAGTAATTTAATCACTGATTGAGGAGTTATATTCAACCATAAGAAAATATAATTTGAAAAGGTCACTGTGCGTCGGTGGCACAGTGGTTAGGACTCTCGCCGACCATACACATGGTCCGGGGTTCGATCCCCTGCCGACGCTCACCCGATATCTATGGTCGGCCTGTAAATTTGGGCTACCGATATCCATGCTGAAAATTCCATAGTCGTACTGAAAATAAGGTGTGGCATCAAGCTGTAATCAAAATTTTAACAAAATAAAAATAGAAAAAAAAGAGAGTTAAGGTATTATTAAATATGAGAGAATCATTACCTACTTTTAATGATGATACTGACATCTTCGGAGTGACGGCTAAAAATGACAAAAAAGTGACATACCTAGTCACAGCTTATTTATCTACCTACTTTTCCGTGTAATCAGATTATTAGAAGCTAGAGTCGAATTAAGAATTAGCAAATTAATTCATGAATCGCAGTGTGTGTGTGTGTGTGTGTCTTTCGAGGTGATATTTCACCCCAGCTTCCTTTAGAAATTGAAACTATTCACATCATAATGTGTAATCTGGTTGATGCCATAAGTGGCAATCAACCATACTACTACTTTACTGATTCGTCACTCTCATCTGAGTTGAACCGGGTACACCACTGGTGAGCTCTTCCGAAACTAGCGAAACGACGGTTTGCTGTTCAGATTACTTCAGTCTGGTTAGCAAGCAGCAATACTGACTGATATGACTGGTATCTAACTTCTCATCAACCAATCAGCAGTGTGTAGTATCATGCTATTAAAGATCCAGCGTGATTAGAAAATAAATAAATGCAATTTGGAACTATATGATATCCGCTGATATTATCCAGGACAAAATTCATTCCCTAGCCCTAGTATTATCAAACACTGAGTAGAGATAAATTTTTTTAGTACGAACAATGTGGAATTTAGCATGTCTGTCTCACAAGTCAGTAAATAAAGCAAGATTATTCACTGTCTATCTGGAGGCGGCTGCAACTTGAATTCGGCTAATATTAACCATTCCTTTATGACTGCTTAATGCACCGACCGATTCTGTTCTAGATAGCCTAATGATTAAGTTGCAAAGGCAGCTAAATTATTTCCCATCCCATATTACATTAACAAGAACTGTTATCAATAAATCTGGTCTAAAGATAATAATGAAAATAACTGCTGTTTTTAATTAATCTATCTATCTATCTATCTGCATCTATCTGCACAAACAAATCAACGGAATACCTTTTCAGCTGTGCTGCATAAACCTTTTTTAAACTGGTGTACAGATTAAGTCAACTACATCTTGTATAGTATTAATGAGCTGAGTGTTGTAAATTTTAACTCTGTTAATTTAAATGATATGTTCTTATCCTAGACTCTGTGTGCAGTTCAAGAAACTGTACACACAGATACTGAACTTTAGTTCAATCGCTGAGTATTCATCAACTAAAATTCTAATCTACTTAGTACATGCTACATATGAATACCCATCTAATCCAGTTTTACCTCTCTTCGGGATTTACATCATCTCAATACTGGATAACCTTAACATATTTATCAGGTTATAAGAAATGACCATTAGAGTAGTATGAATAAGTCATTATAAAACTGCAGGTGTTTCACTCGAATATGATAAAATTACTCCTTAATTAAATGAAACTAACAGCGGGGAAAATAAGTCTGATGAAATGTTCAGTAGATATAAAAAAGCGTTAATATGGTGTTTTACTTCTCTACCACATATGTGAAACATAGTGAAACAAAGTGAATTTGTTGTAAGACTTTTCTGCATACCCTTAACTTTACTTCCGCAAAATCCTTTTACTATACTTTGATCCAGTTCGTTCGATTTGGGTTTTATGAATGGTCTTAGTAAAATCCTAAATACTTTTTAATTCAAGTACTGGCTTTGTAGGGATTGTGTTTGATTGTTTGGAAGGTTTCATCATGAGTTGACATCATTTAGAGAACCACTGGAAAACCTGGGAGTGCTGGGCAGGTATTTCGTCCTAGTTTGGGCATCTTCATCAGTGCGCACCCACTGGGCCATTGGCCCCAGTGGCTTAGCGGCCTACGAGCTCTCTTTGTAACCAGAAGGTTTTGGGTTCGAACCCTGGCAGTGGTTGCGTACTGATGAAGATGCCCAAACTAGGACGAGACATCTGTCCAGTACTCCCTGGTTTTCCAATAGTTCTCTAAGTGATGTCAACTCATGATGAAACCCTCCAACTTTTTAATTCACCCCGAAATTCAAACAATATTTCATTGATTGTTGTTCAGTTGAGTGCATAATTTCTTCGTCATCGTCTGTTGGATAGATCCAGTTAGTTTCACTTCATTATCATTAAGCCTAATTCGCTGATCAGCTTATTCCAGTACAAATTCTTATTCTTCTCGAATTTGGATGAACTAATATTCTTCCTTAATAGTGAAGAATCGTTTCTATGAGAATATTCCTAGGTCAAAGAGATTCCGTAGTCCTTGATCAACTCTGTAGTAGGAATGCTTTCTACAGACCACTCATGAGTTTTACGTGGACCTGTGTTTTCTTTTCAGTAAAAATTGCCTTTTGTTCTTCTTATGAGGAATGCGCATTTTTTATTTAATTCATTTAGAGTTTTGTGACAAACAGATTGGATAATATTTCATTCTGTAGACTTCATATAAGCTCTTTAATTTGTCCTGTTAATTTTACAAGGAGTACTTTAAATAACTTAACATGCATCATAGTAATCTGACTAGGAAATATTTTTCTATGCTTGGGCTGGAAAAAATTACTCAATATTTTAATGCAGGATAAGAGAGTGTGGTAGAATATAATAATAATAACTCATTTAATGTAACACTGTGATACAGTATTAATGACTGGATATTAGCACCATATCATTGTACTTTATATCAAGCACACTCACCTAATATGGAATTATTTGGTGTTTAGCTGTGCAGATAATTAGTTCTCGAAAATAACCATTCTCAACGATAGGAAGGCAAGTTCATTTCCATTTAGATTATCCTCAAGATAGCAGGAAAGGCTTGCTAATCAGTGCAACTATGCTTAAAATGGTTATAAGGTTAAAACTTCTCAAATTATTACTACTAGTATTAAGTCTGGGTAGCTTTATCTATTAGTAGTAAACTTTGAGGAGTAGAGTAAATCATTAGTTGACATATAATGGGATTAATTATGCATTGAATATAGTGTAATTATTAGTCTGATTGAGTTTCAAAAATAAATAATGTCAATAGGCAATGATTTGCTGTTTACCAATTTTTCTGTTTCTTTTAATAATCTTAAAGGTATTTCTACTTCGGAAATATGCAAGTAATGAACTTTCAAAGAAGTGTTACATATGCAGCTTATGCTCTGAAACGGTGGTATACAAGGTAAGTAAATGACTGGACCGATGCATCTATTGATATATATATATATATATTTCAATAAAAAAAATATTGTCGGCAATAGTCGGTCAGTGGCCGATGAATTATCACTTAAAAATGGTAAAGAATCAAAACTGAGGGTAATCGACTTGTTGGTAGGCTGTTCAAATACATTAGGATAAATGTGCCCAAATATTAGTTCACTCATAATCCTATGCCTTTTGAACGACTTAGCAACATGTAGTTCACTGCTATCCAGTACACCCTGGCTATCAGTAGTTTTCTAACTGATATCAGTCTGTGATCAAACCTGAAATGTAAGGCAGCTAGTTGCTTGCTCATCCATATTAATTGTAAAAAGTGCAGTTTTAATAAGTCGCAGTGGAAATTTAACTTCTAGGTATTTTATTATTTTGGTGTGATACATCCTTGTAAATGAACAGAATGTGAAAAATTAGCACACGCATCTAAACAGCAGGCAAGTCACCATTTATGAGAGAAAAAACATGCGTTTCAGGGAGGTGAGATATACACTAGTGACGAATTCTAGCCAACGTGAAATATGAGTTTGGTCACTTTACTGGTCCATGACAGTCATATATTATAAAAGTCCAATAATAAATTGAAAAATAATATAGGTGAAGTAACTAAGTTGCTTAGATGTTTTCCAGCTGAGCTGTCGTGGCGACGCCGAGTTACAAAGTATAAGATTTTTGTTAAAAATTTCGAATAGACTTTTTTTTGAAGATATAGCATTTCCGAAGCTCTGATCTCAATTGGAACGCATTTTTCACTGATTTATAAAGCGTTCGAAAGGATTTCTGGGTGTATCGTTTTATGATGCTAACTAAACACAAGCTTTTCTCCTCACTTCACACTTCGTTTTTTCTCATCATCAGGGTCTATTTACGACGAAACAACTATGGAATTATTATGCGGACCTGTCAAATCCCAATTTCATGACACACTTCGCAATTGTTCATAACCGTTTTTCTACAAACACTTTTCCATCATGGAGTCGTGCTCATCCTCAGCGTATGATGGCGCATAATGGCGAAATAAATACGCTACGTGTAAGTTTGCTATTTTAATTTTATTACACTATATCGTTGAACATACTTAATTTGTTTGAAATTTCAAATATCTGAAAGATGTTTTCAACCGTCTTGTAACTTCGAATCGAATCTATAAACAGTATTTATCGTTTTAGAGTAGTGTGTACTTCCTAATAGCTCAAAATAATGCAAGTAAATAAAGTGTTTTATTTAATGGTATTTGAAAATAAACTTCTTAAATAGTTTCATGGGTTATCATCAGATACACTTTCTCTCAAGAGTGAACCAATGACACTCCTTATAAGACAAATCACACAAAGGTTCACTTATAATCTGTCCAATTGTTTTTATGTACCGCTGCAGATTTGACATTTTCATTTATTACCGATATGCTGTTCACCTATGTTTACTGATGCAAACTGGTAAGCGGTTGACACACAATGACAGTGACCCACTTAATTCAGTTGAAAAGAATTAAATGAATTTCAATTTGACTGATTATTTTAATGCCCTGATCAGCCGCTAGGTGACTGCGTCTCACTTTTCTCTGACAAACATGAGTGAAGTTTCGGTATCGATCCTCCTCTTCATTTCAGAACACACCAACGCCGGGTTGAAAACATAAGTTTTATATTAGATTGTGAAATGTCATTCGATGAAAAATAGAATAAACTACTGAAACCACAACTAATGAATTCGTATTTGTTTGATAGAAAGTATGATTGTTTTCTAAAAAAACAACCATATTCGTTGTTTGCTTAGTAAGTTAGATACTATTTTATCTTTATATAGTGATGGGTTGTTTCACACTTTTTCATCTATTTCATCACCCATAATATATCTTAAGAATTTCGGTATGCACATCATGCTTCTGTACTTCTAATTGTATTTAAAGTTCACGTGACTCACCTTAGTACATACTCATTAGTGTCATGTTGCCAGATGAATAATATGCCATGAAAAATGTCCTATTTTAGATAATTTTGTTTTTGTTCGCCAGTGTTCGTACGCTACCCATATAAAGATCAAAATGAACGGATTCAGTTTCTTAGTGCGAAAAGTAGTCAGCATTCGCTATAATAATAATAATAATGGCTTTATTCCAAACAGTATTTGTGGTACAGGTATGGAATTTTCAGCGTTCATTACAATATTGCATCTAATTACCTCATAAATTTTATAAGGATTTAGAAATATAAAGCAACAACAACAAGAAGAAAAAGAGAAATAAAAGAAATAAAATAAAAAAAGAACAGCATTGCATTCACATATTTAAACAGTGCACCACAGGATACGATATATAAAATTAGTCTGTAATAGAATATATGAGCAGCAATATAATAGTAACAAAGAAAGGAGAACAAAAGCTAATGGGAACTATTTGTTAGAGTGCCGCAGTAAATTGATCATGTCATGCCTAACAGTTTTCTCATCACATAACAGCTGTGCCAGATAAGGTATTGTGGAGTTTTTATACTTGGTAGTCCTGGCATATAGCTTCCTATAGTTACTTCTAGTTCTACCAGATGATATGCAAGGAGAGAGCTGTGTATAGAGAGGATGCTCAGGGTCTGACAATATAGTATTCGCTAGTTTCTTACATGACATTATATGTCTATCCACTATGGTGTTAACCAGTTGGTTTAACGATATCCCACTTGCCCTACTAACAGCTTTTAGTGCCCTACGCAGCGAAGCAAAATCTTTCTTAAGTAGTCCTGGAAAGATTAATGGGGAGCAGTAAAGAGGGATGGGTAGAATACAGGAATTGACAAACTGAGAAAGTAAAGACTGCTTTATACCAGACTGCCTAAACTTCCTAAGGTAGAACGTTAAGCGAAACATCTTTCTAGTAACTAGCAAGATGTGAGAGGACCAGGAAAGATCGGAGGAAATACTCAGTCCAAGGTACTTGACATCTGATGTAGTTTCAACCTCTATGCCGTCAATGATAGTGGGACCATGTGAGCTAGCTAGTTGTTGAAGGTCACTTTTTCGTCTGAAAGTAAAATTTACTACCTGACATTTAGACGGATTCAGCTTAAGACCGTTTGAAGAGGACCACTGACTAATTTCCGAGAGAAAGTTATTTAATATGGAACAGTCTGACTGAGAGTTGACAGGCATGGAGACAGAGAGGTCATCAGCATACTTGACAAAAGTGGCTACATCAGAATGGGGCAAGTCATGTAAGAAAAAAGAAAACAGAAAAGGAGAAAGAACGGCACCTTGAGGAACACCAGCTAAAGTAAGTGAGGTAGAGGAGGACTTTCCATTGTAGACAGTGTACTGCTTCCTATCAGAAAAGTAGGAATACAACCACTTATTTGTCCAGCTCTCAGTCTGTGTTGCAGCAAGCTTACTTAGCAAGAGAGACCTAGGTACAGAGTCAAATGCAGATGTGTAATCAAGGAAGGCACACCGAACATATTTGGCTCCTCTATCTAAACTAGAGACTATATTATGATATAGAACTACAGCGGCATCTAGGGTACACCTACTATGTTTATAGGCAAACTGGTTGGGGTCGTTAAAAGGCTTTAAAGAGGGTTCATTACAAATCATATTGCATCTATAAGACCTATACATACCGATACTGCTTGTTTTAAAATTATGCTGTATGATACAGGTAAAATTATTATGAGAATTACCCATCTGTCTGAATTATTGCACTAAGTTCAAGACTAACTGTGACTTTTGCAAAGAAAAAGGTGTTTCGTAAAACACGAACGACTATGGGAAAAACCATTCAACGAATTAGACTGAAAAGACCTGCGATTATAATGGTAAGCAGAAAGTACAACTGTTACAATGTATGCATCTTTACACCTTCATTGTTAAATAAACGAAGTTTATCATATCCGACTTCTGATTACAGCTCTGAAGATGAAGTAGAAATTCAAGTTAGCTTTCTGCAAACTTCGACTCAGATTAACAGACCTTTTCCTTTAACCGACTGACCATTCAACAGGGAAAATATGTTTATATGAGAAATATTTCAAAGAACGAATAGTCTAAGGAAATTTTAACAAATAATTTAATCGAATAATCATACAGATTAAGTAGAGTAATTCGTGGAGATGACTTTGCCGTATGGCTTTTGAAGGCATCGAATTCAAGATAACAACTAGCTAATATGATCTTGGTTAGCTACAGCTTCTCCTACCTGCTAGTTTTTTAGAGTGATATTTTTATCAGACGCAAATAAGATACCCACTTAAAGTGAATATTTATATTACCTGAGTTTTAAAGTCAGTCGATTCTACACTAATTGATGCTGGTTGATTCACTGAGATAAAGTGAGTTTCCACAAGATTACAAACACATTTCAATGCTACCATTTCCATGAAGCATAAAACCTAGGTTGAGGATTTTCTGCTGAATGACTCTTGGTATGAAAACACCAAATTATAGTTAACCAAATTCCAAAATATGATTACTTGACTTAGCTTAGTAATTACTGAACACCTAATCAAAAGGTTTTGAATAAGGCACTAAACTGTTTACCATCCACTTAGCAGTTCACACAAGTGATCGAAAGGAAAATCAAAATAAGTTGTGAGCATATTTATTTTTAATTATCCTGAAAAAAGAACCAAATCCTTTTACAGTCACTTTATACAGAAACTTACTTCATCAGAAAATGATGTCAGTGTAGTAATAGCAGGAAGTTGATTTCTGTCAAAGCTGTAACGCACATTTTCACCAGAAGCATTACGAAGCGTTCATGCATATAACTACTAGACATGAGTTTGATTTAGCTGTTCAGCGGTAATATTTATGACTTAAAAATTGAGAAATGCATACTGTTTTACTGCCTGAGACACTTCCAAAGCAGGGAAAGTAGTTATTTCATTACATCTAGCAGTCTAAACATACCACGTAACTGACATGTGTAATCAAATGGAAATGATTAAGATTTGAAGTATCCATAATTTATATTAAATTTTATCATCTTTATCTTTAAGTATACTTAAAATACTAAATGAAATGAAGATTAGGAGTGATTTTGTTATCATTAACAAAATATTCATTCTAATCAATACCCATGTGACCCAATTCTGTCAATCTTACGTCCATTTTTGAAATTCGTTTGGCTGACTAAAGGAGTATAAAACCAGTTATGAAATTCCAGAGAAAATTGACCATTCTGTTTTAGCTAATTTTCTTTAGTCTGTATCTTTAAGAAAGGAAATTGTTCCAAGGGGCTGCATGACTTAACAGTCATCAGCACTTTAGACGATGAGAAAATGCTCGTTAAATGCGTGTCTGTACTGCTCACTAATAGCAACAAAGTGAATAAGCTTTGGTAATTTTTTGCCTTCAAAATTCATTCCTTCTATTTTGTTTAATTATTATCATGAGTAACTGGTCACTTACTTTCTATTTATCGTGAGTTAGTCATCAGTTACTTCAAAAACGATTTACTGTCAGAAGGTCTCAGTTTCATTTCAGGTGATGATGATCCTAGATTTAAACGATCACATTAAATACTCTCCTGAAAACAAAAATGCGCTTACATCAAAACTTTTGAGACTATTGTTTATAATTCTAAATTTGGTGTGGCGAATTTAGTTTTTAGAGGTGTAACATATGTTATAGCTTTTTGGTTTGGTAGCTTTTATTAGATATTAGTTAGGCCGACTTGATGTACAATGTAATTGTAGCTTTTCAGCAATTTGTTAACTCTCCTCTAACATGATTTTAATTCTTTTGATCTGAAATGTTTTTTCAGGATGTACAGCTGCTGAAAATCTTACGTGTTTTGACACACCTACTTGGCATACTTTAAAACTGTATGTCATGATAGTTCATAGCGGAATTCACTGTAGTTATGCTCAATGTTGAGTATGGCCACGTATTGCCTAGCTCATGAGTCATATCACTTAAACAATATAAAACTTTAGGCACTGCTAAAAAATTATCTCTACTTCGACATACAATGATATAATAATAATAATAATAATAATAATAATAATAAGTGAATTATATTGAGTGACAGAAATCGTATCCGGTCAGAATGGTGCGCTAAGTGACTAATGGTATTTCTCATTCAACATGAAGGCTGTTTAATTTACTCAAGTTGATATATTCCGGTAAACGAATTCAAATGATTGCTTGGAAATATAAATGAAAAATTAAACTTTCTAACTACATAGTGAGCTTGGTTAATGTAGAAATTAGATTAAAACCAGTCAGCCAGCGAGACACAGAATGTGAATGAAAAAATTGTATTTAGAAAAAATAGTAAAAGTGAGACATTTTCATAGTCATATTATCTTATTAAAATGTGTTTTGTACTGTTCTCAAACATTCATAACTTTTATCGATTAAAGTCAGTTGTTCGTAAACCTCGGTATGTTGACTTATTTCCTTTACATTAGACACTTTTTGTATGCTTGTGTATGGATGTACAGTTTTATCCGTATACTTGGTAGCTCGCATTAATAATGCATTCAATTTTGAGCAAATGAGTAATGAAAGAGAGGGAGAGACGAGGGGACTTAAGTTTCTTTTATCTCTCTTGGGGATATGATCTAAAAAGACATCAAAACATAGAGTAGACCGAAGAAAAATGGTGAAAAATTTTATTTACCTATATTCTCATTACTAAATGAGCATTAAACTCAAAGAATTAAATACGATGTTGAAAGTTTCCAGAATCCGTCTACTACTATTACTAACTATACTAATATTACTAATATGTCTTCAAAGGATAATCCTTATCATTAGAAGGTCTAACAGCCTGGTCACGTGCTACACCTATACTGTTGTTGTGGATGCTCTATATGCGAATTCGGATTATTAAGTCATGATAAAGTACACCCATTCATTGGCTTGTGATTTTGTCATTGTCGAGGTTTAGCAAATTACTTTCATACACAGAAGTATTTAGAGAGTATGGTCATGTAGAGAGTAATTAAGAAATCACTTGACATCAAGGTGTACATAACTTCTGGCTTGTGGCTTAGGTATCTCTAGCAATGTATAAACAACAACCTAACGATACAGAAATCTTTTGTCTTTTAGAGTGAGCAGATCAGATTCTTAACCGGTGATAAATTTTTTCAGTGTCAGGTGGTTTATACTATTGTAATTATGCACCCACTGTCAACCTGGTATTGGTTCTTACTTATTGAAAGATATAAACTTAATGCGACTATAAGACACACTCAAACAGTTTCAGAATGAAAACATTCTGAGATCACCCAGCTACAGGTGAAAGTAAGCAAATTTATGTACTGGTTATCTGTGGCGTTTACACGCATATTTTACTTAACCACTGGGATGCCTGCATTCAATTGCAACTTAATTTTCAAGTTGGTTATTTTTAATTTAACATCCTTCTTGAATGAACAGCATGCTGGTTGCTTGTTAAGTACACACCCTCACGCATATATACTCATAAGAAGGTAGCTAGCCGTTCAGGTAGTTATTTCTAGATTCAAGTGCGCCCACTTTTTTATTTTTGGGTAGTTCTTTTTGTCTGGTTACCATGCCAATTTTCATCTTTTTCTGGGGGTGAAAATCACTGTTATTGATTTTTGTGTTAAGTAAAGTCGTATAGTCTTATATGTGAGAATGGGAATTTGGATCTTCATTTCCGTATACTGCTAACACTTTAAGGCACATAAGCATATATATAATGATTTGATTTATTCCAAACAGTACTCATGATACAGTGTGGAATCTTCCGCATTTTGCACAATGTTGTATTTAATTTACTGAACGACAACAACAACAACAGAAAAAAAAACATTACAGGGTACACATAACCAAAATTGTTTATCAGAAAGAGTGGGGTCAAAATGTACAAATGTAAAATGCTAATAATGATAATATTAGTATTAACAACACAAAATACGATAATGGGGTGTTGAGATTCAGGTAACGTGAATTTACAGCATTTCCCACATCAGTTCAGGTCGACCACAGTAGTGACGATCTGACTCATCGGTACACAACTAACCCTATTGGCAACCTTTAATGTTCCTTGCAATATGACCTAGTCTTTTTAGAGTAACCCAGGAAAGATTAAGGTGGGGGGAGAAATAAAGAATATTAGGTAAGATGCGAGAGTTTACAAATTGTAAAAGTAAAGGTTGAGTAGTTGCAGATTGTCTTAACTTCTTGATGTAGAAGGTTAGATGGAATATTTTCTTGGAAGTGGATAGAATATGGGGTGACCAAGGAAGTTCAGAAGATAGAATTTCACCAAGGTATTGACATGATATGATTATGAACAATAAATTTTGTTCGAAACGTCATCCAGTAAATAATACTGTTTCACTGTGTGATACATCTAATAAGCAAATTAATATGGAATTAAATTTGGTTACTTGATATTTACTAACAAGCTGCGTCTGGTGGACGCTAGTCTACTACAAGCAATTGTACCTAGAACTCTCGGTTTGAACTGAAATAAACCCCGAGTTTTATTCTACTTTATTTTTCAATAATTCTGAATAAATGATTGTTCCTTTTCAGACACCTAGGAATCTATTCATGATTCATCAGTGTTAAACACCCATCTCAGTAGCTATCAGGAAGCCTTTTTAATACATTTGGTCGCAAAGACAAGCCTTTTAAAATAGTGAGAATTATATGTTAAAACAGTTGAGTTATATCATCTACGTTTCCTTCTTATCGTTCTTTTATTCCCTGTTGTTTTGTAATTTGTGAATGATGCATACTTTCATTTAACGTCTACATCTGTATACTTTCACCCTTTTTTCGAGTGCTTGTTAGCAGAATAGTAATCAAGGTCGTTCAAGAACCTGTACCTCCAAATTAGGAAATTTAGGTGAAAATTATACTCTGGGGATGTGCGAAATTCTTTCTTGAAAAATGTTTTAAGTGGTAACTACACGAATCGACTGGTAAATTTGTGAAAGAGAGTGTGATATACATTCAAGAATATGAAAATTTAGGATTGCCTTTAGAGATTTTCAAAAATGTTTGTTGATATAAATGTAAAGCAAGTTGATGATAAAATTTGTCCCGAAAAATGAAACATACACGACTAAATGTGAAGTCTTAATGTTTGGGTCAATCGACAAGTGGAGATTTCATACCAGAAAATTAATTATCGTCGTGGGTAGAAATTAGACTTTCTCCATCTGATTTTCCAGGAAACAGAAAATCTAATTTGGACATTGGAAACAACTCTAAAGACAAACAGAAAAATCAGGTTTCTCAAATTGCTCTCCAGCATATGAGTTATTATGCGGTAGTAATATCTACTTATAGTTACTTTTAGAGTGTTTAGAGCCTATCTCTGTACAATACATTATTTGAATGATAATCTGCAGATATTCACTGCAGTTGTTTTAAGGAAAATATCTTGATAATCTGAGTGCAAAATAAAGAATAGCATAAGTTACACCACATTTTCTTTTGATGTGTTAACTGGCCTTTGTATAATTAACGTTAACATTTTACCTCAGTGGCTCAATCAGTGAACTATTCTTGTTTCACCAGAGGATTAACAGATCTGTGACAGTCTCTGTTCTTCTTATCTCTTTTATACCGACTCTGGAAACTGTTGCTTCAAGAAATTACTTGTCTTAGTACTTAATGAATGCTATTTAGTGCGCACATTCATATTAAATGAAAGACTAAGACACCTCCTATCTGTTTAAATTCACTGAATTTATTTTCAGGCCAGAAATGACTTACGTTGTTAATTAATAAAGTTACTCTTACTAAATCTCCGTAAAGAATAGAAATTTGATACACACACGTGTATCCACTATTATTTTGCTATAATTTTGTATAATTTTGTTTTTATTTTCTTATAGGGCAATGTGAACTACTGTCGAGCACGTCAAAGTTTAATGTTCAGTCGTTTTTATACAAAAGCACAAATGTCTAAACTTTTTCCGATCATTGAAGAGGGTATGTCTGATTCTGGGTCATTCGATAATATGATGGAGTTCTTGTGTCAGGCAGGTGATTTCAGCTTACCAGAAGCTGTGATGATGATGATTCCTGAAGCTTGGCATAATCTGGATCCTGAAAAAGGTGAAATGTCCAAGGAAAAATGGAATTATTTTAAATGGGCAGCCAATAGTTTTGAACCTTGGGATGGACCTGGTATGTCAGCAATTACTTTAATTTATTTATACTCTTTTGGGATCTGTGCCTATGATACTGACCGTCAAAGTTTTATTTACATAGTATACGTTGATTATTAGAAAGTATTAATTTCAGTCAGAGGTTAATTGTCGGTGCTCACTTAGTTACGGAAAAGTGATAAAATTTCTGTTTTCATAGGTTGATAAAACTATGCCCGTCTGTCTATTCAAAATTTATAGCCTCCATATGTATTCTAGAGTATTTATGTTTGAAAAAGTATGCCGCTTTAATGAGACATTCCTAATGTAGCATCAATATAGAGAATAAAAATGCCGTGGTATTTGTGAAAAAAACCGGTAGCTTTTTCTTTGACTAGAGGTATCTATCCTCAGCCGAATATATATAAGCGATAAAACTTTAGATGCTACAACATTTATGTTTCAGGGTGAGGCTTTATTGTTTTATAATCAGTGGAAAGTACTCTTTCAGTGAATTTTTTAGACTTGCAATCTCCTGTTGTTTATTTAACGGTGCCGAATAGACTTTTATGTGTTGACGTGTGGGCTTCTTGCACAAACTACGCAATATTCCCTTGGATTTTATTTATTTATTTTGACTTAACCTAGTGGACGAAATGTTGATAGTTGAGAACACAGCAGCTGAAACACAGCTTCAGTAAGAAATTCATCTATCACTGCTATTCAGTTGACGAGCCTTGAACAGGAGGAAATTCACCTCTTGGATTCTGCTGTTATTTATCCTCAAGAAATTTCTGAAACGTTAACCTGATATTTTTCCCTGCACTGCGTACTCATGCACCAGTGTTTTTTCTGCCCATTGCTTTGACTGGATTTGCCCCACTGCCTCTATATATCTTAGAAATACAGACATTTTCTGGTATCAACAGACATTCTTCTTTTCACGATATTTTGTAATCCCTTTTTATAAAGCTCCCTGTTTATGCATAACAAGAGTCGAAAGATCATGGTGTTAAAATGTTACTCATAGAAATTTACCTAATAGTTTCAGCTTACAGTATTCTGTTCAGTGTTCATGCCTATTTGTAAAATCATGAAACTTATTACACTGTCTCCATGATGACAACTTCTAGTTCAGTAATACAGGAGAGACCAAACAGATCAGATGAATATTATGCCCTCCCAAACTTTTCTTTTAGGCGAATCCTATCAAAAGTGTACACACATTAAGCTATAAAGAACAATGAGCAGCACTTACGTTTTACTCTTTTACTCCTTATTATGAATGATGAAAGTTTAGTTTTATAACAAATCGAATGTGATTGGCAGAATAAAACTGAGAAACTACAGTTATTCATTTAACAGAGCATCCTATCGACTGACTGGTATTCACTGTGATTTGCAGATTAGTGAAGGCAGAAAATACGCTTGAACTATAGCGTCATTGTGAATTAATTAAATTCATCTGAATGTCAAAAAGCTATGCGTTCACATTATGCTGCAATATAAGAGCATTTCGTCTGTATTTACTTGACTTGGATACCATGTGGACGCTTATGGATAGTGGTCATTGTGCAGCAAAATTGCTAGACCAGATATCATTCTATACTCCATTACCTATGTTAAAATTTAGCATTGTCAGAAAAATCCCTCATAAACATGTTCACATTTAATAAGTAATACGGTAGATGTAATCAATAATCATAATTTAAAATTCGTCTAACTATGCATTGATCAATAGAATTCAGTCAGATGAATCATAGCTATCAGGCTGCATGTGGTCTAATGTATTGATTTTACTTCTGACGTTAGGCAGAAAGCAGTATACATAATTCAGAATGATTTTCTTCCCTATTTTCCATCCCTTCCACCTACTGAATTTTTTTGTTCACCATATAAACATTTATTTACGTTTTGAATAAGAGGTTTGTGTGCATATTCTAAAGACTGCAGAAAGACAATTCAACATTTGTACACTTCCAAAAGAATGATCAAAGCAATTTCTAGGAATAATAACAATCTTGGAACTAAATATTAAAGTCAAAACAATGTAGAATTACAAAGATATAAAGCATTTGAACTTTGCTCATTGATTTTTCTTTATAACTGCCCTTACTAGCTGTCCACTGCTTGACTTCATTCGTATAAATTAAAAACAATTTCGTTGTATTAAAGCGTATATAGGTCATGTAGTTTGTTTTTGCACGCCTGTCTTATTTTGTTTTCCATTAATTCTATTAATTGTAGCATATATCCTTTTTCTATAAAATTTCGCTTTATTTTCTCGTCCCTTTTCAGTTATCGACAATCACTTTATTATATTATTCTTATTATGCTTCCCTTTACATCAACTGAATGTTACGATTAAAATATTTTGACTTATCTTCCCTTATCTCAGATGCTTACTGAAGTGAACAAATAATAATCACAAATTTCTAATCTGCCTCTTCTTCAAATGAAATATACGCTTCTGAGATATAGGTGTGTAGTGATATTAAGTGCCAGCGTATCTGTATCTTTCGGGTGCGGTGGTGGGTATGGACTCATTGCAGAAGAAAAATCACTGCAATCAATAAATATTAAAAAGGGGGAAGAAACTGACTAACACTTAACGGATTTCCTACAAATATATTTGCCTTTTCTTTCTTCTCCTTTAATTATTGATTAATATCTAAACTAGGTACACTGAATTATTATTAGTAGTAGTATTATGTATTTTTATATAATAATTTTTTTGTTTATTACATATTTATAATGTTGTTCTATTCCTCAATGTAGTGTATTTGGTTGGTATTTCCAAAATACTTATTCATTATTAATTGTTAATAATAGATCAATGTAATTTTGACTTAGTAAATATTTGTATTTAGCGGGAAAGTATGAAAAATCTCCTCCTCAGTGGAAAATGCTGTGGTATGCTAATCGCTTAAGAATTAGCATGAAGGTCGAAGCTATCCCCCTAGATGAAAACTTCAATTTGTATAGAAATACCCGCTGGAGAAACACGGATAGTATATATTCGACATAAATCTTTATAAAATATTATTTCAAGTTTTATGGCTTTAAAGTACACTTTAGAGTGAATTGAATGTAGTTAAACAGATCAGTTGCACTTGAGGCATTGGCTCATTTAAAGAGAAATATCTAAGAAAACAGAAAGATTGAGCGAAGAAATATTTACTTTTCACTTAGATCCTCATCTCTGGCTCTACTCTAATATATATATAGCATTTTTATTACAATACACAACAGTTTACCAATCAAGTGGCGATAAGTTTGTTTGCTCTACGAGTTCGTCTTCTACAGACAGCTGAAGCAATAGGAATCCACCTGAAGAAGCCAAACCTGTGTGTTCAGAAGAAATTTGTATAGCCACTTTCCTTGCATTGGCCATCGTTACATGAATGTGTAAACCGGACTACTTCGCCCCCCTTCCCCTAAACCTTTAAAATTATAAAGATGATCGTTGTCCAAATTATTTTTTCTGACCACTTCATCTTTAATTACGTGTTATCCTTGTAAAATTAATTTATTCTAACCATTTATACCTGTTAAATGTGTATTGATTTTCTTCGTTTATTATCAACCCATTGAAATTTTGATACTGACTAATTATTGTTAACAAACATTTCGCCACTCGATTGGTAAATTGTTGTGTATTGTAGTAAAAATGCTGTAAATATATTAGAGTAGAGCCAGAGATGAGGATCTAATTGAAAAGTAAATATTTCTTCGCTCAATGCTTCTGCTTTCTAAATGTCTAGATGTGGATTTTTTTCTATATTGAAATATCTAAGATACCAAAAACTATAAGAGTATCCTGATTATTAGATTCAGGTCAGAGTTCCTATGATGACCGCAGAATTTTCATAAAATAACTCTGCTGGTAGAAAACATAAACTGCTTATTAGATGCTTGGAGGCAATCGGCAGGAAGCCTTGCCGATTGCCTCCAACCATCTAATATCATCACAAACAATGTACACCGTGATGGCGAGCTACCTAGAATGGTGGCCACATTACAACCTGACTGATAGAATTCAGTCTTCACCAAAGAGAGGACTAGACGCATCACACTAGTTACTAGTGTCAAATCAAAATATAAACTACTTAATTAAAAACTTCGTCTGTTAAAAGGGTCCCACAAAGCATATTCCATTTGATCTTAAAGGTCAAAAAAGCATTTATGCTAGCGTTATCCCTTCAAAACTGTTAGGGAAATGCATATTCCCCAGATGTCGCCGAATCTTTGACCGTATTTCGTTTGCTTATCTATGCCTCAGGTGCATGGCAGTACTATGAATGAAAACGTTAAGTGCGTCGCTTTCGACAGTAAAAAATTCTTTAGCAGCCTTATGGAACATGCTATTGGAAACTGTGAAAATCAAACGGCAGAGAGAGAGTTATTGAACACCCTACATCCTTAACTAAAGTAAATTGATAACATTTAAAGTCATTATTATCATTTTGCAATGATTAAAAAACAAAACAATATTGATATCATTTCTGCACTGAATCTCCACATCATAATCATGTCAAATTGTGTATTGTCTTCTAAATTCATTTACGGAATGGCTTTATTATTATTATCAACAACACTTATCAATGTGATTCATAAACAATTTCCACACGTTTAATTCATTTTAACTTCACGTCGGCCTGCTTAAACCACTACTTAAACCTGAATTTTCTATTCATTTAAGTGCATCATATTTACTCTATTTCAAACTGTTTTGGTCACCGAATTAAGTCCATGAATAGTAATTAATATATACTCACACACACACACGCCATCAAACAGATTCCTTAAAGGAATGGAGGAAAAAATCGTGGAGTTTTACAGCGTATGTATTGCTTCAGATGATATAGTATAGTTTATTATATTAACTGAGGTTTCTTCTACACAAAGCGTAAATACCTTACAATGAAAAGACTGAAAATTCCGTTCTTTGTATAAATGCATTTTTCAGAATAAAGCTACTATTAATACTAAAAAATTAATCTGATGTTAGTTAAAGAAACACACACACTCACAATTTGTTATTATCATTATTGTCCTTGTGGTTAACAACTGTTCCGCAGATAAAAAAAGGGTTGATCTTCTTTAGGGAAGCAGAATTTCAAAATACATTTTAGATTTTAGAAAAAACAAACAATGGCCTCAGTTTTTAATTTATTTCCCAATATGTTCAGTTGTGTATGCATGCATGCATTTATAAACATGTGACCAGAAGAATTATGATAAAAAAAAACGGCTGACATATTCGTGTGTCCAGATTATATATAGTAATGGAAGTTAACTTTTGTATTTGCGACATTAGTTACTGACTAGAGAGATAAGTAGTAAAATAATGAAACACATTTTTATGTCGATTGTCTCAGTAGATGGGATAATTAATGAAAGCAGAATATCTCCCAGCTTAACATATTTGTCAAATACACCAAACGTGTCAGTTGTGTACGCTTTTTAGACGCCCAACAGCACTCAATAACTTGATTAAGATGCCTCACCCAACTAAAACTTATATGGAGTGAACAGTTAACCAATTTTCACCAGCTTTATCGACGAAGTCCTTTTATATATTTTCACACCCTCTTCACACTTGTTAAATCGACACTCAGATACCTTTATTCTCACTCTATAGCAATTTTAACCTTATCAAATTTCTATCTTTGTGCCCTTGAGTACCACGTAATTTACAACTTTTAGTTTTCACTTCTAAAGCCACTTCTGAGTAATTATATCGATTATTTTACTAGCTTATTGATATTGGTATTTAAGGTACGAAAATTGATTGAATGGCTACCTGATGACTAGGTTGTTAGGTCATAAATAATTCTTCACTGGTTCATTCATGATAAACTTAGTTCACTTTTAATACCTCGATAAATTACACTAATACATTCCACTGTAAACACGTACTTTGACTGCTTATATCACTTATCACTGGTACAGATACAGTCGAACAGAGAATGAATTTCATTGCTCCATTCTAACTACCTTCAGAAATCTGACAGAAATTGTCACACATCTCATAACTGTTCACCTTTCGCAGTTACCTGGTATTAAAGTTATGCATCTGTCTGTGGACTTGATATTTTCTTCTGGACCGATTGAAATTAATTTCAAGATATATCAGATGTCGTCTAACATCGCAGTGCAACTCACATGCAATAGACTGGTGTACATGGGTATAATTAACTTCTAGAAAAACATTATATAAATCAAAAAGGCAGCTTCATAAATCATTCTATATCCTTTTTTTGTCTAGCTCTGATTGTTTTCTCTGATGGACGTTATATCGGTGCAATACTTGATCGTAATGGTCTTCGTCCAGCTCGTTTCTATGCCACCAGTGATGATATGGTGTACATGTCCAGTGAAGTTGGTGTAGTCGATATACAACCTAATGTGAACATTATCAAAAAAGGTCGTTTGAAAGCTGGACGTATGCTGATTGTTGACACAGAAGACGGGGAACTGCTAGATGATGAATCATTAAAATCTAAAATTGCCACTAAACATCCCTATGATGTTTGGCTTGAAGAAGGGGTAAGTTGTATTGAAAAGAATTAAGAAACAATGACCTTTCCTGTTGTCTGAAAAGTATTGTGAAGTGTTTGTTGATACTCCATTGTCTGTCCTTGAAAATTGTATAACATAGGATAAACCACTAATACACATGGCGTAGCATTGTAATGGGATGGAACAACAACATTAGGATGACTTCAATATTTCAGTCAATAGAATATTGTGATTGTTTTATCAGCGTCTTACTGTAAATTCAAAAAATTGTTAGTGTTTTTAATGAAGACTTTTCAATCCAGTTTTCGTTACCATTGCACTACGACAGTGTAAAATCACATGTATATGTACAGTGAGTGTTATGCAATCCATGTACCCATTAAATGACGTGAAAGGACTTCACAGAATCCAGGAGCAGCGGAACTTTCCACCTGTCAGAAGTTAGGAAACAACTGACTCTTGGAGAAATATCTTATCCACACCGACTACATTATTAATGCTGATTAAGTGGTCAGGATATGTTACCCAGTCACTACTTTTACTCTTTTTTCGTTTCTTTTCCTTATAGGCTATCGGTTTACCTGAAATGCACAGAGCGTTCTCTAATTCCCCCGAACATTACAGTAAGATAACGACGTTGTCTTCATCAGTGGTTGATGACCGTCGTTTACCACTGTTCGGCTACAATCCAGAAAATATTAATCTTCTAATTCTACCTATGCTGAAAACAAAGTGAGTTTGGTTTTTCTAATGTTTTTCTGTCATGCTTTTGTTTATCATACACCAACATGACATATATTTGTAATCTTCCTTCACTACGTAATTGATTGGAGAGTTTTTCTAGCATAGTTAGGCAGTTCATCAAACGCGAAACACTAATGTAATAATAATAAATATGTTTTTAAACTCAGAATTCCAAGGAGGTGTGACTAAATTAAAACATAAACAGGCTATTTCTAACTTCTTTAAATAGCTTCAAAGAGGTTTTCTGATGCTTTGCCGAATAGTGGATATGCGAAAGAGGTAATTGAAGTTACAAAACACCAAAGAGTGGTCTTGAATTACAAGTCAGAGATGCTTTCTTGTTTATTATTATTATGTCCTTTAGTTCCTAGAGGAACATAGGGCTTCAGACACACGTCTCCATTGCGTTCCGTTCTCTGCAAACGTTTTCACCTGGTTCCACGTCTGCCTACATGCTTATTTCTCTTTTTCGCATGATCTCCTCCATGTCAGCCTCCCACCACCGATCAACTCACCGATTCGCATTCGGGTTCCACTCGAGCGATGGTTTGGCGTGTAATGTCACTTGGTGGTTTTCTCAGAGTATGGCCTCCAGTCCAACTCAATTTCTTCCTGCATATTTGTTGCACAGTTGATTCCTGCTGGGTTGGTTCGTTCATTGCCAGAGATCCTTGCCGCTGATCTTTTCTGGCCGGCCATCTGATCTTGAGTATTGAGCGAAGACAGCTGTTGGTGGAAGTCTGTAGTCTGTTCGAAGTGTCCTTCACGACGTGCCAAGTATCTGATCTGCATAGTAGCACTGACTCCATATTGCAGTCGAAAATCTGGATCTTATTTTCCATACTGAGCGTTGCTGATCTTCACACAGACTTGCATTGCTTTCCCGATCCTCGTTTTGATATCCTCATTATCTAATATTAAGATGTGGATTTTCCAATAATTAGATTCTGTAACGCAGTCGGTTGAGCATAATGCTGGAAGGCTGAAGAGTGTTGTTTTTACGAGTCCTGCCGTTAAAAAGTCACCATTTCAACTTCAGTAACCACTCACTTACTGAAACCATGTTCTGTTGTGAAAACCAAAAACCGAGTTATGAATTTAACTCTTATTTTCGCTCAAGAAAAAATGATTAGGCTTCCTAGATTTCTTCCATAATTTTTTTAGAAATCAGTTGTGAGAACTTTTCTGTGGTGAAGTTGACTCCTGTATACAATACAATGTGTGTGTCAGTTCTTTCTTATATTACCTCTAGTTGCGTGCTACCGGAGTATATATATATGTATTTATTTATAAGTTAAACAGAAATAAAGGTCTGTTATAGATATTTTCTAAGCACCAAAGGTGAGCGTGTTGATAACCATTTTTGAAAATCAGTGCACAGTGAAGTGTAAGCCATGAAACTTTATCACATCCAATTATTTTCACTTGTTCGTAATCTTAGTTCCTTAAGAATTTTTAAATTCCATACATTCATGACATTCTTAATTCATGTACTCAAAGTTCCGTATTCTTCACATTCCGCAGTTGACTGGTAATGGATCTATTCAGTAAATAAATGCGTTATACAGTTTATTGATAAAATAAAGTAATATACTGACTGCCTGAATCTTTGTTTTATATGTCATGGCATTGATAATCAAGGATAACTCTCAACGGAAATCAGCCCTAACTGATGATTCCGAAGTAGGACTATTTATTGTTACTTTAGCCATACAAATGCAACACATCAAAATAGTTTGACTGCAAGTGTTTAAATAAACTGAACTTATAGTGAGAAAGAGATCCTTTCCATATCAGCAGATAACAAGATACTTTAAATTTCAGTAACGTTATTTGATGTTATTCTTCTGTTTCAGCAAAGAAGCTCTGGGATCTATGGGGAACGATGCTCCGTTGGCTTGTTTATCAGAACAGAACCCCCATGTGTTTGATTATTTCCAACAGTTGTTTGCACAAGTTACAAATCCACCAATAGATCCATTCCGTGAACGCATTGTTATGACACTGGTGAGTGTTCTTCATAGCGATATTATACACAGTTGAATTTTCTTCAGGGGATAATATTTTATCAGCTGTCGACTGCGCACTATTACTTTAAAGTCAACGGAACAATTGTCATATGAAACCGAGTGCGATTACATTTAAATCAGTTAAATAATCGCGATATATCAAAAACGTGAAAGCTCACCAGGTTAACGGAGTAAGAAAAAATAGAATGAGGAGGAATAAGATATTTCCTATAGTTCTGTTATAGTGAAATAGTTGTCCAGCTTGCTATAAAGATAAGAAGATAGATGGAATGAATTTATGTGTCTATGAGAAATGTCCAGTAGTATATGAATAAGGGAAAAATATCATGTGCATTAGTAAGTAACTTTAACCCGTATTTTTGCGGCTTACCATTAACCAGTGGCAGGTGAAGGTAAGCCATCATGACGAGTCTCATATTCTAGGGGCTGGGTTGCAGCATTGATTCGTAGAACTTCATCACTAACAAGAAATAGATAAAATGACTTAAGTTACTCTCTAGTGGCCAATCGGTAAGGTGTGGTTTCAGTCTAGATCAAATAAACCAGTCAAACTTGGAAAAAACTGGACTCATTTAACTCAAGTGTTTTTTTTCAAAGGTAAAGGACATTTTATGCAGTGTGCTAGATAGCTAATAAAAGGTAAGCCATAAACATATTTAGGAAAGATCAGTTTATTTGTTGAGGTGTCTGTTAGACAGCCGGTTGACTCTACTTCCTTCTTCAGGTTGTAGCCAATTAGAAGTTTAATTTGTTAAATTATTATCGGCTCGAATGGCTAGAAATTTATTCCTCTACATTCACCTAAAGGCCTGCTGATGTTAAAATACGGCTGATTTTGAATGTACATTCCCCAATAATCAAGATGATTGGGTGAATTTCTTTGTAGATTAGTAAAGATATTGTAGTTTTTAGATTTCAAGAAATATAGTTCATCGAAGCCTTTCAATAAAATATCATACATGATCACTCTAAGACAAATGACACCGAACTCCATTGCACTAATCAAACACAGACACCTTAAACGGGTTTTGTGGCTTTCTTAAATTGGGTTATTTTAAAAATTAATTGTTATATGGTGATTTCATTTTAAGGTGTATTTAAATTTTATTCAATTATAGCATTCTTTATTCATCCACTGTTACCTTTTCGTTGCCAAGCGAGATAAGGTTCTTTGACTCTTTTGGACAAAACATACATTGAACGACCTATATATCTCGCTCCATACGAGCAAGTAAATTTATAGATATACATAGAAGTACTCAAATGCGACAGTTTAACTTTGGAGATGTTGAAGAACAATGGGCGGCTTGAGAATATCAACCGTAATGTAGCAGCAGGGAATTTTCTTTTCAGGGTATTAGATATTCTTCTCTTTAAGATGTCGGCCAGAAGGTCGCCTTTGAATGCCACATTCATGTACAGCATCTTCTTCGGCACAGAGATGGGTTGTTCTTTGTTGATTTTGAGCTTCATATGTTTATCTGTAACGCGTGGTGGATAGCTATTCTCAAGTAGTGTCTTCCTCAGAAGGGTGATCTCCTCTTCTACTGATTCGGGACTGAATATTCTGCAGATTGTAGTCGCAAGTGATATTATTAGGTTCCGCTTGTGATTGATAGGTACCCAACTGTAAAAGTTTGTCAGCTGGCCGTTCCACGTCGGCTTCCAATATATTGTTCTCTTTAGGGTCCCATCACTCTTCTTTGTTCTTCAAGTAATGGGTCTACAGGTGAAGCTATAGCCACACCATCCTGCTTTCTATAAATAGTACCACTGAATATGAACTGAACGTTCAAAGTGCATCTAGGTAGACGTTCTTTTAACTTGGGTGTGTGTATTCCAATATTCAAGTCGTTGTCTTTCAAGTACTTCCATAAGAAACAAATCTATTCCGTAATCGGGATATTTGTGAAGAGAGATGTGACATCGAGTGATATCATGTAGTTCCCGCCCACTTTCACATCTTTGATACAGTTGACGAATTCAAACGTGTCTCGAAGAGAGTATTTTGAAATTTGTTCTCTAACAGACTGTAAGAGTTCTTCCAGCCATTTTGCAATTGGATGGTTTGGAGATCTGGACATCTCCAAAGTAGGGCGCAACGGAAATCCTTGTTTGTGGGTTTTGGGCAATCCATATAGTCGGGGTATTATTGAACCAGTCGGTCCAGTGCTCTCGTAGACCTTTTCAGAAATAAGTTTATCACTTTTAAGCCTCCTCAATATCCCAGTGAGTTGCAATTTTGTTATTTCTGTTTTGTCTTTCTTTTTGTCAGGTGCAGCGAGCTTGTTGTTGTCTGAAAGAATTGCTAACATTTTATCGATATAGTCCTTTCTATACATTAGGAGTATGCCAGTACCTTTATCAGGGCGTGTGATGAGCAATTCCTTGTTACGTCTTAGTTCGTTTACATGTTCTCTGCGTTTTTTAGTTAATAGATTATTGCGCTTAGAATTTGTATTGAGGTACTGATGGTATGAGTCTAAAGTTGTTGACTTAAAACGTTTGAACTTCCCTTGACAGACTGGGAAAAGATCACTAGTCTAACTGATCAAATTTTCGCACTGTAACTATATTATTCATTTCAGAAAAATAGATGAAAACGACTCAGATACTGTTTGAGCCTAACAGTCCTAATCAGCTATATTTTTATTATCATCCTTTTCTTAGATGTGTCCAATCGGCCCACAGAAAAATATTTTAATACCATCCAGGTCACAAACCCATCGTTTATGGCTTACCAATCCTATATTATCGTTGAAAGATATGGCTTTATTACGTAACCTCGAGGGCGATGCTCCTTTACAGCCTGACGACATGAAACTGAAAAGTACTGTTCTGACTTGGCGTAGTTTCATTTTGGATGCTACTCTGTCCACTTCAGAAGCCAGTGGTGAGATTCCCCTGGGTGCCCAATTATATAAACGTCTACAAGACCTTTGTGACCAAGCTGAAAATGCAGTACTGCATGACAATGTGGATCTATTGGTAATTTCTGATAGAGCTTGTGGCGTAGATCGTCTTCCGATACCAATATTGTTGGCAGTGGGAGCGGTACATCAACGTCTGATTCGTCGCGAACTTCGCATGAGAGTAGGAATTATTGTAGAAACAGGGGAATCTAAGTAAGTCCTGTGTCTTGTTAATCATTGTTTATCCCATTATTTCATTTCGAAAATGATTTTGCCTATTATTATTATTGCAGGGCTACATGTTACTTGTGAGTAGCATAAATTGACACCTGAAAAGTAGTTAGGATACAACTTATTTGATGATTAAGAGCAAAAATATTGAAAACCCCAGTTATTTGTTGTAACCAATAATTACCTTTCAAGATATCAGTAAATCTTTTGAAACGTAGCTGTTGGTGTGAATACTTCGTGAAAAACGGAGAATTAATTCTGACAAAAAATTATAAAATCAGGATCGTAAGAATTCAGCCCTAAATCAGTAGAATAAATCTGAAAGCTACGTACATAGAGGAGTAAAGTAAACAGTGGAAATTAGAAAAGTAAACACTGAACAACCTGAAGAAATATGTTAAGACAGGTATATGTTGTTTAGCCTTTTTCTGTATTTCCGGAATATCTCCGTCAATCATTCAGTCTTTTGAGTGAACAGAATGCTTCTGGTTTTGACTAAAAGCTGTCTTTCTTCATTATACCCCTGGATAAATCTTATTTCTTGTGCTATTTTTTAACATACTACATAGAAGTTGACCAACAAACTGTTTAATAATCACGTGATAAAGTACATTCCTGTTGCATTAGACAATTAATTATTTAGAGAAAGGCAAAACAATCAACAATCTCAGTTTTATATGGAACGGAATAGTGACGATGAAATCACGGAATTAGATTTCATGTTTTCACCCTTTCATCTTAGGTATTTGTCTAGAATACTGACAAAAATACTTGCGTGAAAATTTTAGGAAAATCGTTAGCTAACTGTAGTCAGAAAGGGCGAGATTACATGCAGTTTAGGATGTGAGTGCTTAATGTAGCCATCATATTATGCAACCCATTCCACGGATTTCTGTCATAGTAGAAGTCTTACTTTTCGTTAGCAATATAGCTAGTTTCTCTGATCAGCTCACTTAAAAATCTAGCCATTTTTACCACTAATTGCTCATCTTCCGGCAAATATTTAGCCGGTAAGTTTTCTGGTTCCTGAATGATACATTTCTTACCGAAACACAATACCATTTCCACTAAATGTTTGTCTGCTTTCTTGTATTAGGTTATCTTCCCTTCATTTTCACAGAAATCGTTTTCGAATTGCCTTATTCAGTTCCAGCATGGTTAAAATCACACATACTTCACAAGCCACCACTGCGGTCGTTGTTAGTTTATCATCGATCTATATTCTCTTGTCACCATATGCTGTTTCCCCTTTGTTTTCTAGATAAGTGTTTTGGAAAGGTATTTTCCATGTGCAAGTATGTTGGTGGCTCATAAAGAGCCAGTCGAGAAGACACAGGAGATATGTGTCCCATTTTTACGTGGCCAACCTATTGTTTGTGTTCATCACTGAATTTGTGTGAATTGACACTAGGGTCAAATATAATCCTATTATTAGGAAGACTGATACAAAACATTTCGTTTTTACTCCTCTCGACAGTAATGTGTAACTATTTCAAAAAAGTTGGACAACTTGACTGCTTATGTACCTTGTATGTTAGGTTAAAAGTTTTCGTTAGGAGTTTTATTTATTTGCTTACTTACAGTTGACTTTTATTTCTACTACTCCAGAGAAGTCCATCATTTCTGCACACTCATTGGTTTCGGTGCTGATGCGATATGTCCTTATCTGATTTTTGAATCAGTTTCACGTTTGAACTGTGAAGGTCTTCTTACATCGGATACAAATGTCAATGAAGAAGAATTATATTCAAGTTTCATATCAGCTGTTGAGCGTGGTATTCTTAAAGTAAGTGTAGAATAGTTTAACACCAAAGTACTGCTAATATATTTTGATTGAACACTAGTAACTAGTGTGATGTGTCTAGTCCTCTCTTTGGTGCAGACTGAATTCTATCAGTCAGGTTGTAATGTGGCCACCATTCTAGGTAGCTCGCCATCACGGTGTACATTGTTTGTGATGATATTAGATGGTTGGAGGCAATCGGCAGGAAGCCTTGGACCTAGGTTTCGTGCTAGTTGGCACTCACTAGTCAGCAAGGCGTATGTTTAACACCAAAGTACTGCTACTTGCTTAACTTTGTTTGTACATCTTTTTTTAAAAGTAAGTCTTGGTGATACTGCACACTACACTGTGGTGGTATTTGGGCTCGTAAATGCTGAACCGACAGTAAAGCATTGTTGATTCATCATGCTTGATTCGGTCTACAAAGATAAACTCCCCAAAGCTTTGATTAATTTATAAGATAGTGTAGTGTAAGTTTCTTAACAGAAAAAAATATTCATTATGAAAAAAAGACTAACGTTTCAGTCCCATACTGTGACAGTCTTACGAACTGGTTTACAGCAAAGTCAAGAGAATAGTAAGACCAAAAGATTTCAAACCATGAAGTAAGTCTACATTCTATCCTAAACGTATCAAAAAATGTTGTTTGCCCGAACAATTTTATTGTGTCAACAGAAATCTATCATTGCAAAATAGAGGTAAATCAATCCTGAACCGGCTTTGACAATCTAGATGCATTCACGCATTCTCATTATACAAACAGTAATACTCCAGTTCTATATTGTCTCCACCTTTGATTTTTTTTCTCTCTTCCTTATGATGAATTTTTCGATTTTAGAACAATTATTTATATTTTCATTTCTGTGTATTGTTGCATATTGCTTTCTGCTTGATTTGGGGATGTGACCTGTTTCACTTCTCAACGTTAAACAGTCAAGTTGATAAATGCGATTCCAAAAATGTTAACGCTTACAAGATAAGAGATACCTTCCCCTAGTTAATGTTGGCGTCTCATCAGGTTTCATCAAATAGATTTGACTGTATTTTTATTGTGATTGTGATACCAAATATTTACTATTATGCTTGGTATCAGCTTATTAGACAAATATACCAGTTACACTTACTTTTCATTAGCATAATAAAAGTCAATGCACATTTAGTCATCTATATCTTACTCTTATAGACTTTGCCAGTGCGTCAGTGGCATAGCGGTTAGGACGCTCGCCGACCATTCACATGGTCCGGAGTTCGATCCCCGGCCGACGCACTCCTTTATCTCGCTAAGCCAGAACTAAATTTGGTGAGGAGGAAAGTTTGGGCATGAGGCTAGCAACCCCATCCTTTAAACATAAACACTGCTACAGAAACTTCAAGCCTCTAGCCTGGAGCCCTACGTTCCACTGGGAAAGTGAAGGAATAAGAAAAAATAGACTTTGAAAGATACGTGAATGCGATTTGATCCAGCGTTTGCCTAACGCAAACTAGTGATAGTGAAACGAGAAACTAAGTGCTGACTAAAATCAGCCTACGACAGTTTACAAATATATTTGTTGTTACTATTATTCCCTTGGGTTATGAGTAGAGTATAGGGGTTGAACAGCAACTCAGTTTTGTCCTGTCCTCTACAGTCCTCTTTAGCCGACCCCACGGTTGAGCATAAGTCTTCATTTCCTCCTCACACACAATCTCTTCCCCTTGGGCCCACGCTCAATTAACCGTTTTCCACTAGAGTTCTACTAGATGGTCTGGCAATCGATACAATGCAACGGCCTCCACAGCACCGGTCCGATCCATCATCATTTGTTGGGCACTACCTGCCAGGTTCCCTTGTGGTTAATCCTTTTCGGTTGGCCATCTGATCTACAGTATGCAGCCAGCGAATATATACTTGATAGATTTTTAGTAAACTAACAATGATCTAGAAACAAGAGATACCAGATTTCCTCCTATCAAGACATCAGTATTCTAAGCAAACGCTTCTTAAATAGTGACTTGCTGAATATTTTGATTTTTAGAAATCAACTGGATCATCAGAAAATGCTGGAGATACTCATTTTCGGTTGAAATCACATTAACATGTTCACAGTTTCTAAATATTCCTTATTCTGGAAGATATTTCTTATTCTGAACTTGTTTATATCAGTAAGCAGTTCGTATAACAGTTAAACTACATGTTTACACTGACATCGACATATACTCGTTAACAGTTATGCGGTTGCTTTAATTTTTAATATACACTCAGGAAAAATTTCCGTAACGACAGTATATCTTGGGGAAAAACAAGGTAATAGGCAGCCTTCGATATCCAACTTATTAACACTGTAATAATTAACTCTTACTACCAGCTTAAAATATACTGTCTCTAACTTTACTTCCAAGGTGTATTAAACGCAAAATGTTTGTTTCAACAGAAAATTCTCATTATTCGTTTGATATTATTTTTCACAGGTTATGGCTAAAATGGGGATATCAACGCTGCATAGTTACAAGAGTGCTCAAATATTTGAAGCTGTTGGTTTAGCTCAGTCTGTGATTGATATGTGTTTCTGTGGAGCGACGAGTCGTGTAGGCGGAGCAGATTTTGAAATTCTAGCCAGAGAGGTTACAGCACGTCACCGGTTAGCCTATCCGGAGTGTCAGACAATCTGCACAAAAGTACTCGAGAATCTTGGTCAATTTGGAAACAACCCTGGATTTTATCATTGGAGACAAGGTGGAGAAAAGCATATAAACAGTCCAGAAACAGTAGCTAAACTACAAGTAAGTCAGACGTTTCCGCAAATATCCATTGGCTACTAATTTTAGTTGGTGATGAAAACATTGCGTTTCCTAGAAACACAGGCCTCTGAGTAATAGGCAAAATAAATCTTCCGAAACAATATGTTGCTCACTTTCTACTTCCACGCGTTTAAAGAACAATTTTTCGTTAAAGCAATTCGTCTTTATTGGCTAGTGAATACTGAGACAGGATAATCACCTAATCTGACAGTTGGAGTACTACTTATGTGAAAAAATTAAGTAGTTATGAAAGCCTAAGTGTAGCTAAATCACATTATGTTGACTATCTTTAGGATGCACTACATTTTCCTATCATCTATTACATTTTTAATCAGTTAGACAAAACATTTATTCCTAAGAAATATCTTTGACATTGTTTACAATGGTAATTCATTGCTTCTTTGAAGGAGACAAAATTTCTTCCGAAAGAATTGCTTCTTATCTATGGTAAATTATGCTATGGTTCACCTTTATGACGAAAGAATACAACTAGGACTAAAATAAGTAGATTATTAAATTGAAATATGAACTTGACTAAAGCTAAACACTAACTAAACAAAATATTATCTTCCCACCATATGCTTGAAGTATTTTAGTTTTTATTCCAACGAACAGGCTCTCGTGCCATTCTGCTCTTCTCTTATGTCAGATAACATTCAAAGTCGCAAAGTTTTTAACTCACCAATTATTAGCTGAATGAGCTGGTAAGCCTTATCCCCGAAATCACTTCAGTCTTAATCCCTCCGAGATATATTGCTCTTGTGAGTATATTTCTAGGCAATTCGATCTTCTGATTTTGTTTTGCTGTCACTACTACTTGTAGGTTAAATAGGTCAGTAATTAAGTCGTTACTAGTGTCTATCAGTTTTCGTAAAATCGGTCAAGTGCAACGAAATACTAACACATCTAATATGTACTTAGCAGTTGCCTTTATTAACCAGCATTCTAAGAATCTATTTATTTAATATATATTTGTTTTACTCGTAGGCTGCATCTCGAAACAATAGTCAAGAAGCCTATAAAATGTTTGTTCAAGCTGCTGACGAATGTTCACGTTATTGTACTTTACGTGGGCAATTAGACTTTCACTTTGCAGAGAAGCCTTTACCACTGGAGTTTGTTGAACCAGCTGCGGAAATTGTTAAACGCTTCTCTACAGGTGAGTTTTGTTTTGGCCTTTTTCTACTCATCCTGTTTGTTTTTTTTTCTCATAGAGGCATTGATAACATTAGTTTGTTTGCATAGGTTGCATAATGTATACCAATGCTTAACATTCTTGCTATTCCTAAAGGATAATAGTTTTCTCCCTAGCCTGTATTGTCTACGATGGCTTCTGTGATCAAGTTAAAATATTTAGTTCAAGAAGAATCAGTTTGCAATAATAGTTAATTAAATAAATAAAATCGACCCAGTCGTGCATTCAATATTAGCCTGTTGTGAATAAAGGATCCAAACTTTCATTCATTTAACTAGCCAAAGTTATCAACTTTTTCACCTGCTTTCTTCAGCCATACGAAGGAAATGAATTTCCAGTGATCCTTTTTTATTGAACGATTACAATGATTATTCAGTCATTGATAGGATCATTTTTACGACAAATTTGTTCAAAAGGACACGATATAAATGAGATATTATGGTTGATCTTTTGCTTTGCACAGCAATTTCATTCATTTCTTTTACTCCTAGTTTGAGCCAGGTATTTTGAGTACCGTTCGTTATTCAGCTTCAATTTATTTACTTTAGTAATCAGTTCTATCCAATATGATGTTGTTTCTTCATTTCATTGGTTAGATGAATAACGGTAGGATGAAAGTTGTTAAAAATATGCCTAAGCATATGATATTGTGAAAAAGGTATATTTGAATGAATGAAACCAATGAGAACATAGCAGGTTTGATGCGAAGTATGCGATGAAAATTTCAGTAGCCCAGGGATTTTAAGTAGGTGGCTGATAATGCTGCACAATTTTGAATCAAAATCCATTATTCCATCTTGGTATAACAGGTTGTATCGAATTCCCGAGGTAAAATCCATCAGATGCATTACAACATATAAGAACATTCTCATATCATCCAGGTGAAGCCACAGTTATATGAAGCCATAGGATATTTTGCGGGCTGTTGTCGGACTTCAGAGTTAGTGTCCATGCATCAGTATCAAGCATTTTATTTAGAAGAGGAAACGTGGGAAAACTAAACCTTTTTCACTTATGTCCTCATTAAGCCTTTGTCTAACATGAATAGCTCTCTCTCTCCATATATATATATATATATATAATATTGCTGTTCTCAAATACCATTGAGGCGGTTTACATTACATAAACTGTTGATAAGGCGTGTATTCAATATCACTTTTACTTTTCATTAGGTGCAATGAGTTTGGGAAGTATTTCTTCTGAGGCTCATACAACTCTAGCTAAGGCTATGAATAAAATTGGCGGACGATCTAATACTGGTGAGGGTGGTGAACGACCTGAACGATATAAAAATCCTGAGATATGTTCTGCCATAAAGCAAGTAAGCTCTGAATATTAAAGTAATCAACACTATATTATTATACATTATTCAGTATGTTCATTCAGCGTATCAGTCTGTAGCATTTGTGGTTATAGTATTGATTGTCGAGGGCGCATTAAAAGAAATCATTGATGTAAAGTTCAGAATATATGTCCCTCAGTCATTCACTGACTCTTAGATTTAATTAATAAGACTTGATTAGCCGATTTAGTCTTGCTTCAAAAAAAAGAATTATCTAATTCCTCATTTGTGCACTTTTGAGAACTGATCGTTAATCTGCAAATAATGAGATCCAATGACCTTGAAGACTAACCACATCTGTCACATGATCATTTGAAGGTTCCAGCAGGAAACAGTGTGCCTAACTCAACGAGTTTCTATTTACCATAGCACCAGTCTTACTATCCGGTGTAGAATGGTAGACAACCTAATTGGAAACACGGCCAATGTGGTCAAATTTCATAATAAAAAACTAGGATCATAATGGATGAGGAGTGAATACTAATGTGATAGTTATGCTTGTTTAATAATAAGTGCAAGCCAAGAAACCAATGGATATAAATATATTTGGTAGAAAGTGCCTAAGAAAAGACTTACAAAGTATTCATTCTTTAGCTACAATAGTAAGTGAGACAGCTATGTACAGTTAACCAGCCAGCTCACTCGCTGCTTTTTGTGCATTTCAGGAGAGATTTTTTACTGTTTAGTCAGTCTCTCAGCTAGAAGCCACAAAGCAGATGTTAAGGTTTCAGTGGCGCTTTTTGTGCGATAAAATAAAATAAAAATAACTTCAACAATGTGAGCATTACGTAGTGTTCAACTACTATTTTTGTACGATTTGAGGTTGTATAACGCTTATGAATAATTAAATTGCACAAAATTCAACTCTGTTTATTTGTTTGTTGCTATGGTAATTTTAACGAATGGCGTAAACCACCCTGACTCATTCATGCATAACAGACGTACTGTGAACAAGTGAATTATTTATTTATGCAGGAGATTAATTTTGCATCAAAAATGTGGTTAAAAATGAATTTCTTACTGCCATGCTTCCCAAGTAATTTCAGAATGAAAAACAATAGCTGAATATTGGAGAAACTATAAAGTAGAATGTGATAATGAAATTCAATGAGAGAAAAAGCACTTCATAACCGCATTATAATAATAAGGTTTCGTGACAAGATTTCAAGTCATTGTATGGACTGACATGACGAATTTTCAATTGCTGGGCGCATAATTTATAGGGAGTGATGGGGAAGACGCCAATCACAGTTATCACACACTTAATTTGCAACGAGTTACTAACCAACTCTTGATAATACTTTCTTTTAAGGCTAAGAAGACGTAGTCCTAATATATGGTTTCATAAAAACTGGAAACACTTTGTTTCCTGTTCCAGTGATCATTCATTTATACTCCCTAACGTTTTTAGCTTATGATGATATGATGCATAGTGCAATAATCTTCATAATCTATTTCAGTAATAGGTAACTTGTTTAGACCATGCATTATGTGGGTATTTTCGTGGTACCTGTTGGTATATATTCATATAATGTGAACACTTTCCCCAATTGATTAAACTTAGGTTGCTTCAGCGCGGTTCGGTGTCAACAGTTCATACTTGGCCCACGCTGAGATGCTGCAAATCAAGATGGCTCAAGGCGCTAAGCCTGGTGAAGGTGGGGAACTGCCGGGTTATAAAGTCACCGAGGAAATTGCGCGTACGCGTTACTCAGTGCCAGGTGTTGGTCTAATCAGTCCACCACCACATCACGATATTTATTCTATTGAAGATCTATCACAGGTAATCAATATTTTCCACTAAATGTTTTTTGTTGCAAAGCAAGTAAAGAAATGAAGCAAAAGGGTCGCGCTATGTCGTGAATTGGCAGAAGTTAGAATTCATGCGCCATTGGATCGGGTCCTAGTGGCTTAATGGTATACGAGCTCGCCTTGTAACCAGAAGGTCGTGGGTTCGAATCCCGGTGGGTGCGTACTGCTGAAGAGTCCCGAACTAGGACGAAACAGTTGTCTAATACTCCTAGGTTTTCCAATGGTTCTTTAACTAATGTCAGCTCATGATGAAAATCCTGTAACCAATCAAATCCCTACAAACCAACACTTGAATATTAATTATGTATATGAAAATATATATTATTGTTTATAGTAGAAGACTAGTAAATGACTGTAAATTTGAACAAAGCAAGAACTACAGTTTTTGCAAATTTATAACAAAGAAATCGATTATTGCACGTCACACTTTCCACTGATAGTTTACATTATTAGTAGAAGTAGTATTAGTGGTAGTGATACTACTGAGTGACACTGTTGTCAGCCAAAGATCTGCATAGTATGCACACACACACACTAACTATCTGTAAACGGACACTAATCGCGTGTTACACCATAACATAAGTACTCTTCACTTACATCTGTAAATGCAAATTTAAAAAAAAAAACACCTGAAAGTGAACTGTTCGCGGAGGAACTAGAAATATCCCAAAATGTTGTAAACATTTTCTTAGCATATATTTATAATTTATGCAAAAGAAAGGAAAACTTTTAAAATATTGTTCTATTCTTTGATGTTATTTTTTTTTGCATACAAAAGAGGAAGCCCATTCATTGTTCATTAACTATATCAGCTAGTTAAAAAAGCAAAAAGCAAAGTGTTTTAGCAATGAAATTCTCTATGCGCAAAAGTATAAGTAAAAAGATGATCAGTGTGGTTTTCCTCCAATTTTATAAACTTATAGATCCAAAAGGCGTATATCATAGCAACAAAGATGTCAGTATAAATAAAAAACTTGGGCACTGTGGTAGAGTATAACTCCATTATGGATAAGATTTTATTTTGATAAATCACACAGTGTTATACAGTAATATTAACTGATGTCATTTCGAGCACAAATTATTACTGCTCATAATCATATCAAGTCACTCACACAACTTCTTTCCTTCATTTATATACATGAGTGGAATTGACTAGATATTTGAATAAAAATCAATATGAGATAATGTACATTCAGAAATAATAATATGAGTGGTATTGATCAATTACAATCAGATGGGAAATAAGACGAGTGTCTACATAGTCAAAATAAGTAACTTGTTAGAATGTTGTGATGTACGTGAATTGAATTGAAATAGAATTTTAAGATTATATATTATCCTCTTCTGATTTAACTGGTGGTAGTAATATCTTCCATATCTCTGATATTTGCATTGAGTCATTTCTGTTACATGTGTTGGTTGTAGACTCAATGAACCAAGATTCAGTAATTAATCTCTCTCTCCACCTACATAGATAACTTCTTAGAATTTTAACCCTCTCCCACCCTGTTATGTGGTTGTGTGTTGATGCATGCAGTGCAATGTAGCGCTGAGCTTTTTTCTAAATTACAAAGATTTCAACCAAACAAATATGGTTGTTTGTATTACAGGACAGCTGAGAAGTGATCACTAGTACACCTTACTGAACCAAACAAGTTATCGCCTTTTCGAAAGCTCAGCCAATGAGTATTCATCTGCAAACCGAACAGGATTCAACATCTATTCAGTTGTTGTTGTTATAATATTTTTCTGTCATCAAACAGTATTTATTCGGATTCAGGGTTCAGATACTATCAGCGTCAGCATGATTTCTCAGATCAAGGGATTACATACAATATCTCTTCAACAGACATTTTGATTAGACGGTGTCACAGTCATTTACGTAGATGATAGGAAATTTCGCTTATATAATTGGCCTAATTTACCGCTATGTACTACATTAGTACCAGTTGAAGTGGGGGAGTGTGTAAACAACAAAACTTTCTCTCCTTCCTCTTTATGTGTTAAGTAAAACTGAACTATTGACTGATTAACTTGATGATCACAAGATGATACAAAGACATATGTGAGCACTAAATGCACTACTCTCAAGTCTGTGTGGAGGTCAACAGCACTCAGCATCAAAAAAAAATCCGGATTTTCAACTCCAATGTGAAGTCAGTCAGTGCTACTATACGGATCAGAGACTTGCACTGCGCGTCATAAAGAGCATCTCAAACAAACTACAGACCTTCATTAACAGTTGTCTTCACTCAATACTCAAGATCAGATGGCCAGAGTTGATCAGCAACAGAGATCTCTGGCAATGAGCGAACCAACCCAGCAGGAACCGATTGTGAAACAAATAGGCAGGAAGAAAAGGAGACGGATTGGCCATACTCTGAGGAAACCATCAAGTGACATCACTGGACAAGCCATTGCTCGAGTGGAACCCGAAAGGGAAGCGACGAGTTGGTCGTCAGTGCGAGGGTGACTTGGAGGAGGTCATGTGAAGAGGAGATGAAAACGTGTGGGCAGACTTGGAGCCAGGTGAAAACTCTAGCAGAGAACCGAACGCAATGGAGACTCACGGCTGAAGCCCTATGTTCTTTTAGAAATTAAAGGAAACAATAATAGTAATAAATGCATTGATGTTACAACCCTTAATTTATAAATAATAGAGCAAACATGATTGAATTTTCTCTACCTTCACAATCCCAGGATTCTAAAGTTCGTACATGCTAAAAATTTCAATTCAACTATGCAGGCAAACTTATTAGTATAGAAATGAATCAGTTCGATTCCAAAGTCGAATCGCTTTTTTTGACAAAGCACACATTGTGATGGACAGTATGGTTTAGTCACTGATAACGTTTTGATCGCGGTTTCCTGTTCACACTCACATCATCACACAACTTGCTTTAGGTATTTCTATTATTGAATACATATTTCCCGAATTTCCCATATCTGTGTTGCACCATTCTTATTGAATTACGAAGTTAATAAAGAGGGAATTTATCTGCACCTAACCAAACGTTGATTGACGAAATGTCAGGGGCAGTTGCGCCCGTCTAAGCAGCTTAGATGATATCGTCTTAGCTTGTTTCAGTGACTGTGATACTGGCATAAGTGTGACATATGTTTCCCTCTTTTTCAGGTTTACTTTTGCTCTGAATAGGATAAATTTTATTTATTTGAAAGCTACTAATTCTGATCAAATTTAAATCATCTAATTCAATTTTTACTTGAACTACAGAAGTTGATTGTTTTTTGTGGTATTTGAAAAATAAATTTTCAGAATGTACTTTCGACTAATCGAATTATAATTATTAGCACTTACATGCAGGTAGGCAGGTATGCTGCATTTGTTTAATAAACAGATGAACTAGTTACCTGGTTTTACTACCTAGTACTTACTTACTTCACTTATGCCGAGGAAGTGATTCACTTCGAAAAGTTGATAGACTGAAACCAGTGAACAATATCTAAAAGAAGAGAATTAAGGCCATGAATTGCATTTCACCCAGAAAGCTTTGCTACAAAAGTTATTAGTAGTAACTGAAAATGGAATTCTAGAAAAAGTTGTATTGCATTCAGACTTAAATAAGTTCAGGAAATGACTATCAACATAGTCTGTCTGCCTGGTGAGAAGACGATACTTTCAATCGTCAAGGGTTGATCACTGTCTTTTCTACTAGTTAACTCTGAACCAAATCAATAAATTTTCAATAAGTCCTCAGCTGTATTATTATACTAACTAGAGTGATTTGACATTTGATGACAGCTTGTTGCTTATGATGGACAGGTTTATAACTTAAACCAGCAGTCTTTTATTTTTAAAGAGTATAGAAAGGTTGTCTACACAAATGGTATCTGGGTCACATTTTCGTAAACTTCAGGCAAAAAGTTCAGCGTAATTTTCACCTCTAGACAATTTCACTTATCGACTGGAGTTTTCTAACCTAAACGTATTTATGATTCATTTCTAGCTTATTTATGATCTGAAAGCTGCCAATCCATTTGCTATAGTTAGCGTGAAACTTGTTTCTGAAATTGGAGTCGGTGTAGTTGCTGCTGGTGTGGCCAAAGTAAGCATACAACTTCTGCTTGTGTATTTTAAAAATCCAATGTTGTTTTTTTTCTATTTTTTTGTTGTGATCTGAAAGAAGATTGGTCCTGTCTAAGCATCATTTTTCAGTAGCGTCAACTTCTTGTTGTGTACATAACTAATGGTTCACTAGCCCCATCTTATATGTCAAACTCTGATTTGGTAAACTGAACAATATATATATAACAAGTTAACGAGTAGGCTTGAAAATAAACTCTAGCAGATTTAAACCAGCACTCTATAGGAGGTAACATCTCTATCGATCGGGCCATATTTATTTGATTAATGAATTAAAAGAAATTATTCTTTCTAAGCGATTAAACAAATTAATGACAGTGACGATTTAAAATTATTGAACTTTGAAAAACTCCGGTTTCTCTATAAAGTTTGGATTCAAGTAAGAACAATCAAAGCGAAGTTTGTTGATGTTGGCATCCACCATTCTCACCGGTTGTATCTGATGTCAATAACAACATTTTACTAGTAATTCGAATTCAATCTAAATATTTATATAAAATTGGGTAAACAGTATTGTGTATTTTCTCACCCCTTAACTCTTTGTTATATATATATGCTGAGATTTTGCAAATTCCGGTTTAATAATACTTTGATAAAGCTATTAGCAGCATTAAATAGCGAAACGTCAGTAAAAACAAAATCGTTTTGTTTTTCATTCATTGGGAAATACAACAACCTTTATTATAATGAATAAGATTATACTCTGAACAAACCAGATACCGATGAGTTTGTTCTGGCTAACTCAGTCTACACACCGATGTCAGCTTGTTTTGTAATTACCGCTGCTGTGTTAAGCGAATATTTTGACCGTATGTTTTCAGCCTTTTGTGGTGAAAGTATTTTTCTGTCTCACCAGTTAGTTTAATACTTACTGGAGAGTGGATTTCAAATATCATTTCAAATATCTGTTTGAGGAGTACAGAATAAAAACCAACCCATGATTCAATACAATGTATTTTACTAATTTCTTAGGCTCGAGCAGCACATATCACAGTTTCTGGTCATGATGGTGGCACCGGGGCTAGTAGCTGGACAGGTATCAAACATGCTGGACTGCCATGGGAATTGGGTATTGCCGAGACTCATCAATGTTTAATCAGTCAACAAGCACGCTCTCGAGTTAAATTACAAGCTGATGGACAAATACGTACAGGTAATAAGATTTTAAGACTTGCCAGGGAATGTGAAATGACTTCCATTTTTTATCTCTTCATTATGCAAAATGATTTCTGAAGTAATCTCAATGCGTGGATCGACATCCCCAGGAGCCATATTGATTAAAAAGATGGCTAGCTTGCGAATCAAAACATATATGTTAAAAAAAACACCAGCTTTTATTATCGTTCATTTCTTATATGTTAAATGATTTCTGGCGTATGTACACATCTGCTCCAACCCCGTCTCCACTTCCACTTAACTATTAAGGTCACGCAAATAAAAGAATCTTCTGATTTTCTTACATCATAAAAAATAAAATAGAAGCATGTAAATTCACCACCAACATTTTGTGAAGTTGTATTAAAAAGGCAAAACAAATTATTTGTAGACATGTCTGGTTAACACGGATATATATATATATGCATATATATATACATATATATTAAATATATAGGGAGAGAGGGAATATAATTGGCTGGTAACTGAAGTTTCTTAAACATTAGGCAGCCTTACACTTTCTGATTTTTTCTGTATCCTAAGTGAACGTTAATACAGTAATAAAATTAGTCTCATTCAACAGCGACTCAGGGATTGACTTGCTACCAGGGAATAATCTCGTCGACTTAGAATATGCGGACGATATATAGTCCTTATAGGCGAGCACGCTGACAAAATGCAGAGTCTACTGAACACCTTGAGCAAAAATCTTCGTATGTTTGGCATGCGATTCGCCCCTGTAAAATGTAAGATGATGCTGCAGGACTGGACTACACCGACTCCTAGACTAGAAATAGGAAGTGAAGTGGTAATGCACGTTGACCGCTTCACTTACTTGGGAAGTACCATCAGCCCCAACGGGTTGATCTCAGACGAAATCTCAGCACGAATATAGAGGGCTAGGTTCGCATATGCCAGTTTGCGCCGTCTCTGGTGTAGACGTGATATCCATCTATCGACTAAAGGGCGTGTGTACTGCTCAACAGTCCGCTCCGTCCTCCTTTATGGCTGTGAGACCTGGCCATTGAGAGCAGAATATATGAAAAGATTATCTGTGTTCGACCATAGGTGTCTGCGTTCTATCTCCCGCGTGAAGTGGTATAATAAGATGAGCAATATTGAGGTTAGGCGTCGAGTGCTAGGTAAGGCGGGGAAATCAGTCGACGAAACTATCAAATCACATCGACTGAGATGGTTAGGACATGTATTACGTATGCCTAGTCATCGCCTTCCTCGACGGGCAATGTTAGCTGATTTGGGGCAGGCTGGAAAAGAGCTAGCGGCGGTCAAACGAAAACATGGCACCAGTCAATGAAATCCACAACAGTTAGTCTAAGCCACGTAGGCAGATGTAGATTTCCTGGTTGGGGTCCTCGGGACGGTAAAAACCAATGGTTGAAAACAATTGGTGACATGGCTCAAAATCGTTCTCAGTGGCGCAGATGCATTCACTCCTTGTGACTTATGATTTCCAGTTAAACTTTTTTGTTCTCCGTTATTACTATTCCTTTGTCTCACACCTCTGTTTACTGTCTATATTATGCATTTCTTCTACTTTCTCCTCTTGCTTTGTGTGCTACATGGAGTGTGGCGACTTGAACTGCCGCACATATGTGCAAAGTTCTATGTCGAAAACCGACCGACCGACTGACCATTCAACAGGATTTGTCCTCACTTCTGACGGGATGAACCCCACTGGTTACGAATTCTCACTCACTTCTCATTCACTGAAGAACTATTTCTTTATGCCTTTCTCTGAATGCATCTCGTTGAAAACAACTGGAGATTAGGACAAATCCCTCGCTGCAATTATTCAGCTCACGAATTCTTTAGTTGCATTTTGTTTGCTTAAATGTACTTGCTTGATCTCACACGCAACCGTATTCTTTTTTTACTGTAGGACGAGATGTCATTATAGCCTGTATGTTGGGAGCTGACGAATTCGCAATGTCAACAGCACCACTCATTGTGCTAGGCTGTACAATGATGCGTAAATGTCATCTGAATACATGTCCAGTGGGAATAGCTACCCAGGACCCCGTCTTACGGAAGAAATTCGCCGGTAGCCCAGAACATGTTATCAATTATCTGTTTCTTCTGGCTGAAGAGGTTAGGCAATACTTGAGTCGTTTAGGTGTATCTTCTTTGAAAGAGATTGTCGGGCATACAGAATATCTAAAGGTAAGTAGTAGAATAATCACAGTGTCAAATGTTTTGAATCTATGGAAATATACAGTTGACCATTTTCAGCAACAGATCAATTGTTCCACCTTGTCATCATATGGTCCCACATTAACCTGTTAGGTATTTCGTGTAATCACATAGAATGTTTCAAGTTTAAAAAATCTCATATTTGCTGTAACTGTTATCGCTGTGGCAAAGCCAGCAGTTCCATTACATGATTTTAGTGTTAGTTTAATTATTTATTTTTCATTTTATCATAGCTTGATTCCACACAGTACTTTCGGTACAAGTATGGAATTTTCAGCATCTGATATCGGTAGCCTAAATTTAGTAGGCCGACCATTGATATGAGGTGTGCATCGACGGGGGATCAAACCCCACACCATGCGCATGGTGGGTGAGCGTTTTAATTTCTGTGTCACCGACGCATAGAACTGACCTATTAGCATGTGTGCTTTTCAAAGGATTTTCTCAGTGAAGAAGCCAGCCATATGAGTGAAAAGAAAAGGGATATTGTGAAATTCCAAGTTGATTAAGAATACACTGTAAGGATATATTCGCAAAACGCAATTGATGAACAAAGTTGTAACGCTCCATTTAGTCACGGAGATCAGTTCTCCCGATGATAAAAACACTAAATTTTATCACCTGCATACATAGCAACACAGACAGCCATACTGTACTTATCAAAGGAAATATTCTCTCACTATATATTTTTATCAGGTAAAATTAATCTATGATGGAATCAAACTATTGTCATATGGTGATAATTAGCATGTATATAACTAGACTGTCAGCTGTTAGGACTCATATGATATGAATGATTAATTCAGTTTATGTCGTAATTATGTTTCACTTGATTATGAATGATGCGAACATCAAAAGTGTATTCGTATATATATATATATATATATATATTCTATAGTTTGGTTTGTAAGGATTAGTTATGTTTTACGAGGTGATCACGGACTGATATCAGTTAGAGAACCATTGAAAACCAGGGAGTACTGGACAGCTGCTGTTTCATCCTTGTTTGAAAATCATCGGCAGTACGCACCCACTGGGATTCGAACCCAGGACCTTCCGGTTACAAGGCAAGCTCGTATACCATTCAGCCACTGGGACCCGATTCAATGGCTCATGAATTCTAACTTCTACCAATTCGTGATTTTAGCGCGACCCCAACCATTGTCGTTGGTGGGACATCCATCCACACACGTGACTTCTAATTGGACCTCACTGGTCACGACTTCTCACTAGAACTCCAGGAAGCTCCAACCTGTAGCAAGTCACTAGCGAGCATCAGAATAATTTTCTATAGTTTGGTTTGTAAGGATTAGTTATGTTTTTACGAGTTGATCACGGACTGATATCAGTTAGAGAACCATTGAAAACCAGGAAGTACTGGACTGCTGCTGTTTCATCCTGCAGCTTCGCAGAACGGTCAAGTCATCCGTTTGACAGAGTGAATTCGAGTATATGCAAACGATCTAACTATTTCAATATATGTTAACTCCCAGCGAGACTGTACCAAGATGAACAGCTTTCTATCAAGAGTCAGCAAACGGTCTTTGTCTAATGATCTTAAACTAAATCCTCTCAAATGTCAGACTGTTAATTTCAGTTTCCGACGTAAAAGAAAGTTAAATGATGCTGTTAGTTCCTATGACCGTTGCGAAATTGATGACAGTGATATAGAAATCAAGTCCGAAGTTAAGTATCGTGGATTAATTATTTCTCCAGACCTATCCTGGTCTTCCCATGTCCCAGCGATTTCCAAAAGAATATTTCGTCTGACTTTTTACATTAAGAAGTGAAGGCACTCAGGCATAACTCAACCACTCCTCTTACAGTTTGTCAACTCGTGCATCTTTCCTATTTATTCTTTACTGTTCCCCCTTATTCTTTCCTGGATTGCTTACAAAATACTATATCGTACTTCATAAGACTCTGAAGACTGTCAGTGGGGCGAGTGGTATTACACTGGGCCATATCATTAAAATCGTCACTGATATAGGCACTCGATTTCATGCAACAAATTTGCTAAAGGAATTTCGTCAGACTGTGAACATCCACTTTGCCCGCAGCTCCACCCTTGTGTCTCCTCGGGTAAAACTACAAGTCTTTTAAGAAGACTTTATGCACGTACGTCTAAGTGCGAAAATTCCAGTATACCATATTTGGCACGTATTTTATGGGATAAAAATAGTGTCAAATATGAACTAACCAACCTTCTTTGAACTAGTAAATAAACCATTTTCTCCGTCCTTATTCCACCAAGCTTTATTGTTATTTTTCTTCTTATATTTATAATCCTCGCAGTTTTTTATTCTTATTTGTTAATTTTATCAAAAGTGTAAAAATCGTTTAAGCTGTATTATTTATATTTTGAGTAAATCAGATGCAATATTGTGACACATGCTGAGAATTCCATTCTCTATTATAAGTACTGTTTTTGGAATAAAGTAGATTACTTATTATTATTATTTAACAGATCAAAATCAATATTTATTTCTTAACTTTGTTCAGACTGTTAACCGGATACAACGCATATTTATGTAAATCATATCAGTGTGTTCTATACCAAATAAAGAAATTAACATGGATTCAATAAAGATAACATGAACAGATTGTGCCTGAAGACTATTGAAAAAATAATTACACAAAGAATTTTATTCTTTTTCCTTTTTAAAGCATAGAAGCCCAGGATTGACTACGAAATCTCAACTACTTGATCTGAGTCGATTAATGATAAAAGCTGAACCAGATGAAATGCACTATGGCTCGTTGAGACAAAGTGATTCAGTGAAAGATTTCCGGGAAAATCCCACAACAATGTCATTTGCCGATCTTTTACCGGCTGATCGCCGTCTAGATATCATTATACTGCGTGCCGCTTACAAGCTGATTGATACACCTGAAGATGTGGAGCTCAGTCCATCCGAGTCGGTTGTACACATTAACGAGTCTATTTTCAATTCAGACCGTACAGTTGGCACTACACTGAGTTATGCAATTTCAACCAGTTTCGATGAAAAAGGATTGCCAAATAATCGGCGAATAATGGTCAGTTTTTACATTTTTATATGTTAATTCATCTTCATGTATCATATATTACATTGTCCAGGGTATTTACTCTCATATTTTAGTTTAATTATTAATCCATATTAAGTACGCGGGTGGCACAATGGTTAGGACGCTCGCCGACCGTGCACATGGTCCGGGGTTCGATCCCCGGCCGACGCACTCCTTTACGCCTTTACCTTACTAACCCAGAATTAAAAGCTGGTAAAAAGAAAAGGTTGGGCATGAGGCTAGCAACCCCACCCTGTAAAAATTAACACTGCTACAAAAACTTCAAGCTTCTAGCTTGAAGCCCTGTGTTCCGCTGGGAACGCGAAGGAATAAAAAAAATCCCTATTAAGACATAAAACAGACATTTCAGCGAAGAAAATTATTTTTGAGACAACTTCATGTTCGCAGGTGCATAATTATATTCATACATGAATTACAATAGACAACAACAAGTAATTGTATTGTTCCTGTGTGTGTCAAAATCTGACATTTCATTTTAAATGACGAGATATACCCATTTGTTCAATAATAAGGAACAATACAGTTTCGTTTAGTGAAGAAGTACTTCTTCTCAACGATTTCATTCTTAAGCTGTACAGTCCTATTTATATTTGCAAAAGAAGGCATTCAGCGGTATTAAAACTTGCTCGCTGAAAAAAAACTGTTTTTCGTCTTATTTCATTTGAATGTTGTTTGCGATAACCTAACTGTGGCATCATATTCTTATAAGAAAAAGTTATACATGCACTTAGAGTTTTTAACAGAACACGTATCTGCTTTTCCTTTACACACTGACAATTTAGAGAGAAATGACTGGCGTTCATTATGTGCTTATGAACGACCGTATTCGCTTTTAATAGTTCACACTGTTTAAAACAAAATGGAAGGTAGGATTCTTGCGTCTACTATTTAGATCTCGCCGAAAAATGTTCAACAAGTCAAATTACAGATTAAGGTGGGAATTGATCCCACAGATGCAATCATATAAAATATTTTTGTTTAGTAAATTGCTCATATAAACGGCAGTCGTTTACCAATGTATCATGATGACATGTGATCTGTCTAGACAGGAAATTAGCTATTAGTTCATTGCTTCTAAGCCATAGGCATACGACTAGGGCATTGATACTTTAAAATTAATAAAATTTCCGTTTTAGACTTTACTTACCTATGCTATGTGTGTCTGTATAGAGGCGCATACTTAGGGAAATAGCCATTGATTTTTCAAGAAAGATAATTCTACTTTTTTGATTGGATTATTTCTTTTAAAATAAAGGAAATTTTTGATGGTAGTGTTGAGTGCAGCGAACTAGAATCCACCTAGATAGTTATTTATAAAACCTACTATAAATATGTACACAACTTCCCTGTTATGTAACAAAACACACTCGTTATAGTTGTTCGATAGGTCCGTTCATGCAATATCTATTTATGCAAATAGCATAGGGTTATTAGTGTATATTTGTGCACACAAAATTTCACTTCCCAAAGTATGTGTGTAAGATATATATATATATATATTGTTTACCTAGGCCGAGAATAAGTGTAGTGTGGTTATTACTTTACTTTTTCACATGTTATTTAACTTAATATGTCCGTCCAAAGGAGAAAGGCAGAAAGTAACATCATATGGATAAATTTACAGTGTGTGTTTGTAATATTGTTTTATGTGGGCAACATTTCAAACAGAAGTACTGTCCGTGCTCCTATCAGTAGTTAAAATTACCTTGCTGTGGTTAGACATCACACATATACATGTAATCGGTCTAACCGACAGACTATCATCCTATTAACAGCTAGTGAGTATTTTGTCTACTTCTGCTTACTGTCGTGAAACTGTTAACAGCGACAGCAGGTCTCTTATTTGTAGTCTGAACATTTTGAACTTCCACAGGAAAATTGTGCAACTATATACCCTTTTACTTTTCTTGTCATTAAGTTTGGTCAACACAGTAAACTGTCAGCTTGATAGTGATGTTAAGTTGGCTTCATTAAATATTTTAAGGGAGTGACACACATCTCATCGATCCTTCTGGTAGGATTTCTTTCCATTTATCTATATAAGATCTTAGTATGGGTAATTAGCCCGTCGACAGGATTTTCTCTACTTCATGCATCAACTACAGTGGATGAACATTTTTCAAAACAAATTCCTTCCATCACTAGATCAAACTTTAGTTATTTTTTTGCGTCTATTCGGTTTAGTCTTAATGGCATTTATGTCTCTCACTGCCAACTAGTCTACTGAGCAGACTAAACTTCGTATTTTATACACTACTTTATTCTCGCCTAGTTTTTACAAGTGGTAATTAAGAAATCATTCTGAATCTTTCATTTTCGAGCTGCTGTCTATTGCTTGCTTTGATTTTACAGTCGCGAATTGGCAGTTTCTACAATTCCTTTGCAATCTTCATAGTCATTTCTTTAGAATGTCATTCTTTCCCTCAAATTCTTATTTATTCTATTAACAGAAAGCAGTTAAGTTCACCTTGTTTGTGTAACTTCCTGTCAGATGCAATAAGCGCCTCTTAGGGATTGAAGTCGCCAGAGGTGTAACCAGTTAGACAAATCCCAGGGAGCATAATCTTTCACCGAACTGATGTGACAACTGTCCACATCAATCAGTAGCGAATAGCACCATCCACTAATACTTGTTTTCCTGATTGTCACTTATGGTACCAGGGAGAGCACGCATCGTGTTCTGAGTGTTTTAGACTTTCAAAATAATACAGTTATATTTCCACCTCCAATTTTTTTAATTTACAGAAGATTCTGCATATACAGCAACTGTATAGAGGTGAATTTAACATTTGACGGAGGGGAAAAAGAATAAATTACCAGTAGTGAAATCTTAATTTCTGGCATCTGAAATACTTTCACAAATACTATTACCTAGACTGCTTAGTTAATGAGGTTATTTATTTATTTTTTTATTATTCCTTGCGTTCTGGGTGGAACATACAGCTTTAAGCTTTGAATTTTTATGAGCGATGGTGTTGCTTTAGCGGGACCAGTTTGATAGCCTCAACCCGAAACCTTTCCTATCTTCTAAGCTTACTGTTGACTTAGCAGGAATCTGGTGAACGCAGATCGGGAAATGAATGAGGAGCTCCAACGCACCAGAGGGCATCTACTATTAATAGCTACATGAGCAGCGCAGCATTCCTCTTGTCTGATTAGCATTTATGCGCGTATGTGATCAATTCATTTTAAACAGTTTACTAAAGTGACAAGCCTGCTGATCAATTTATGTATTACTTTTCGATTCATTTCTATATAAAATATGATTTTCTGCATTTTTCTAATTATTCGTTTTCTATGTAACACCCCATGTGTTTCTTCTTCAGGTTAATTTGTCAGGTAGCGCAGGTCAGAGTTTTGGAGCTTTCTTGGCTCGTGGCGTTCATATACGTCTGGAAGGAGATGCAAATGACTACGTTGGAAAAGGTTTATCTGGTGGGAAGATTACAGTTGTCCCTCCTAAATATTTATTAGATCAGGGTTTTAAATCTGAAGATAATATAATTGTGGGCAATGTATGCTTGTACGGTGCCATCGAAGGTTGTCTTTTCCTAAGGGGACAGGCAGCTGAACGATTCTGTGTACGTAATTCCGGTGCTACTGTTGTTGCAGAAGGTATGTTCTTAAGTTTCTATAGTCGCTGCAATGTTAGTCACTTTCAAAATAGTTGTAATTATGAAATGCTGTGTGATTGTAAAATCTGGTTAACGATTACTTCAACAACATATTGTCAGAAAGTGTCAAACGTCTTTTTTAAAATTCCTTCACGTTCCCAGTGGAATGTAGGGCTCCAAACTAGAGGCTTGAAGTTTTGGTAGCATTAGTGTTTTATTATAACGGGATGGGGTTGCTGGCCTCAAGCCCAACCTTCCCTCTTTACCAGACCTATTACTGGCTTAGCAAGGTAAAGGAGTGTGACGGCCGGGGATCGAACCCCGAGCGACCTGTGTGGTTGGCGAGCATTCTACCGCTGTGCCATCAACGCACTCGTCAAACATTACAGAGCTCTCTTAAATATTTACTCATTCATGGAGCCCTTTCTACAATGAACTTCATTGTTGTTATGTTGAACTTCACACTTGCCATTCTTGTTCGATTCATCTTATATCCACTCGCGTTTTATTTTTATTTGTTTGTGACATTTACTGACAAGTTGAAAGTAGTCACGAATCCACTTTATTAAAAATAAAGTAGTGATTTCATTGATATGGTTAGTGTTGGTGTCGATATTAAGACACTTAAATGCAGTAATATTTACCTTTAAACTCACCGTCATAAATGCTGTAAAATAAATTACATATTGATTATCTGGAAACTCCCAGTTGTTATACATCTCGATGTTGTTGAATTTATTTCGCCCACTATTTATATAACTTTTCTGAATTTTCTATAAGAATTCAGTGTGATTTGCCTATGTTTTACATTATTTTGTTCATAGTAATAAATGTTTTTTGTATTTACCAATGAATGAAAAAACAAAACGATATTGTTTTTTACTGACGTTTCGCTATTTAATGCTAATAGCTTTATCAAACTGCTTTTTAGTTCATAGTTGATATCATGTTATATAGCGATGAATGCAGCAACCTGAATCCATCATTATTTTTCTATATATGTGGACTTCTGTGTTGGGAAGCTCATCAGTAAGCATGAACAGATGACAAAAAGTATTCTACTTTCACACCTCCTGAAATGAACTTGCACGGTTTTTTCAATAATGGGGCACGCTTATTGGGTGAACGCTCCGAGAAGAATACCTGGCTGCACAAAGCTTCGCTGGAAATCGAGTGCTTAAATCAGTGGATATTTATTTCAGGAATTGTCAAAGCATTACCACCAATAACTCTTCTCTCAGAAGTCATTGTAACTTTAAACTCAACTGGTGGTTTTACTGAGGGAATTTAATACAGTTGCTTAGAGGATCATAAGGGATAAACCATCACTTCCAATAATTTCATTTACAACGCGGAGACACTGATTAGAGTCTAAATATTCCTTGTAACTCGCACGAAATACAGTTGTTGTTGTTTTTTCCAAATAAACAGGGTGAATTAAGTAATCAGTTTCTTAAAAGTCTGTCTGACTCACATCTTGATATCGAAAATGGATTCTTCATGTCTCGCTGATTCACAGTACTTTGTTAACATGAAAGAATCTCTTATCATTTCATGCATCAATAAACTCTCGTTGTTTGACTATATCAATTTCAACCATATTTCCCTCATGCCTTCTGATTCATTACTGTCCTAATAGTTGTTAACTGCCCTTCTAGTTGAAGTAATTATGAAATGTGTTGCATATATACATTTGCTGATAGTAACTTGTATAATTTCTACGATGTTAGAAGCTTAAGGGATGTCATGAAACAAAATAACTTTTTTTATCCTTCTAATATCTCCAATTTTATTGTTTTGCAAACTATTCATGCTAATTGTAACTGACAGTTGACGTATTTGAGTTTAACTCTTATATGCATGACTTTCATCACGGAACATCACAATTTGCTTTAAGTAGTAGGTTATGTTGAGGTGTTAACTGACCACTGGTGCTTAAAACCCCTAAGTTTAATGTCACAAGAAGATGAATTATTTTCTTTTCTCACAGTACTCCTGCTGTGATGAAACCACTTGCGATCTTCTATTTCAGTATGAGGTATAACACCCTGGAAAATTAAGACGATAACTTCTCTCTTTTGGGCATATATCGTTTGGCTTTCTTTGGCTAATAAAGTTGTTGATGGACCAGTCTGGGTTTCTGGAGTGCAAAATTACCCGAGCTAAGTATATTTTAGAAAGAAGCTATCGAGTCTGGCCGATTCAATGGTTATTTATAAATTTAACTGTTCATTTGGAGATCGTTACATTGGTAGAACGACTCGGCAAGCCCACTGTCGCTTTCTGGAGCATTGTCTACCGTGGTTAGGTAAAGGAGTAGTAAAGTCAATCAGAAGTCTCACAGTGGCACACCTAGTGGATGCAGAACACAAGATTGATAAAAATTCAACTTTTACACTTCTATACAAAGCGCGACCTAAATTCCCTAGGCTGGTAGGTCTTCGGTTGTTAAGCTCAGCTGGGGCAGTTGCTATAAAAATTCTTCTACTCAGCTTGTGTACTTAAAAAGAGTTTGTTGAATCTTTTTCTCTTCCTTGGCCTTCATCCCAAACCTAGAACAGTTATCTCTCCCGGTGACACCAAATAACTGTAAATACTATCTTATTATTTTATTTTTATTTGTACTGTAAACTGTATTATCAGTATCATGCTGCGGTGTAGTTGTTCATTTTCAATGTCGGCTTAACAATTTATTTTTATCATATTGTGGCGAGTGCTACTGATAGGATTTATCAGTAGTATATGAAGAAACCTTCATCAGCATAAAAACATCAAATATCAATATTACCCAATCGCTGTATGATAATAGTTTTTTCCCTCTATCCCTATTAACATACACATTCTACCTATACACTCACCAATACCGAGATTATATAAACACGGGTGAATTCATCCTCTTGATTGTTATTATGATCACCTCGATTGTTATTCATTAATTCACTTCCGTGAACTCTGATCCTGTCATATTGACTAATATTTCATTATGTAAATGTAAAGCCTGATGAGAATTTGCCAAAAACACATACTTGCTTAAATCGTGTAGTATAATTGTCAAAATAGGAATATTTAAATTATTTTAGAATTTGTAATAATATTTGCATTATTTCGCACTTTGTTTACTGCTTCTGTTTTAGCTACTCTAACTTTCTGTTTCACTACCGATTTCACTTTCATTCTACAGGTGTCGGTGATCATGGCTGTGAATATATGACTGGTGGTCGCGCTGTGATACTCGGTCGTACAGGACGCAATTTCGCCGCTGGTATGTCAGGTGGTCTGGCTTTCGTGTATGATCCACAAGGGCTGAATGGGGATTTTGCACCAAAGTGTAATATGGAATTAATTGATTTGGAGCTGATGAATTCAGGACATAAGTATAGTGGATGGCTTAAAGAAATATTGACAGAATTCGTTAAGGAGACTGATTCACAGGTACAGAGTCAGCTTTGCTTATTATTTATTAAAACACATGGTAAATTATAGGCACCCAAAGGTGTACTACACAAAATCTTATAGTTTTGTGATAGCTAGGATACTGCCAGGGCGCCCAGACCGACGCAAGTGGTTGTCCCGAGCCTTTGACTTGAAGTTTGATCCACAAGGCAGAGGGGCAGCGTCAGGAGCTGAGTCCCCATGGTTGGGGGTGACCAAAACAGGTTCATACGCTATTCAATCCGTCTGGATTCTGCAGCCCACGTACATCACGGGTTTCGTAGCTTATTTGGATAGATCATCATGTCCACTTGTCCGGTTGTAAGCACCAGACGTTTGTGAGGAACATCCCCACCACGTGAAGTTAGTGAATAAGACTTCACTGGAAAAGACTTTGAACACGTGGCCACATGAGGGCAGTTTAGACAGGAAGACCTCGGGCCTTTCCAGGTCATTTATTTGGATATGAAGTCACTAATCCGTGCTTTATTGAATGCATCTTTTTCTCATGCCTAAGATTTGGGAACATCTCAAAGAGTGTACCCATGAAAACTGCATACACAACTTTTATCGCCACTTACATTAATGAATGCTTTAAAAAGAACATTTTTAATGATGATGTGAACAGTAACTCGTGTAAAAATTACTTCAAAAAAGACATTCTCTGCTTTTGTCACTTTTACAAGTGAATCATTTATTCAAAAGTAAAACCACATAACTCTGGTACAGATAAACAACGTCATCCAAGCAGTCTATTCTTTGCAGGGAATTTTATTTCTTGGGACACTTTTTTTTTCAAAGTGGAAACATACAAATACTGAAGCTTTTCGGTACTTTGTAGCAAGGTATTGAAAAAGATTATTTCTTTCCTCCCACATGTTATTTTTCCTCAGTATTATTGCTTGTATCACCAACTGTTTTTTTTATGACGGCTACAATTTTAACAGTCTACTACCATATGATATATTTTATCCATTATCTAGTCTAAAATAGAGAGAGAATAACAGGAGAGATTTGTTCAATGTGAATGTTTCGACCTTGACAAACAGTGGCTGGTAAATGTTTATCGTGATTGTTTGAAAAACAAAAAACAAAGCAGCACAGTTCATGTTAAATTAAATTGAACACCTACCGTGCTCTATCCTTAGTTTGACTTAACATAATTTAGTATGTTCCACGTTGTTTGCTACTCTTTTGTATGCACTTGTACATTTTTTCTAGTGTTTACCAAAGGTGACACATTAAATCAACTGTAAAAGTTGTAGGTTGTAATTTAAAGCTTAAATAAATATCTGATGTTTTAAAAAAAAAGTGGATAAATTGGAAATCTACTGATATGCTAAGTAATTTTCAAAAAAAAACAAGTAATTTAGACCACAAAGCAAGTTAATGTGTACATGAATCTAAACAAGGTGTAACGTTTTTTTTATAAAACAAGACTGGTAAGTACAGATGCAATGTCCGTTTACAATAAAGTACAATAAATGTCTATAAATTAATGCATTCACAGTCCAATGTTTGTTAATAACATCATGCATATATTTGTCTGCATTCCCAAAATCACCATTTTCACTCTTTTTCTCATAATTTTATCTACTCATATTCGGACGTTATAAATTTCTATTTATTTCATCTTTCTACTTAATTAAAGGTTGGATCTAATATACTGGCCAACTGGAACGAATCAGTTGAACATTTCGTCCTTGTATTTCCTCGTGATTATAGAAATGCGTTGGCGAAACTTGAAGCTACTGCTACCGCTGAAGAGTCGAAAGTACAACCACAAGTTAATACAATAGTAAATGGTGTCAGTGAAAGTGATGTGAGTATACTCTCTTCCTACTTATTTATATATATATATATATATATTATATTTTGAGGCTAAGGAAATTGTGACAATCAGGATTACTAAATTGTTATCAATTGTCAGAATAAACTTAAATGGAGACCTGAAACTAATCATATTTGAAGATAAGTCAGAGGACTTGAGCATTCCACTCAGAATGACATTTTCACCGCATTCCTACAGAATCATTGAGAGATTTAAGAAGTTAGTTGTATCTACCATTTAAATTTTCAAGACACAGAAGCTAATTCACATAGTAAACTATACTTCCGTTTGTCCATTTCTCCGAAGAATTGGAATACTGCTGTTGTTTTTGCTGTGATCACAACTATAGATACTATCTTTCAAGTGATTCTAATTATAGTCAGTCAGTCTTTATTGGGTATCACTGCATTCATTGTGATAGAGCATAAATAGAACTTTGTGTTGTTTTCTTTCCCACTCTGATCATAGAAGGGAATTTTAACACCATTTCATCCTTGCTTCTGGATTCAAAATTCCGCTATGGGTACAATTTAGCATTTGTGAACTCTGTGTCGTCCGCACTTTTATCTCACTACCTATGGCTTTATGTTTAGTATACTTATGATGCATAAAAATGCACTTGCTTTTATACCGGGTGCCTAACAAATTACCAAAATCGTCGAAGCACCGCTTGCTCCAAACAGCAGAGGCTATTGCAATTCGCCTCAACCAACCAGCCCTCTGTGTGCAAAAGAAACAAGTCCAGCCCCTACTACTGCCCTGGCCCCCTCAGTAGAGACTATAAACTCATGAATTTGTACCATTACCTTTCCTAATTCTTCTGACATACAGTTTATTTTATGTTGATGCTGTTCAGCTGTAATTTATCAATATTATTGATTTGATGTTATTTAAACATTAATGTCGTTCATAAGACTAATTCATTCAGTCATTATAATGTATATATAATTGTAGAACCTGATGATGAATTTATCGAAAAGAGTTCTCTTTGTTCCGTGTCTATTCTTTTTACTTTGTCTTGTTTATGCTTATTTTTATTTATTTTACAGAAGCAAACAGCAGATATTGAAGATATGGCTGGTGATGAACCTGCTGAAAAATTGGACAAAGTGCGTGGCTTCGTAAAATATGCTAGACAAAAGCAAAATTATCGCCCAGTTGAAGAACGCATCAAGGATTGGGAGGAAGTTTATGCGCTTAAACAGATTCGTAAGGGTTTAGTAAAACAAGCAGCTCGTTGTATGGATTGTGGTGTTCCATTCTGCCAGTCATATGTTGGCTGCCCTCTTGGTAATCTTATTCCAAACTGGAATGACTTAGTATTCAAGGTTGGTTTTGTGATTTTCCATGGAATATTTGTAAATATGATTATTGTTTCGCTTCTGTTCAGATTCAACAACTCTTGTTGCTAATTGTTATGTCAATTTCACTAACAAACTTAGAGGTATAATCTAGGTAGACTTATGAAACATCTGCTTTGCTGTGCAATACTGGTCAGTATTTTGTGCATATGACCTGTCAGCACAAATATTCATTTTCATCACAGTTTCAGCTTTTTGCGTACATGAAAATACACTCAATGTGATTGAATGTTGTATGCATGCGTAGCGTCTTGAGTAGCACAAATTAACTGCTTTGTTTCAATCTCACTGGCATACACTTCAAGGGTTGTGTTTGTTTGTGCATCTAGTTTTGGGAGAGTCTGAAATAGGTCAGTCTTAACGTATTGAGGTGAAGGCATGGGAAGAAATCTTCAATGAAGGTCTCAATACAGCATGAGACTTAATGAATAATATACTACTGTTGAGGTTGGATTTGCTTACGTAAATAATTTTTAATAGAGAGAACACCAATTACTTTCTGACTGGAAGTGATAGCTCAGACTATAATCTATTATTAATCTTTAACGAAGAATTGGATGTACTTCTGTTTAGACAACTTGAAAGTAAACCTATGCATATAAACTATAACTCAGTGTCGACTAAATCAACTTGTACTTAGTCAGAGTAATATAAATATACTCGGAAATGGTTATGATAATTCCTGTTGTTTGCTTGTTGGTGGATAGCAGTAAAATCCCCAAAAAGGGTGTCTTATTTCTTTTAAGACTTTGCAGTTGGATGTAATAGTTATTTAAGTTAGTAGTCGTAATCGTACCGAAATAGACTTTTGCAACCGTGTGTGTAAAAAAATGAAGTCTTTTAGCTGACACTAAAATGAGTCCAAATTACTTTGTTATGTGCTGGAGTGATAACCACAAGTTCATAATAAGTTGCTACGGAGTGGTAGTTGCGTATTGAGAAAAAAATACCAAGATGTTATTACTCCAACAGTGAAAAGAGCAACTCTCATGACATGAAAAGTCTTAAATTTCCTAGGGATTCATATCAAATGTGCGTCGGTGGCACAGCGGTTAGGACTCTCACCGACCATGCACAAGGTCCGGGGTTCGATCCCCTGCCGACGCACACCCGATATCAATCGTCGGCCTACTGAATTTGAGCTACTGATGTCACATGCTGAAAATTCCATACTTGTATCAAAACCTACGGTGTGGAATCAAGCTATAATCAAAAATAAAAAATCTCGACATTTTTTCATTTTAACTACTAATGCATTAAGTTACTTGATTGAAATTGAAATATTAAAGTATTGGTTATGTGTGGATTTAGTTTGATTGGTCGGAGGATTTCATCATGAGCTGGCATCGTTTAGAGAACCATTCGAAAACCAACTGGGAGTATTGCACAGCTGTTCATATCGTCCTAGTTTGGGACTTCATCAGTACGCACCCAGCCACGGTGTTTAGAACCCAGGACCTTCTGGTTACAAGGCGAGCTAGCTCGTAGACCACTAGGCCACTGACATCGATCCAATAGTCCAGGAATTTCAACTTCTGCCAACTGAAATAATTTCGCTTGCTTGTAAATACTCTCACAAATGATAAAAATCCATTTTTATATCTTTTCATTCAATTTAGGGTGATTGGCACGCTGCTCATATCGCTTTAGCACAAACTAATAATTTCCCTGAATTCACAGGCCGTGTATGTCCAGCCCCTTGTGAAGGTGCTTGTGTTCTAGGCATAAATGCTGATCCAGTTACCATAAAACATATTGAGTGTACTATAGCTGATGCAGCTTGGGAAAATGGTTGGCTGAATCCCATTCCTGATGAGAATCGTATGCCGACTGGCAAACGTATCGCTGTTGTTGGAAGTGGACCATCCGGTTTAGCCTGTGCAGATCAACTCAACAAGGTAAATTTTACGAAGACTTCATGTTTACTGTTTTCTCAGATTAAAATATTCCAGGTGTTATGTTTTGACTTTGAATTACGTAAACAAAAAAACAGTCAGCTCAGCATAAAATGTTTACCAGAGATGCATTTTAATATCAGCTTTCATTGAGAGACTGATTACTGAAAACTGAAATAGTCATGTCGCCATAGTGAATGTTTTCCGTTTCTTACAAAACGTTTTATGGTGTTATGATGTGGAAGATATAAGAGTAATGGTGAACTGATAGATGCAATGAATTCCTAAACGTTCACAAGTTTTATGAAAACAAGATGGAGTGTTGAATTAAAAAATTGCTTAATGCCGCCTACGCATGCATTTGCCTTATTTTTAAATATGTGACAATCACGCTGCTTCCTCATATGCCCTTCTTACAAGAAAACCTGATGGTAGTATAAAGAAAAATTTGCATAAGAAAAGCACAGGGATAGGACAATATACACATTTTCATAGCTTTGTTCCTTCCCAGCTACAGGGTCAGATGACGTAATTGAAGATGAACTTAGTATTGTATGTGACTTCTTAACTGAAAATAGCTATTCAGAAAAGTTCATCAACAAACTTGTGACCAAAAAAGTAGAAAAGGGCTATTCTCTATCTGTAAATACGAAAGCTTTATACACAGGACCTTAAATCAGGGGTGAAGTACCGAATGAAGTAATTACTACCAAGTTAAGGAAATCTACTCACAGAACTTTTATTGCTGCCAAACTACAAATCATATTTTCTACACGATCGGTTGTGATTCCTCCATGGAAAGATGAAGTACCTAGACTAGCCACTTCTAATTGTATCTGCCAATTGAACTGTGCTTGTGGAGCCATTTATATTGGCCGATGCTCTAGGAACTTGATCTTTCGTGCTCGGGAACATCAACAGTGTGGCTAAATAAAGGTGTGGTAAAAACATCAACAGTTCGATATTAGACCACCGGGTCCGAGCTGACCACAAAGCCAGCATTGAAGAATCCTTCTCTGTCATCTACCGGCTACCAAATAAACTGTCGAAACATCCAGGTACCGCATACTCCCAACAGCAGAGGCTATTGCAATTCCCCTAAAACAACCAGTGCTTTGTGTGCAGAAGAAGCAAGTCCAACCACAATTACTGCCCTGGCCTTCTGTGGAGCCTGTAAATTCATGAATTCTGTATTATCATTTTTCTTAATTTGTCTGATATTCAGTGTAATGTTATGTTGATGCAAATTATTTCACTTATGACATTACTGATTCGAGTTTATTTAAACAATAATATTGTTAAAAACCCTAATTCTTTAATTATTATGGATATATAACTGTAGAACCTGATGTTGAAGCTATCAAAAAGAATATTCTTTGTTCAGCAATCAGTCTTTTGAAATTTCTAATAGGCATTTTTGATCAGTTAACATACGCTACCGTTAAAATTGTTGAAATGGTTCATACAAGTACAGATTTTATGGCTGATAACTACAGAAATGACAGAAAATTTGTCTTATTTGATTTTTCTAGGTTGGACATGATGTGACAGTAATTGAACGCAGAAATCTACCCGGTGGCCTACTGCGCTATGGTATTCCAACCATGAAACTTTCACGCCAAGTTCTTGATCGTAGAATAAATCTGATGAAAGCTAATGGCATTAAGTTTGTGGTTAACACACGTGTTGGCCATGATGGTCAGACTCCTGAACCAAGAGATTTGAACAATATCTGCCGTCCTCCTGAAGAAAAAGAGAATGTCTGGCCAGCTTCAAAATTACTCAATGAATTCGATGCGATCGTTTTATGCTTGGGGGCAACTTGGCCTAGGGATATAAATATTCCAGGTAGGAAATTGAAAAACTTTTTTGCCCCATATAATATTTATAATATTTTTTTAATATTTTTTTTTATTACAGCTTGATACCACACCGTATTTTCAGTACAAGTATGGAATTTTCAGCATGGATATCGGTAGCCCAAATTTCGCAGGCCGACCATAGATATCAGGTGTGCGTCGGCAGGGGTTCGAACCCCGGACCATGTGCATGGTCGGCGAGAATTCTAACCACTGTGCCACCGACGCACTGCTCATAGATGAAATAAGATTGTAATATAAAGGAGAGATAGAACACTTCTTTACCCTACTGCTACAAAACCAAAAGTAAACCTGCCAACATCAATAACATTCTTAAACACGCATCACTCTGACATTTCCTCATGGTAATCACAGAATGATGCACTGGTGCCTTAAACCAGTTATCCAGCTGATACTTAGAAGTGTTCCGTTTTAAAATTACGATTTCAGTAGTCAAACTGATGTTTGAATTTCGAAGAATAGACGATTTTGAAGTTAAATATGTGCATGTTGAAACATAAAAAATCTATACGAAAAAATTAAACCTTCCTTCTCACTTAATCTTCAATTGCTAATTTATCCTACTAGAGTCGGTTTGTGAAGAAATCAACTGTGATGTCTATTAAATACTCACAGACTAGACATTTGTGAAAACCTTTTTGGAAAAATTGGTATATCAAATCTGCCGACTATAAACGGTATTTATCAGGATGGGAAAAACTCTGTAATTTGGTTGGGGGATTTCATTATGAGCTGACATCAGTTAGAGAATAATTGGAAAACCAACTACGAGTACTGGACAGCTGTTCATATCATCCTACTTTGGGACTCTTCAAAGGTGCACACCCACACCATGGAGTTCAGTAACCAGGACCTTCTGGTTACAAGGCGACCTAGCTCGTGGACCATTAAGCCACTGGAACCCGACCCAACGGCCACCCAGTGAATTCTAACTTCTGCCAATTCGTGACACAGCATGAGCACTTCACAATGTCTTCTTCGACGAGTTGCTGCTGAAGTGCGTACTGCTGAAGAGTCCCAAGTACTAGGACGAAACAGTTGTGCAGTACTCCCTTCAGGTTTTCCAATGGTTCTTTAACTGATGTCGGCTCATGGTGAAATCCTCCTCCAACCAATCAAACAAAATCCCCTACAAAACCAATACTTGAAAACACTGTAATTTCTTTGAACAAAAATAAGAGTACTCACACACCTTAATAACTAATCCTAACTCATAGTTTCCTCACTGATTAGGCTTCAACATGAAACTCTGAAGAGATGTAGAGCATTTCAGGTGGCAACATTGCATGAAACACAGAAAAAAGAAGAAAAGAGGGAAAAACAGATTCGAAAGAACTATAATGGGTAAAATTGTGAGGGAGCAAGCATAGTAACAAGGAAACACATGAGGGTGTCATGAATATGGGAGATCACACAGAGTGAATGCGTCTGTGCTGTTGTAAACGACTCTGAACCATACGACCAATAGTATTCAGTCGTTGGTCATTGGCAATGAATTCAAGAAAGTTGTATGTAGTTATCACCCGTGGCGAAAGAAAAATGTCAAATATAATTGGAATTACGGTTGGTTTCGAAGTGTAGAGCATTTCAGCGACAATCATCTGACGAATAAATTTTTAATTAATACAATTCACCTAATCTGATAAATATTTTCTTGAAATCCTTGGGGTTTCAACAAAGAGAATTGATTATCTAGGACGTACCAGGCTAATATGATAACTTTACACATTTCTCATCCAATTACTTTCTCAAGGTCGTCATTTGGAAGGTATTCATTTCGCTATGAGTTTCCTTGAACGTTGGCAACGTCATCAGCATGTAAAGAAGGTCAAGGAGACCTATGTTGCTAATCAGAACGGTGACAGTTTTGATCACAGTTCTGTGGCTGCCTTAGCCAAAGGTAAACGTGTGGTTGTACTTGGTGGAGGGGATACCGGTGTTGACTGCATCGCAACGTCTGTACGCCAGGTAAGTGTTTTTACTGAAATAAAATTTTCAAATAATTTAGGCCAACTGCCAGGTAGAAATATTTCAGTGATATATATGTATATATAGCGTACACATACTTTGATGATCGGTTACTCAGTCGTTTTACTTTCCCTATTCTCTGTTACGACAAACAGAGTTAACCTACATCAAACAGGATCTAAAGATGATTCAGATTCAAGCTGAGTAGAGTAGAAGTGTACTGTTCACGACAGAATAATCAATGTTTGTAGGTATTTCAAACTCCTACACCACTTAAATGTATAAATATTTTCAAAGGAGTAAAATATACCCAGAATAAGGATTATCTTTACAGATTTTTGCTGCATTTTGATAGCCAAGCGACATTTAACCATAGCTTAGTTAAGATGTTAGCAAGCATGGTGTTATAATATTCACATTCAAACGCGCCATAGTTCAAAGAGCACTTAGCGATTTAAGAACATGAAAATGTTACATTTTCACAAGACAACTTTTGTCCAGATAGTGATATGAGTAATGTGGCAAGACTACACTTCATTTAAGCTGTGAGAAGTTCTCACTTAAAACTTGCAGACTGAGTTTAAGTGAAGAATGATTTGGTTTCAAACTGTGTCAAAACGACAGTAAGGAAACTGAAATATCTATTCAACACAGTCCAAAAATCCTTGTAACAATGAACTTATCAGTTCTTCATTGTATTCATTCCTTTATAAGATTCAATGAAATAATCCTTGAAATAATCAGTTGAAATAGCACCGAAAACACCAGTAATCTAGAGGCTATTAGTATCCCTTTCCTGCCATACTTTCGTCAATGATCACACCATTTATTTTCGGTTATTTTTTTAACATATTTAATGTACTTTTTGAGTAGGTTTCATTTCATCCTAAACTAAAAGAATCTAATTTTAATAGGGAGCTGAAAATATCCGCGTGTTCGAGATACTTCCTCCACCACCGCCGAGCCGTGATGTGAATGAAAATCCTTGGCCTGAATGGCCACGTATATGGAGGGTGGACTATGGACATGCAGAGGTTGCTGTTCGCATAAATGGTGATCCAAGACAGTTCAATACAATCACTAAAGAATTTCTAGACAACGGTCACGGATCAGTCGGTGGAATACGTACAGCTCGAGTAGAGTGGACTAAATCGAATACTGGCAGATGGATAATGAGTGAAGTACCAGGTAATCATTCTAAATAATATAAAAAATAGATCATGATTTCATCCTAAAAATAATTCTATGAGGCACAGTGGTGCAGTATTTTTTATGGATGCTTTTCAGAGTATATTTATTGATGTAATTGTGGAGCGTGGGCACTGTGGTAGAATGTAATTCAATATTAAACATGTTTATTTTAAATACCACGCAGTAATGCAGTATTAACAACCGGATGACGTCTCGAGCATAAATAATAATAACAATCATATCACTTTAGTTACACGATTTCACAATTCGTCTTATATACATTCCCTCTTTGTCTCGCTCCAACTTATCCTCTTTGTTTGCTTCCATCCAGTTGTTAATACTGCATCACTGTGTGATATTTAAAATAAACTTATCTAATATGCTATTTGTAGAATTTTTAATATATCTGTGCGTTGAAGTTTTTGTAGCAGTTTGGTTAAGTTTTGGGGATGGAGTTGCTAGCACCACGCCCAACCCTCCCTCTTTATCCGGGATTGGGACCGGCTAGAAAACTAGTGAGCTAGTATTCTAGACATTGTCTCAACTACAGGAGGAACGGATGAGGATGTCAAATCGAGAATCGGGAAGGCGAGAAACACATTCATCAACCTGAAACCAATCTGGAAATCTTCGTCACTCAGCATCAACAACAAAATTCGGATTTTCAATACAAACGTCAAGTCAGTCAGTTCTTCTATACGGATCAGAAACTTGGCCAGTGTATCACAAAGAATATTTCCAACAGCCTGTTGCAGACCTTTATCAACAACTGTCTTCGTTCTATACTGAAGATCAGATGGCCGGAAAGAATCACCGACAAGAAACTATGGGAACAAACAAAACAAGAACCAATCGCTCAACAAATATGCAGGAGAAAGTGGAGATGGATTGGACACTCTCTGATGAGGCGGCTGGGTGACATCGCTCGTCAGGCCATAGCTCGAGTGGAACCCGAAAGGGAAGAGGCGAGTGGGACGTCCAAGGGTGACATGGAGGAGATCGTGTGAAGAGGAGTTGAAACAGTATGGACTAACATGGATGCAAGTGAAAAGTACAGCAGAAGATAGAAGCAAGTGGAGGCATGCAGTTGAAGCCCTATGTTCCACTAGGAACCCAAGGGAACAATAATATTATAATAATATGCAACTACATTTTGGTGATCATAATCATAACAGGGTGCAAAACCGCTGTATGAGAAAACTATTTAGATGATAAGCGATAATAATAACCGTATATTTACTCTTTCGAAATGGTTAACCACCCATTCTAAGTCTTTAAACCGCTGTATATTCACTCTGAGGTTGACAGTGGCAACTAAAGAGCAGATGGAGTTCTTGCAGATAATAACCTTCATTTAAATACCTTTATGTCTTGATTATCTCGTTTGAAAACAGCTAATCACAATAATCAAGTTCGTTTCATTGTTCCTGTGAACTGTGATGTCTTTCCCAGTCATCTTATTTAGTAAAACATGGCGAATATTCGATAGTAGAAAGAACTTCATTTCCCCATATAGAGTATGTCATTCATGATATATTTGTGCTGAAATGATGACAGGTAGCAAGTATGTAACGAACGGAATATACTCATCAGTTTCAAAACGACCAATTAAATGTCTTCGCAATTATAATAATGAAGAAACATCTGTATCAGGATAGGAACCACAGTAGTAGCCAGGTATTTTGTACATCGACTTCAATAGTCAAACGCTGCTTGTATGAATATACAAGTGTTCTTATTAAGCTTCTATGAGGCAATTTATTGAACAGTAGACTGGTGGTTCGGTCACTTCTTAAATGTTAATCCTGTTGTAGCTTTTACGTTGAATTTTTGTACCTTCTTTTTGTGAATTCTGATATATATATGATAGGTGTGTTGTGGTATGTTGCGGTTTTAGGACGTGAACTGTGAACACCTTCAAAGTTGTTTGAAATTGCAAACGTTTTACGTGTTGTTTATTCTTTGAGTACCCATCATTCACACTATAAAAGGCATAGGTGACAGTACAACTGATGAATGTCAGAGTTTAAAAAAATGTGCCATAGAGAAAATCCGCAGCTAAATATTCTTCACATGACCACAACACAACCATGTGAGGATGGACTTAACCATTTCTAATGAGAATTATTTCACAGTTGTACGTTTTATTTTGTCTGGAACACTTTTTTTTACCTTGGTAATATCATTCTGTCCTCAGTCACTGAGACATTATTGAGATTGATCTTTTTTAACTAACTGTTAGACTTCAATGGAACTAGAGTTCATGATTGTAAATTGTCAATGTGCAAAGTAATTTCCACTTCCCCTTACTCTTTTATTCAATAGACTCAGAAGAAACGGTAGAATGCGACCTGGTTCTCTTGGCAATGGGATTTCTGGGACCAGAAACACAGCTTGTCAAAGAGCTTGAATTGAATTTGACTACTCAGTCAGTGATTCAAGTTATCCCTGATCGACCATATAAAACAAACATTCCCAAAGTTTACGCCGCTGGAGGTGAGTGTTTGTGAATGTAACTCAATTTTTTCACTCAATCGAAGCGTCATTATATCACCCCACGATTAACTTTAGAATTTTTGTATTTTGCATCTGTGTCAAGTGTTTTATGATTAATACATTTGTCACGAGTTGCGGTATTACGTGGTCCTATTAAGAAGTTTTAGATTATTTGAGCGTTTCAAAAAACAGTAACATAGCCGTCACAATATATATTTGATTTTTCAAGTATTGGTTTTTGTAGGGATTTTATTTGGTTGGTTGGAGGATTTCATCATGAGCTGACATCAGTTAAAGAACCATTGGAAAACCTGCAGGGAGTACTGGACAGCTGTTTCCTCCTATTCGGATCAGGTCGCGGTGGCTTAGTGGTCTACGAGCTAGCTCGTCTTGTAACCAGAAGGTCTTGGGTTCTAACCCCCGTGGTTGGGTGCGTACTTCTGAAGAGTCCCAAACTAGGACGATATGAGCAGCTGTCCAGTATTCCCAGTTGGTTTTTCAATGATTCTCTAACTGATGTCAGCTGATCATAAAATCCTCCAACCAATATATTTAATTTACCAGGATCTCTGCGTGAGCCTTATCTGATTAGTCTACATGCTGCCAGCACTTTGACCATTCAGCTTCTAGGTTGCAATTCAACCACCCATATATTATAGCTTCTGTTAATTCGCGATATAGTACCACCAATGAACATCCACTTCACTTGAAATAGAACGACACTGCTGTCGAGTGCTCTCTGGTTTTCAGTGACTGTTTAGCTGATGTTGGTTGCTGGAGCTTTCATTGTCTATTGATGGATTGAGTACATGAACTAAGCGTGAAACAAAAAAGTGGAAATTCGAGTTGTGCATAAGTCTATAACAGAGTGATAGTGAATGCTTTAAATGGAGTTCAATGATTTTTGTTTATTCAGAGAGTTTCAGTAATAGGGTCTAGTATTTTTGAGACATATTTGGTTTAGACATCAGAAGCCCATCTGCTGCGCTCCTTATCCAGACTAAGTTATTTACTGGAGGTAGAACTTAACAATTCCGAGTTTAGGAGTGGTACTATGAAAATCAACCCATAGCTTACAACCATTTGGTTCAAATGGATATTTTTATGAGTTCCCTAAAGCCAACACTCGAAATTTGTACATTTTACACTGTCGGTTTTATGGAGTTTTGTCACTGCAAATATACTACTGATAAGTAGTCGATGTTATACATCATGCAGTAATTATATTTATTTATTATTATAGCTTGATTCCACACGGTAGTTATGATACAAGTGTGAAATTTTCAGCATGTGATATCGGTAGCCCAAATTTAGCAGGCCGACCAATGATATCGGGTGTGCGTTGGCAGGGGATCGAACCCCGGACCATGTGCATGGCCGGCGGGAGTCCTAACCACTGTACCACCTACGCACACATATACTTTACGCTGCTTGCTGTTTTAAGCATGTCACTAATATTTCCGGGAATATATTTAAATGTATGTTGTGCAGCCTTAGCTAGTAGGCCACCGTCTCAGCCTGGAGACTGTTTGGAACACCAGCTGAAGAGATTCGCCAATTGTCAACTAGCAGAATCAGAAAAATCGCGGTCACAACCAGTCTATGAAGAATATCTGACCATTACCTTTCACACTAAAAAGTTTCCTATGAAGTCGGCAAAGTTCAAGGAAAGTTTTTCTGCCTCTCTTTAATGCTGGCATATACGTTAAGAACATTTATAACTGTATAGAATTATCAAGCACGCATGCTTCATTGCAAATCAAATTCACAATTCGCAAACTTGTTCGCAATTTTGTAAATTAAATCGGCAATTTTGAGGTACTTATTGCATAGTTTCCCTTAGAAATGGAGAGTATTCAGACCATAATATATGATTCACTCGATACCATTGATGGTGTAAGTCCATGTATGTAAGTCTACTACGGACCAAATTAGTAGATGAGTAGTTGTATATCATTCGAATTAACCGGTGTTGTTGAAGAAGTTCGCCTAACTAGTTAGCCAGAAATCAGGCGACTTGAACCTATTCAGCTCTCTCTCGGCCAAGCTGAACCAGGTACACTACTTATGAGCTCCACTCCAAATGAATGAACCGAAATTCCCACTCCTGACACCACTTGTGCGTCGGTGGCACAGTGGTTAAGACCCTCGCCGACCATGCACATGGTCCGAAGTTCGATCCCCTGCCGACGCACACCCGATATCTATGGTCGGCCTGCAAAATTTGGGCTACCGATATCCATGCTGAAAAATTTCATACTTGTACTGAAAATACGGTGTGGCATCAAGCTGTTATCAAAATAAAAAAATCAATCGATACTATACGGTCTTATGCATTTATGCTTCATTATATATTAGCAAGTAATTGTCTGATAATTGTACATCTTCTGTAGTAAAAAAAAGGTTATTTTAAGTATTTCTAAGTCGTATCGCTTTTGTTTTCAGATTGTCGACGTGGTCAATCGCTAGTGGTACATGCAATAAATGAAGGTAGACAAGCAGCACGTCAAGTGGATCTTGATTTAATGGGTAAAACTCAACTTCCAGGTCCTGGTGGAATTATAAAAACTGCAAATTTAAGATAGATGTTTAATCACTTAATAAATGCTTCTGCTTGTGTGAACACACACATAAACACTTCAGAGGATTCGACTGGTGCTCAGGAATTGATGCCTGTCACATCTTCATCTTTTATGTTTGCTGATTGAAGCCTATTTTTATTATTATTACTATTGTTATCATTGTTATTATCATTAATAATAATAATATTATTATTATTATCACGATCATTGGGATTCCATGTTATACTTAGTTTATATATGTTAGCTTATATCTCATAAAAGTATTTTTTAAGAGAAAAAGGAAAAATATTCATAATAATACGGGAGGGAATTTATTCTCTTCTTGAGATGAAAACAACCTCTACTATAGAAGAACAACACAAATATTGTTTACTTCTACTTTACTCTGTGTTTCTGAGCTATTTATTCTTTCTTTTGAAAAGTGGTAGTGACAATTCACAGGCACACACGCGCACACCTACACAGACATATATGCACATGCACACGTGGACAATCGTTTGCATTTTCATCCGAATCTCTTTCTGGTTTGTTTACTTCTTTAATCATCATTGAAAAATTTATTTACCACTGAAAGATTTCTGAGCAGTGACTGGAGTGGCATCCACGCTACTATTACAACACTTAGCTAGTTCACTTCATCAAGAAACATAATTTGACATATAATACACCAATGATGTTTCTCCTATAGGATAAAAGCTTTCGGTTCTGTATTCCTCTTGGTTTGTCTTTGCTTATTTCCTTTGCGTGTATGTGTTTTCTTTTCTTCTGTGTGTCAATCATCTGTTTTCATTTTTCTGGATACTGCAACAAATTATTCGGTGTTTGCAAAGAAAGGTTATCTCCCTCTCTCTCTCTCTCTTTATTACAATTTAAACAAAGAATCTACTAAAAAAGAATCAATGGTTTAATATTTTTGAAATCATGGGAAATTTGTTAAGCTCACTGTAGTCAACGCAGGTGTACATGAGGATCTGCACCAAAGCACTGGTCCCAGAGTCATATCTTTGACATTGATGATAAAAAGCCAGTAGAGTTTCTTTTCATCTGAAGAGTATTCAAAACTGCCTAGATTATTGTTATTGTCACTACTATCATTACTACTACTACTTCTACTACTCCTAATACAATTGCTAATACTCACACTGCTAAGTGTAGTGTTTTGTGTTATCCTGCTAGAAATACGCATACAAACATACCTGTGTGTTTGTTGGTTCATCATCTCTCTGTGAACTTTGCTATTTTTTTTTGTTCTTTGTGGCTGTTTCCTAATTTCTCACTTTTTTTTCCTTGTTCGCATGTTTTTGATAAATGTTACTTACTTACATCTCATCAAGAAAAATCGAAAAAAAAAACAAACAGTATTTGATAATTATCATTTGTTCTAATGCCAGTAATAAAAACAGTATTTTAGATATGTGTCGTTTTTGGATTTCTTTAAGGAAGTAAAGCAATGGAAGCTGCGGTTGAAGATAGTTCTCATTTTTGAAGAATTGAAAAGTTCAGTGAATAATGAACTAATATGAAAAAGGGAAATTCTGTTTCTTCACACCAATCTACATGCGTCGGTGGCATAGCGGTTAGGACGCTCGCCTACCATGAACATGGTCCGGGGTTCGATCCCCGGCCACAGGACGCACTCCTTTACCTCGCTAAGCCAGAACTAAAAGCTGGTGAAGAGGAAAGGTTGGGCATGGGCCTAGCGAGCCCATCCTGTAAAATAAACACTGCTACAGAAATTTCAAGCCTCTAGCTTGAAGCCATATGTTCCACTGGGAACGTAAAGGAATAAAAAAAAACACCAATCTACCTAAATGTTCCTATGCTAAATTTGACAGCTGTATAATCAAGGCTTGCGAATATTTGTGAATAAACACTCAGACTCCAATTAGTGAGGGTTCGGATATCGTTAACTAGTGAGTATTCTAATTACTTGTAGCCGTGACATATTATGGTACGTGATTCAGTCGTCGTGTAGTAGTGTAATTAATGTTTCGTGTATCAAAAGGCATCAGGTCCTACTACTTCTTTCTATTTTAGAAATAAGAAAACCTTCATTGTGTTCACCTGAATCAGAGACCAATATCCTATTTTCGCGGGGATCGTATCATGAACGACTGCATTATAAATGAACACCAGTTGAAGTGATAAAGTTCACAGAAGTAGTTTTAATAACCACATTTTTTTCCAGCGCCTATCTTTTATTAGGTCTATTTAGCTAAAACACACCATCAAGGGCTGGCGAGTGACGATGATTTTCGCACTGAGAAATGTAATGATTAATGGTAATTCCTTCGTTACTTTACTTGTAGTTTATTTATAGAACCATCTGGAATTGAATCTCCTCAGTTTTAGCGTAAAACTTCCGAAGTGTTCTACATGTAACTTTACTTATTTTGATACTGAAAAGAAACATAATTCTGGCTGCAGAATGGAAATGTGCCTTCTGTTGCTAGATGAATATTGATTAAATAGTTGAGCCACTCATTAGAAAGCGTTACCTGTTCAATAGAAGCATTTCGTACTTTGAATAGAAGTGGCTAACCTCAGAACAAATCTAAATTGTGAGCTTCGTGTTTCGTGTTGGAAAACTAGTAGCAATACTTTAGCATACTGGGAACGATTCCGCTCTCGTAGCCAAATACAACTGGGTTGGATACTCAGCTGATGATCTAGGTCCCGGAGGAGGCGAACAGATGCACTACTTCATGCATTTATTCCCCTTGATGAATTTAAATAAAGCAAGAACAACAGCGGTTTGTGCAGAATAATATGGTACCATCATTTATTTTGTCGGCTTCTCATCAGCTGCTTACAGCCTAAATAAATTGTGAGGTTTACGTACTTTTACGTACTTTTCTGTACGTAAACCTCACAATTTATTTAGGCTGTAAGCAGCTGATGAGAAGCCGACAAAAGATGCACTACTGTTTGACGTGAGTGATAACTAACTAACCACATCAATCAGAAGTATATTACATCGTGCTACATTACTTGTTTTCTTAGTTACCACTTATGAAATCAAGCAGATTAGAGAATGTTATCTGAATATTTTGCGTTTGCGAAAAAAAAGCGGCGGTGATTAATCACCTTCATTTGTGTACCGATATCACATGTTGAAAATTCCATACTTGTACCAAAATACTGTGTGGAATCAAGCTATTATAAAGAAATATTTTTTTAATATTTGCAAATGGACAACTAGGTTGTATGCTTGAAACTGCCCTGGATACTATACCTGAATTCATTGGAGATAGTTTATCCCATACCTCATACAAAATCCCTGTAGTTATTATAAGAAATTTCATTAAGGTGGAAGAGGAAAAAATTCGAAAAACATGTAGCTGGCTCCATTTTCTGTCGTATATCAATCACTGTTTATTTCTGCCGTCTAACTAATTTATTACAGTTTATTTTTTCGAAGGATTTGTAGTATTTTAAGTAGCCCAAGATATTTATACGAATTAATAAATTCAAGCTGACGCCTGTTTCACTACATCTACAAACAATATGCTTCCTAGCAGAAGATTTTTGAACAACACAGTGTTGTATATACATATGATCTACGTGAAGCGTCTTGCACATGTATGACTCCAAAACGCCCAGCTTTCTTCCACTTGATTATAATATGCTCAGGGTACCATACAAATTAAAATCTTACTCGTTAACTGTCCTTGTTATCCACATTTTGCAATCTTATTGCTTTGCTTCGAAAGATATTTTTACCACTTGGTATAAATATGCTTCACGTATTAATGTACTAAATCTGTGTGATTTACAATCACTGCATCAGTGCACAGTTAATTCTACTTGTTTGAATGCTGCATGAGTTGTAGTGTACATGCATGTGATGGTTTATATTTTACCTATCAGCCTTGTCCATAAATATGAATACTCACTGGGATTTCTTAAGCTCTCGGGATTGCAGAGGGTAGAAGTAATCGATAGGTTTCTGTAAGTGTCTCTTATCAGTTAGCTAAACAATACACAGCATCGGTGAAACCACTTTAATTCATGTATAATCCCCATCCAGGCATTAATGAAAACAAAACACGTAGATCAGCGAAGAGTCTCTTTTCCGCGGCGAATTCATTTTCTTAGCTGTACAACCACAAATATATATGTGTTATTTTGTATGCATGTGTACATTAAGTTTGTCAAACAAAAATACAATTGGTTATAGTTATTTTAACTAAACAGGTGAAGATTCGTAATTGGAGTTACGTAATACAAAATCAGTCAAGAAAATTAGTCGTTATTGTAATTAGGGTAGTAACAAAGGTGATGGGTTGTGACAAACAGTTGTTAAAAAGGAGTTACGTAATAATGTGAATAGCTTGATGAGTGAGTTTTACTCAGGATGCACATAGGAACAAAGTAGATAACACGAAATTACGTAAGAGTTCTAAATGAATACAAGAATCATGAGCAATTAAAGAACAGGCAAAGAAACGAATTTAAGTCACCAAAATCAAAAATATTCTGGATATGTCAGGTTCCCGTTACCACTCTACTGCAAAATGGCTAGCAGATATTCTAAAACCTGTAAGGAAACAATTATGTACGCACTCGCTCTTTGACACCTTCCAGTTCATCGACTACATACAAGACATGAATGTATCTAACAAAATTATGCTGTCCTTCGACATTGAGTCACTTTTCACAAATGTCCCACTCACGGAAACGGTCTGCTTCATGTGCAAATATATAGATGACAACCATCTCAATATTGGAATGCCAACAACATGTTTGAAGGAATTACTATTGAGATGCACTCTGAACGTCCAGTTCACATTCAACGACACCACCTCCATACAAAAAGATGGTATTGCAATGGGATTTCCGTTGGGTTCACTACTATCAGATTGCTTCATGGCAAGCCTCGAGAAAGGTCCACTAAAGCCGAGGATTGACAATTTGCGACTGTATAAAAGATACGTAGACGACATACTTATTATTTGTGACAACAACAATGACCACAATTTACTGCTGAAGACATTTAACTGTTGCCATCCAGCAAGAAAATTCACTCTTGAAATGGAAAACGAGTAAAAAATTCCATTTTTTGATGTGGAACTAACAAGAAGAACTGATGGGAGCTTAAGAAGATCGATTTAGAGAAAACCTACTTGGAATGGTCAACTAACAAGCTTCTATAGCTGGGTACCCACTCAACAAAAGCAGAATTTAATTAAATCACTTGCCACGCGCATCCGATGCATCTGTAGTCCCGACGCTCTGGAAACAGATTTAGATATTCTAAGAGAAATTCTCATCCAAAATGGTTACCCAATAAGACTTTATCGACAAAAATATCAAACCAAGAATACGGAGAAACGAAACTTTAATTACGCCTTAAAAAAAACTCTACGTGAACTTGGATTTCTAGGGGGATTTAGCCAGCGATATTCTGAGGATCACATCATCTCAGAGAAGAACATTCTTTGCAGCAACGCTAAGAATAGTGTTCTCCAGTCTCCCACTGATCTGTAGAAGCCTCAAGCACAAGATCCCGCATCTGACCACTTCTATGTGCATATATCAGTTCACCTGCTGCTGTGGAGCCAGGTACATTGGTCGTTCGACGCGCACCCTGTCCAAGAGGATTCAAGAACACTATCCAGCATGATTGCGAAAAGGCAGTAGTGGTGCAATAAGGAGTGCGATAATTGAACACCTGGTTAACACTGATCATTCCATTTCAACAAACGACCCCTTCAAAGTAATCTACAGAGTCAAGAATAACCTATCAAAGGCAATACGGTTTCGTCTTCTTTGTATCGCTGAAGCTCTGGCCATTCACACAGAAAAATCAGAGCTGTGCATACAAAAGAGGATTACTCAACCACTTCTACTGTCTTGGTAACAACTTTTTGATTTGATTTTTTTTTATTTGATGACTTAATTTTGTTTCTTTGCCTAATCTTTAATTGCTTATAATTCTTGTATTCATTTAGAACTCTTACGTAATTTCGTGTTATCTACTTTGTTCCTATGTGCATCCTGAGTAAAACTCACTCATCAAGCTATTCACATTATTACGTAACTCCTTTTTAACAACTGTTTGTCACAACTCATCACCTTTGTTACTACCCTAATTACAATAACACCTAATTTTCTTGACTGATTTTGTATTACGTAACTCCAATTACGAATCTTCACCTGTTTAGTTAAAATAACTATAACCAATTGTATTTTTGTTTGACAAACTTAATGTACACATGCATACAAAATAACACATATATATTTGTGATTGTACAGCTAAGAAAATGAATTCGCCGCGGAAAAGAGACTCTTCGTTGATCTACGTGTTTTGTTTTCATTGAAACCAATTTAGTCATTGTATGAAACTCTCAGATTACTTCGTCATAACTTGAATAATTTAATGCACTGTTGACTTGATAGTCAGAATTTGTAAAACGGGCATTCAGGCTAAGTAAGCGATGACTGATCACACTTCTAAATAATGTCTATTCGAATTTCTTATATCTCTGAGTTATGACCGTTAAAAACTATTTCAGTACAAGATAAAGTAGACTGACGACTTTGGTTGAAACGGAGTTCTGTTTTGTAGAATCATGAATCACTTGGAAAGAAAAGAAAATTGTTACAGTTCGCTTATTGTATTTCCATTCCTTGATGTAGTACTCACCAGACGACACGACTGTACGATCCAAAGATCAATATATCGCAAGCCATCATGGACTGGACAGTTTATCAACTTCCAGAGCTTTGCCCCACTAATCCGGAAGAGAAACCTGGTACGTACGTTGTGTTCAAGGATCAGAAAAATCTGCTCGGAAGACATGGTAGAGAAAGAATTACGTAAAACCCTACTAGAGAATGGGTATCCACCAAGACTTATTGACAAAAACATGAAGGAGAAGCCTCCGGTGTCAAAGATCACAGCGGTTCCTAAGAAGACTCTCTTCATGAACCTAGAATTCAAAGGTGATATCGCAGTAGAAATTCTCAGAAACCGCTTTTCTAAATGTCTGAAGAAGACATTTCCAACAGCCACTCTACGTATCACATTCTCCTGCAGACAGTTAATCCAGTCTTACGCTAAGGACAAGATACCACTTTTGGCCACTTCAACGTGTGTTTATCAATTTACTTTCTCGTGTGGAGCAAAGTATATCGGCCGAACGCAACGTCAAGTCCACAAACGTATTCTGGAACACTGCCCAGCTTGGTTATCCAGAGGAGAAAAGAAGAATAGCAACAGCTCGATCCTCGAACACCTTGTCATCTCTGGACATCGAGCACCCCCACATGAATGCTTCACAGTGTTACACAGAGTCCCTCAATATCGTACAAAGGGACTTCGGATACGCCATCTGTACACAGCTGAAGCATTAGCTATTCGAGATCTGAAACCGGACCTCTGCATCCAAAAGCGATACATACATTCTCTTGCCCTACCATGGCCAGAGTAAAGTTCTTACCACAATTTTGCTTCTTTCCTTTATTATATAAGTTCACTATTATTATTTTATTTTATTAATACTTTTATTATCATTATTATTCCCATCATCCACATTTCATTACCACTCTATTACTGTTTATTAATAACATTGCTTTTCATACATATTTTATACAAAAACACTTTATAGCCTTTCCACTAGTTCCTGTCCATTTTACACGAGCTTACTGATTATTCATTATCTCACACTTATTACGTCATGCCAACTTCTGTCTCCTTTCTAACTTGCAATTAGTCATCCCTTCTTACACCTTACATTATGTAATACAATTTTCCAAGGACAAAATTTACCAGTATCTGATTGGTCTAAAGATTTCTTTGTTAATTATAATTACGATTGTACAGCTCATGAAAATGAATCGTCGAAAAGAAAATTTTCTTCGCTGTTTGTGCCTTTTTCTTATGACTCAATATGGGAATATTTCGTTTATTGTATTTCAGTCAAACAGTAGAACCTAATAATATACAACTATATGATATTTGGCTGTACTATCCTACTATTTGTTCAAATGTCAGACGTACTATTAGAAGGTTGGAATTCAACTGGTTGTGTCAGTGCCGCAAAAAAACTGAAATTGAGCTGAAAGATGATTGCTAGCTACTAATTCACTTTAATGAAAAGTACAAACAATAATGAATAGGGAAATTTTATTTTGTATTTGTTTTTAATGATATTCAATACTCATTATGCACAAATTAAGCAAATAAAGATCATGACATAGTAAGTATTAAAAGCCAATATGAATGATATAAGCGCGTATGCATTAGAAAAGAAAAATAAACAAACATCATAGAACATAAGAAAAGTGTCAAGCAGATAAGCTCAGGTAAAGGCGTTAGGTTGGTACAAAATACGAATAGTCATAGATAAATATATATATCCTGTTTCATCCTGCAGGATGAGCGTTTAATTGGTGAATATAATAGGTAAGTAAGTATGGAATAATATAAAGTAAATTGAGAAAGCTATCCATTTGGCCACGTCAGACTACTTGCGGTGATACTATGAGTCAGTAGGATTCATATATATATAAATATATATATTCCATTCTGTTGTATTTTTCTATTTTCAGGCTTTCAAGATAATACGACTGACTCCCCTTGCCTCAATTTGTAAAAGACAAAAACAGGACAGCGTACGTATATGAAAGCATGAAAACATGGTAGCATAGTGGTGAAGAAATTAAGCTTTTTTGATGTTTAATCATGAGATGCTTTGTTGACATTTTTATGTTGTTATAGTTGATTGCTCGGTCACAGGAGTTTGTTTCTTGGCCAAAATAATGGTAATAATAATAATAATAATGCTACTCACAATAGTGATGATGATCATATAATAAAAATCATATACTTGTTATGTTTATTTATATTCAAACTGATATTTTAAACGTCCACTTCTACGTGTATAGGGTATAATTTGCAAAATTCAGATGAATAGGTATTATAATTGGATGGGTAAAGAGAAGAGTTTATTTGTAATAATATGCTTACAGTAATTGGATTTTCTCCCTTGAATATCGTGTTAGCAGATAGATGGCGATAACTGCGAAGACAAACTACACGAATAATTAAAACAAAATTCAAAGTAAAAAAAAAAAACTTAATTTGCAATGCGACACAGAATTGTTGCTAGTGTACATTTTTTTCACACAAGAACAATATAGTAAGCATGTTTGACTAGTGACATAAACAATATAGATTTGATCTTTGGTGGCTTTGTGGGTAGTCCCCATCGTTACCCATCAAATGGTGTCGGTTCCTGACAAAATCTATACAGGAAATTATTCAAATCTCCACAAACCTGATATCTCAATACCAGTTTGTTTTGATGTACTATCTCACCAAGTATTGGAGAATTACTGTGATAACTGAGCAGGCGCCAGATTTATTCTCTGGTGAGGTTTTCATCAACTGGATGGCTATCAGGACTAGACCGCTGTCTTTATATTTTTAACTATTGAAAATCCATGAAGCCATACTTTAATATACAAAATAGCTCAAGCATCATTCTGGTTAAACTTTCATGAGTATTTATAGGAACTAGTGATTAACAGGATTTTGTATTACTTTATTCTGCATTGTTCCTTACTTTCTATTACTATTTCTTCACTAGTACAATTGAAGTCTTTTTTTGGGGGGGAGATAGATTCAGTCGCTTACAGATAGACATAGATATCTTTGAAAAAGAAAAGCGCAAATATTTCTCACTCTGTTGATTACTGCACACTTTGAGTAATAATATTACTAATCATTTGGAGGAGATCAGGATTCTAGAGAAAAGACCATACAGTATCTCCCCAGATGGTGACTGGGATTTAGTCCAGTTATAGCTACAACTTCAAGACATTCAGAGATAAAGTTTAGCTTTGCTTTTAATCGCTTTTCTCTACTTTACTTTTGAAATAAGTAATTAGTGTCGTCATCACTACTGGAATTTAGGTTAAACATAACAAATGCTCAGCTTCTACAGTTGTCAATGCATCCCTCGTATAATGAAGTCCATCTCCACACCGCTGACTCCTTCGTGATGGAATTGGAATTTAGAATATTTACTAACAAAGTGAACGGTAGTACATAGTTCGAAAGCTTCACATCATGAAAGAGTCTAAGGTCTCGTTAATTCTGCTCTGGCTACCGGCAGACTTAGTGGTACGTTGCAGCAAATGGAAACAAGATCATCGTGCAGTATGACCGTTCAGAACCAAATTGCAGATGAGTTTTTGTCACAATTAGGGAACAAATACTTTTTAGTTACAGGATTTCATCATGAGCTGACATTAGTTAGAGAACCATTGGAAAACCTGAGAGTACTGGAAGGCTGTTTCGTCCTAGTTTGGGACTCTTCATCAGTACTTTTTAATTGTTATCCGCATAAATTCCACTCAAATTAAGCCGTCCCGATGTTTAGAGAGTCGCTAAGTTTCACATCTAGCAGAAGGAAAAACCACAACAGGTTTAACTACCGTAAGTTCACAGTAAATAAGATTAGTACAACACTTATGTGCATTGGTCTAAGAAAGCTAAGCTGTGATTCTAATTCAAAAGTGTATTCACATTGACATAGTTATATCAATGAGCATAAACTATCATATTCTAAATTTATCCTCAGGAATATCAGTCGGTCTTGCTGGTTGACAGGGTTCGATTCCCAACTGATCTTACCTATTTTACCAGGCTGTGTTAGGCCCAAAGAAGAGGGAAGATTCCGGGTGGGGTCAGCAACCCCATTCTGTAAAAAACATCACCACCACTGCTGAAACTTTAAGGCTTGAAGCTCTATTTTCCACTCGGAATTCAAGTCATCATTGTTATTTCTTGTCAAACACTGGTGAGCAGATCGTAGTAAACTAACTGCATTCATTGATAAAAGACTTTAAGTGCACAGAGCATCTGACTGTATACAAACAGAAATTCTTTGCCGCTCAGTACAACAGAAGGTGGCTGATGTCCCATTAATTTCATAGTATCCATGAAATTATAAACAGGATAGCACTCTGACTTCTTTTTGTGAGTTGTACAAATGTTAAATCTCAGATATAAAGCATAAGAAAAGTCTATGTTGTTTACTAACCGTCATTATTAACAGACCGATGAGTGAGAACAGAATAATCTGGAAGCTCGGTTGTGCAGCTGACCACAGAAACTCGAAACAACCCTAAAAATAAGGAAGAAGGATTATTATGCAGTTATTGCTGAATGAAAACGATAAATTCTCCACTAAAAGCGTAATGTAAGAAAATAGTAGAATTGTGAACCCTCATATCCTACAACCTGAAGTGAGGCAAAGTTAAACTTTCAGCACCACTAACTACCAATCAGCGAACGACTTTCAACGAACCAATCACATGAAAGAGGGAATTTTGATTATGGAAAACGTATATTTATGAAAAAAAAGCATAAAAACTGCATAAAACTGTTACATAGGGTATCTTTCTCTAACATGTGACAGAAACATCTCCCAGTTTAGCATAGGAGTGTCAATGGAAAAGTTACACCACATTCTGTACATATTTTCATCCAAATGACTATAAATGACATCCTTTTGAGATCCACTTATAACCCTAATCCTATTTTTAAATCTTCCCCAAAATCCTTCTATAGAATTTGTGTTTGTCCCTGTAATTGGATCCACAAAATCACTAGAATGGTTCACTCTGTGATGAATATATCCAAGGGATGACAGCGAGTTAAATTTCCATTCATCAGTATGTACTATAGATCCCTGTTTCACCAGTCAAGTGACAATAGGTACTAAGGTAGTAGACTTTCTGTCTGGTATTCTCTCCACGAATCCTTTCCACATGGAGGTGTCATATAAACCGATCACCCAAACATTGTTGGCTGGCTGACGACCACAGTTGTATTTTTTCTTCAATAAGACAGTTTCGTCCACGTGTACGACGACACCTTCTCCGCCTAACAACGAAGTAATTCTCTCCATTTTCCGTAAGGCCATGTCTCTGCAGTGCTGGTACCACTGAACTTTTAACACGAGGCTATTTTCAGTTTCAGCAGCTGCGCCTCTCACAGGCTGTTTTAAAACCCAGTAATTACAAATATACAAAATCTGGGTTAGGCAGAGATGCGATCTAGCAAAAAATGTTCCTACGAAATATTAAAATCATCAGCTTATCTTCCCTAATACTAACTCATCTCAAGTAAATTGCACAACGATGAGTAAGCATATCCATCAATCGACATACTAAAGCTTTTTAAACTCATGAAACCTCCACATGAACAAATCCTCTCATTCCTAAGCAACCCCAAATCCAGGCAATACTGCAAAACTTCATCAAACTGCAAACGTAACTTCGTTAGAGGAGGCATTTGATATGAATCAAGCGGGAAACAACCCTGAACTCCCGTGCATGATCCTCATTGGGCGATTCGAGGTCATTCACTGATTGGTAGTTAGTGGTGCTTAAAGTTTAACTTGGCCAAACAAGGACTTCATATTATTCGAATAATGGAATAATAGCCGTATGTTGTAAACTATATATATATATACGTCATCAGTGAATATTACTGTACAGCACTGTGTGATTTATCAAAATAAAATCTTATCCATAATGGAGTTATACTCTACCACAGTGCCCAAGTTTTATACTTATATCAACAAGTGATGGTGAATTGTTCAGTGGCAAGATTTATGGATACTTATTTGTAATTATATTTAAATAAAGATAACACTGGTTTTTTAACTGAAAATCTGGCGAATCCTGAATTTGTCAAACTAATATATATATATATATAGGCATTGGTTAAGTGCACCAGTGTTTTCTGAAAAAGAGCAGTTAGAAACTAAAGACACAGGTGCAATATCTTGGTTCTACACTTTCATAAACAATCATCTGTGCTAGGTGCGATAACCAGATAGGTGGGGTATCGTAGTAATCATTTTATTATTTGACTACAGAGTTAGCTTTTAATAATAAGAACAAACCAACTATAGTTATTCATATTGCCTCAAAATTGTCTTCAAGTGTCACTTTCCACACTTAGCTTTCTTAAGATATATTAACTTATAACCAAATAAACGTAGTGTGCCATCAAAATTTAGGGACATTTGGACACCTCGAATCAAAATCACTGATAGGTAACTGCATATTACTGTGTTCGCTGTTGTATTTATATTTGTCATCATTGTGTGCCGAAACCACACACTGCAGTGATGTGCCAGTAAAGTTGTCCTGTTTTACTGACACTTTGCTCTTATAGATTGTTTAGAAGAATTTGAATTTTATTTTTTTTTGTAATTAGCTGTTAAAATTAATTTACTGCTGACAAGCGATATGAGTGGTCCTTTCAAATGAAAAATGTAGGACTAGAATGAAGGTACGCAGTTGAGAAATCAATCAGGTTAAAAGCAGAACAAACTAGGGCTTCAGGTCTAAGGGAATAAAGAGAAGTTAACTCAGTTAGTTTCTAGAAGTTGTACACTTAACGAGATCCACTTTCAAGGATAACATTTCTCTTAATTCCTAAATAATTCTATGCACACTATCTGTTGAATCAAATTAGTGAATCCTTTACTGTGACACAATTTAGTCTACAAAAAGTAATGAATGCAGAGACTGAATGAAGGAGCTCTTCTTTCCTAATCTTTTTAGTTCTTAATCAAATTTTTCTGTCACTACGCTACAATTATGATAACAGAAGTCTATCAGCTTGACGGTACAAAAACTCCGGTTACCTCTTAATACATATGCGTGAAACTTGGGCACTGTGGTAGCAAGTAATTCCACATTAATTTGTTTATTAGATGTATCACACAGTGAAACAGTATTATTTACTGGATGACGTTTCGAACAAAATTTATTGTTCACAACCATATCAATTATAATCACACGACTTTGAAACTTGAGTTTTACAGTTTTCTTTGTTCTCCTTTTTGTCGTCTTAGTAGTGGTAGAACTTTCCAGATATCTGGGACAGGTGTTGAATCATTCCTATTACACGGATTTGCAGCTGATTCAATAAACAAAGTTTCCGTTATCAATCTGTCCCTCCACCCTGTGACATTAGATTTTAAAACTGTCATCTAATCCCATCCTAATTTATAGTTGTGTGTAATTGCATTTAGTGCTATAGCTGAACTATTCTCCAGATTTCTTATCTTATTCGGGTCAACTAATTTAGATTTTGCTAGGTTTTTATGCTCCGTTAGTCTGACTGTTCCTGTTCTACTACTTTGACCTATGTATTTGACCTGACAATCATTGCAGGGTATGCGATAAACTAAATTGTTTTGTTACAGGATTTTTATCATGAGCTGACATTAGTTAGAGAACCATTGGGAAACCTGGAAGTACTGGACAGCTGTTTCGTCCTAGTTTGGGATTCGAACCCAGGACCTTCTGGTTACAAGGTTACAAACCAACACTTGAATATCAATGAGATGCTCACAAGCGACTTGCCCCATTCAGGTAGGTAGTTACCTGGGGTTCTAGTGAGAAATCGTAACCAGTAGGCTGCAGCAGGTCGGGTGTGAGGACAAATACTCGCCAAAGACATTGGCTAGCGGTTGCGCTATGTCTTGAATTAGCAGGAGTTAGAATTCATGGGCCATTAGATTGGGTCCCAGTGGCTGAATGGTACACTAGCTCGCCCTGTAACCAGAAGGTCCTGGGTTCGAACCCCGTGGTGTGGGTGCGTGCCACCGAAGAGTCCCAAAGTAGGACGATATGAACAGCTGTCCAGTACTCACTTCCGGTTTTCCAATGGTTCTCTAACCAATGTCAGCTCATGATGAAAATCCTGTAACCAATCAATCAAATCCCTACAAACCAACACTTGAATAAATTGTTTTGTTTTAAAGGCTCCACAGGATCCTTTAAGCGACAAAGCTTGTTTCTAATTGAGTTTGTGGGTTTGAATGCCGTTTTTATTCCTGCCTTGTTAAGAATTCTTCTTAAGGTTTCCGAGGTTCTTTCTTTGTATGGAAGTAGTACTGATAATTTAGATTCCTTATTGTCGGTGTTGTCATAATCCTGCTAATGTTCGATATACATGTCGTCATTAATATTATTATTATCACCATCACTACTATTATTATCAATTTTATTTTTACATTTCTCTACATACTTCCTGATTAATTTATTAGGGTAATTAATAAGTTTCAAAGCTTCTCTTATATGCCTCTCTTCCTGTCTTAGATTTTCCTTCGTACTACTTATTTTTTGTGCTTTATTACTTAAACATTTTACCAATCCTATTTTTACTCTCATGGGATGGGGTGCTGGCAAATTCAAATATCGGTTTGAATGTGTGGGTTTCCTGTAAACACTAGTGTTTAACTTCCCATCTTCTTTCCTTTTTACGTAGCAATCTAACATTGGAAGCTCCCCTTCCTGACTTTCCAATTCATAAGTGAATCGAATTGCCTCTACCTTCGAGTTGATGTGTTCGAAAAGTCTATCTATATCTTGTGTTCTAAGTACAGTGAATGTGTCATCTACATACCTCCACCATACTTTTGGGGTGGGGCTGAACGTTTCAATCACTATGTTTTCCCACCTATCCATGAATATATCTGTCACAATCGGGGATATTAGTTATCCCATGGCAACTCCCTCAGTTTGTTTGTATATTTTCCCCTGGAATTTAAATACTGTGGAAGTCAGGCATAGCTGCACTCCCAGCATAATGTCCTCAAGTGGCACTTTCGTCTTAAGTTCGAGTTCTTGGTCAGAAATCAGTTCGTTTCTGACTGCCTCTACGGCTATATTTGTCGGTATGTGTGTATGTACCCTGACAGTTTAAAAACTAACCATTTTTTCTTCATTATCTAATTTCCAAGTATCTAATGTATGTTTAAGTTCATAAGAATTTGTTAGTCACAGTAAATAAAACTGTTTCGCCGGTTATCTCTTACCCACTGAAATATATAAATAAGATTCCTTAGATATTGAAGAAAAGCTAAGGCTTCATTAAGGCATTTTATTAGCTCTGAGCAACCTTCGCAGCACCGACAGTTGTAATATATAACATTTCCTTTTCCTGTCTGGCAAGGACGAACATATCGATTCCAGTTGTTTACATAATTCAGGTGTCATAATCGACTGTATTAAGTTTAAGTGTGGTTAGAAACAAGCAATTTTATTTTCTAAACACGAAAGTCCCAGAATCAAACTTACGGTGTCTCTATAACTATTCTGTGAGGTTGGACGTTCCCAGCACTCTTTGTTGTTCATATCTTTGCAACATGATGCTGGAATTTTATCTAGAAAAAAAAAGATTAGAGATTTTTAAATTTATAGGTTTCAGTAAACTGATTTTACAAAATGTTACCCCATATTCATAATGTTCTTCTAGCCGTGTATAAATATGCCCGAAGTTTTCATTTAAACTGATTTAAGCACACCACCATATTGTGCTTAATGTCATCATACCCAACATCCCTGGTTTAAACTGTATGCTAACAAGTGAGAAGAGTCAAATTTAGTGAAAATATCATTTAAAGTTTTTATTCGCCAAATGCCACGTTTAACCTAATAATGCGACAATTTATGGTTGTGGAACAGGATTTTACGAGGAAATTGTCTTCTGCTTTCCACAATGATTATAGAAATCTGAAAATTTGTCTTTGGTGCTTTCAAAGTGTCTAATATGTCATCAAGAGAAGAGAAGTGGAGGAGTTTAATAGATTAATTTAATATATCATTAGAACAAACAAACTGAGTGTAGTAGTTGTGTACTGATTTGATCAGCCAATTAAAACCTGAAAAAAACAGATTAAATAATACACCAAAAAATTTAGCATAAAATGAAAGATTTCAGCATGAGCAATAAAAATATGCACTTCTACAGAGTGACTGCCAGCTAGTCAGTTAAGTTGCTGTACATATATATATATATATTACCACCTCACCGTACGGTGAAATAACACATTGATTTTTTTCCTTCACGTTCTCCAGTGAAACATAGGGCTTCAAGCTAGTGGCTTGAAGTTTCTGTAGCAGTGTTTATTTTACAGGATGGGGTTGCTAGCCTCATGCCCAACCTTTCCTCTTGACCAGCATTATCTCTGGCTTAGCGAGGTAAAGGAGTGCGTTAATTGGAATATATTCAACGGAAAGGAAAGGAATGCTGTTTTACATGTCGTTATCAGTCATTTATAATTTTGTGTAAGTTTTCGAAATAATGAAGAGGATTTGTGACTCGAGTTGATGTTTTTGATGTGCTTGTTTACTCTACGAAACGCAAGCTTCACAATTAAATTACTCTGTTTGGAGAAAAGAACCACATAAGAAAATAAAAGTTTTTTTTTTATAGAGGCGATTAGTCCATCGTCAATAGAAAATGCAACATGCTCATTTATTTACTAAACCTGGAGGCATTAGACGTCAGATGTCAGTCGCTAAATAAGTACCCAACGAATAATAATTCATGCAACTTCAGCGGTGAATGGAAAATACCAATTGATATTTTCTAGTTGTAATAAGCCAGTGTCTGATTTCACCTGTGGCCATGGAAAGACGACTGTGATGTACGTTTCCCTGAGATTACAAGCGTATCTTTTAAAATTATTCAGAAGACAAAAGGGATTACCAGTACTTTGAAGCGTTAGACATGCATGTCCAGAAAACGCATAATATTTTAAAAGAAGAAAGAATACTTACAATTCTGTCTTTTGAATGATTCGTTATCTTGGAAGTCACGATAGTCAAAAGAACCGCAGCATTTGTGCTTAAGTAAATAAAATTGACAGAAAAAGTCGCTGCTTTTAGATTATATAGGCAATGTTGAATACAATTTTGTCGATAATTTAGAGGAGAAATAATGACTGCAGAAAACAATATGCTATAAAAGCCTTGAAAAACTTCACTCCTGTCTTGTTTTCACGTGTTCCTCTAATTTATTATAGAACGTTAAAAATGTAAATGTTTATTGGAAAATAAGAAACGTCTAGGCAAATTGTATTATGAAACGGAAACTATCAGAAAGACATTTAAAATCTCAACATTGTAGGCAGCAGTTTTGTCCTCATTTTGCGGCATTTCAGAAGCGATGACAACCGGAAGCCCTAACAGCTCAGTGGTAATGTCTCTGACTGAAGAACTAGGTGACTCGGTTTCGAATCCTAGACGAGACATGAGTTCCTTCAAGCTTGCGAAACCTAGGCGCAAGGCTTCCTGCCGATTGCCTCAAACCATACAATATCGACAAGCTCACTCGCTGAAAGGTGACATGATCGTCTGAAAACTCAGTTACTCCTGTTGAATTTCTAAATGAAATGCACTAATAACACTCGGTTTAATTCCAGTAATCCGTATAGTACTTCAGATAAACTTTAAAGCCACAATTTTAGACGAAAACAGAATAAACATTTCCTGTTAGACTGAAGCAAAATTCAAAACAAGAAAGCCATGGTAAGTGAATTTGTTTAATCAGCTTAAAGCAGCAACTGCGGTACAGAAGACCAGTAGTTCAGCGAAGAGTTTCTTTTCGGCGAATTCATTTTCACAGCTGTACAGTCACAAATATATATGGTTAATGTGTATGTGTGTACATTAAATATGCGAAAGGAAGATACAAACCAAACTATAGAAAACTAATCTGATGCTCGCTAGTGACTTGCTACAGGATTGAGTTTCCTGGAGTTCCAATGAGCAGTCGTGACCAGTGAGGTCCATCCATATGTCACGTGTGAGGATGGATGTTCCACCTACGACAATGGTTGGGGTTGCGCTAAATCATGAATTGGTAGAAGTTAGAATTCATGCACTGGCCATTGAATCGGGTCCCAGTGGCTGAATGGTGTACGGGCTTGCCTTGTAGCCGGAAAGTCCTGGGTTCAAGCCGATGATTCCCTAACTAGGATGAAACAGCTGTCCAGTACTCCCTGCTGGTTTTCAATGCTTCTCTAACTGATATCAATCCGTAATCAACTCGTAAAAACAAAACTAATCCTGACAAGCCAAACTTTAGAAAATTAATAATATAATCTGAGCAATAGACACTAAAAAGTAGTGTCATCCACTACAAGATTAGGGCAATACAGTTTAAGGAAGATATTAATTAAGAGCTGTTCTGATACACATGGATCATTATTTGATAAATTACAGGATATTTCTTCAAGAAATCACGTTTTCCTAATTGACTGTACTCTTTGGAAGAACAAATGACACAATTTAAGATATGGACTTAAGCAAAATGTTGAGATTTTAAAAACGCTTGTTATATAACTAAGAAATGAGGGCTGATATCATACTGCGATGATAGGGACAGTGCGATTAGTAAGGCACTTTACACCTTTACGGTGACAGATGAACTCATATTTTCTCGCATAAAGTGTTCAGTCAAGACCTGACAACTGACAAATATTAACATTTACTCTACTGCTATTTTCTATGGTTTTGCGCTGGTCACTTCTCACTCCAGAAAGTTCACTTTTTCCGGTCCAGAATAATTCGTTTAAAAAAAAGCTTTAAAATAGCAGAGTTTAGACTAGTAATTGACCAGTTCTTAGCTTTCCATTAAAAACAAATGAATTCAACAGCAAAATTCTCTTACCTTTTGTTGAATTTCATTCACGAATACAGTGAAACCGCTCTTCGGTGGAGAATTATTATCCATTTGATAATCAGTGATAATTGATCTGCGATAACTTATCCCCAGTTCATCACGGAACTACACCAAGAAGAGTAGAAATATCACAAGAAGAGAACAAAACCACAATATAAGTAAGCAATAACATACTTCGAAGTAAATTAGCAGTCAGTTTCATTCCTTCTCCTTAATGAACAATACATTCGAAGCGTTCAGCTAAAGCCAATTACCCTGTGCGTTGAAATACTTCAAAACATTTACAGGAAGAAATAAGTATTCGAATAATGATTATGATAAAAATCATAAATGTATAAGCTTTTCACTATTGTCTGAACATAGTCATCAGAGATATTCGGTAAGATAACTTTCATTGAAACTGTGTCACTAATTTTAAAGATTCGAATTCAAATAATTTCTAGAGCAGTAAGTATATTTCAGGCAAGCTGTAAACGTCTGAACTTAGGGAGACTGAGTCATTTCTAGATGAAAATGGATACAGGCAATTATCCTCGAAATCAAAGGTAAGTATGCCGAATTTCTTCCCACCATAAATCGATATTTACATGGCATTATCAGATGAAATGTAACTTTTTATTCCTTTTTTTCACACTACGAGCGTTACATGACTGACTTATCACACAGACCATTTAATAAAATTGGTTTGTGAAATTTAAGCCTACTGAAACATTTTGAATTCATTCTATGCAAACCTTGGCCATCAGTACTTTGAAAAAAAGCTACAATATGTTAGTGTTAAGAATTAATTCGTCGCAAACAATAGACATATTCATTATTCAACATTTTATTGACTACACATACGTGTGTTTACGTCTGAAGGTTGATTTGTCTGTTGTATTTCTTCTCTATAAACTCTATTTTATTTGTGAATGTCCTATAAATAAAGCTAGTCTAATCTACTTGAAATAAGATAGCTGTGAACAGCCGAAAAAAACAATGAATAAATTTTAACTTTGAGCCATGACAATCAACTAATTGTGCATAAATTTGAATAAAATTTCACTTACCCAATTTTTACGTGTTCCGAATACAATGGTGAACACCAGTAAAGCCAAAAAGATAATCAGAAGGAATGCTGCATACTAAAGAAGTCCAATTAACATTTAACAACCAGAATGTCGAAATAAACAGAAAACAGATTACGTTATCCATATATATTATTTCTGATAGTGTGTAAAAAAATATATATTACAAGAAATCCATGTACAGATAATAATATAAGTTGTTTCCAAATAAAGTATTATTTCTTGACAACGCTTATAAGTGATTTCGTCGCATTTACTCATAACATGTTTGTCCTTAATAAAAGTGACACTTATAATCCTTTAGATTTACCAGGTTTTGTTTCTGTCCTACTGTATCATGTTAGATTTTCTATTGGTGTGGCAGCTTAGCGACCGCCCGCTTAGAGAGAATATTTTGGCGACCGTTCCAACGTACACAAGCTACAAAAAGCACTGGAAATTAAAAAGAATTAAGTAACCACCTTGCTATACTATTGATCCTTCACGTAATCATGAGTAAGCATTCCTATAGAGTTATAGGATTTCATCATGAGCTGACATTAGTTAGAGAACCATTGGAAAACAAACTGGGAGTACTGGACAGCTGTTCATATCGTCCTACTTTTGGACTCTTCAGCAGTACGCACCCACACCACGGGGTTCGAACCCAGGACCTTCTGGTTACAAGGCGAGCTCGAATACCAGTGACCAGTAGGGTGCAGCAGTTCGGGTGTCAGGAAAGATACTCGTCGAAGACATTGGCTAGCAGTTGCGCTATATCGTAAATTAGCAGAAGTTAGAATTCATCGGCCATTAGATTGGGTCCCAGTGGCTGAATGGTACACTAGCTCGCCCTGTAACCAGAAGGTCCTGGGTTCGAACCCCGTGGTGTGGGTGCGTACTGCTGAAGAGTCCCAAAGTAGGACGATATGAACAGCTGTCCAGTACTCCCAGTTTGTTTTCCAATGGTTCTCTAACTAATGTCAGCTCATGATGAAATCCTGTAAACAATCAATCAAATCCCTACAAACCAATACTTGAACCTGTAAAAGTGTTCACCAAAAAAATACGGAAATCGCATTCATTTTGCTTTAAAGATAAAAACATAACCTGTAAACTATCACTATCACTACCATAAGTGTATAACTCTTAAGTGTTCGTAAATCCATTTCTAATTTCGCTGTAGTAAGATGAAACCTTGCAGAGAGTGAAATATTTAGGCGTTCCAATCTGTTTTCTCCATATACCAGTGCTGATTTTTCAAAGCTAAATGAATCCATACGGATTCGCAAAACAAGGTTGTTTTATCAGCTAAAGGCGAGGTGGTATTTGAGACATCAGTTGACATGTAAGAATAAATGTTAACTTCATCAGTATCACTAACGCATAGGTTGTTTCTTTTCTACGATTGGCACTTTTCACCTGACATGTCCTTAATTTGTTCAAACAATTATATCAGGCAATGAAAATAAACAAGATCCTATTGAAACTAGAATTTTGTTATGGTCACTTCAGTATATTTGAACAAATTAGCAATCAGATGGCTACAACTATAGAAGTGATTCTCCTTTATGACAAAAATTCATTAGGCGACGTGATTTTCTATAGTCTTTTCTTAGATTTCGTGTAAAATATAAACTCAAGCATAGAAATATTGATGACTATTCAGTTAGCTTTTAATCTGAGTTTGTTTTAGCTCGAAAACAGTGTTGTATAACTGATTTCAGACTGTTTGATATATCCCTTGCAGAACTGTTAACAAGTAACACGTCAACTCGTCAGCGATGTGAACGTAAGTAACTCGACTTACTGATATGAAATGAGTTACTCAGTAAACGTTTTAGAGGTCTATCATTTCATCCGGTGAAATTCATTGAACATACAGGTTTAAAACGATTGGTGGAATGCAATGGTGGTTATTTCGGTCAGCTATTCCATGAATTACAAGAGTGAAGATCAAGGCAGCTGATTATGCAGCATCGATATTTAATGTAAACAAAAACGAAGCTAGGTAGATAAGAATTTAGGTATTAGTCTGAAAACTGGGTAAAAATGTACTTACAAAATTTGACTAATTACTTAATACCTGAAAGTCAAGTAACTACATGTCTTATGCTTACATGCATAGAAGTAATTATATTCTGCCTATCAGCCTAGATAGAACACATGAGGAGTGATGAGGTTCCCTTTGAACTTTACTCACCAATGCTAGTTTCTACGGTATCACTGAAAACCACTCTTAACGGTTCACAAATGGTAATTTATCTACTCCAATTTTCGATCAAAGCTAGTCGACAGTATCCATTTTAGTGTTTCATCTGACTAAGTTTGGTCATATTTTAAGTTTCTCAGCATTTTTTTACAGGAAACTATGAAGTTTCTTAAGCAGTACCTTCAAGATTAGAGGTATCGGAGAGTTGAATATTTTTTAGTTCAACACTACAGGAATTCGAGTATTGGTTTGTAGGGATTTGGTTGATTGTTTACAGGATTTCATCATGAGCTGACATTAGTTAGAGAACCATTGGAAAACAAACTGGGAGTACTGGACAGCTGTTCATATCGTCCTACTTTGGGACTCTTCAGCAGTACGCACCCACACCACGGGGTTCGAACCCAGGACCTTCTGGTTACAGGGCGAGCTAGTGTACCATTCAGCCACTGGGACCCAATCTAATGGCCGATGAATTCTAACTTCTGCTAATTTACGATATAGCGCAACTGCTAGCCAATGTCTTCGACGAGTATCTTTCCTGACACCCGAACTGCTGCACCCTACTGCTCACAACTTCCCACTAGAACCCCAGGTACTCCCAGGTTTTCCATTGGTTCTCTAACCAATATCAGCTCATTATGAAATCCTGTAACTTTTACAGATTGTTTTAGTCATAACCATGTTTTGAAATATTCAATCGGTATTAGTGCGACACATGGCATATGCCCACTCTCTGTGTTTCTCATAAAAGCATAACAGAAAAGTCTGTTCTGCAGTAATAGTACTCAAATATTGCAAAATTTACGTGTATATTTTCAAGCACATGATAGATTTGCCTACAAACTCGCATTCATACATATTAATAAGAGAGAAAGAGAGAGAGCACTGAACCAGTAAAGAAATCTATTTCACTTATTTGTCTGTAATTCATTCAACAAACCAGACAGCTGTCTAAAAACGGTAACAGAAAATGTGAAAGCGTAAACCAGGTGCATACATAATTTTCAAACTAATCAGTAAAAGGTTATCTGTTCTCTCTCTCTCTCCCTCTACGTGTATACAGACATTCATGGTAGTTTTCGCATTTTGCAGTATTAACTAGAACTGTTAAGTATTAAGAATTATTTATGGCACTGATATGAAATTTATCTTATTACTTGATATTTTCATTAACATTATTTTCTATTTTCATCCCTATGCAATTAAATAGATAGCGATGAAAGATGAATAAAGTGGAATAAAGGATACTGTTAGGCGCATAAAGAATAATACCAAAAGAAAAAAACACACTAAAGGAATGAATACGGCAAAGTGGGTCCGATGAAGGAAAGAAATAGATTTGCACAAATATTAAGAGGAGATGAAAGAGCTATTTGATTATTAGGCAAGAAAAATGGTCACTTTTACGTAGTACATTATAATTTCTACTATATTTATAAAAATGCTGACAAATCTGTTGTTTATCAGTAACCAGTGTGGTGGTGAACCTTAAGTTGTAGTAGTAGTAGTAGTACTAATAGCGGTAGCAATAGAGCATTTAAACATTTACCTGCAAAAGGTTATTTTTGTAACATTTTGAAATATACATAGTAGGAACGCAGAATTCTAGTTAGCCTTATTTAACTTTCCTTATCAAAAAGTGGGTATAATATAGGCGTAGGACTTAAACTGTATGGTTTGTTTATGATACACATCTCACAGTTAAGCAGTACTTTTTACAGGAGGAGGTTTTCAACACAATTTATTTCTTTATTTATTTCTTCTTCACAGCTCTGAAATTTAGTTTTTCATACTCCGCGTTCTGCGAAGAGCGAGAAGACAATTTACGTTATGAACAAGCTAGTATGAAGTATGAATTTTATTCGGGTAGTTATTTGACTAGTGAATAAAAGCTAGGGGTTTCCATCTGCGAAAAATGCATGTTTCCATAAGTAAAAAAATCTGTTAAGAAGACTTAAGAGGAGCACTTTTCATCCCATTCCATTGAAAATCATCAGCTAGCACAAAGCCTTAACCGTCTTTTTCATTAAGCTCTCAAAAATGAGACTGATTTGAAAAATGGTCCAATTGCAAGAGATACGTACACCTGTCCTGACTATATAACCTATTGTTGTAGTGTAGCGGCAGAAGTCGAAGGACTTGTTAGAAACTGATATCTCTATATAGCCAAATTATGTACACCCTAACTTCAACTCACAATTTGCACAGACCTTCGTGTTGCGGTACTTCTTACCTTCAAATTGTGTATCTTTGTGTCCCTTTCACGTTTCCCATGTATCTGCACAATGCTGTTCCATTAACCATCTCAGACATCAAATGCATCTCCTTGATATTTGATGTTTTTATGCCGATGAACGTCTCTATATATACTATGGATAAATCTTATCAGTATCACACGCCACAGTAGGACTAATTTAATGCACTTCAGATAATCATATGCGACTAATAACACTAACTTCACAGAACGATTAGAAAAGTTTTAAATGAAATAAATAATAATCTGTTAACTTACAGTACCAAGTAGGATTTTGCTTTTACAGCATACTCCGCATATTCCACATAGTGATAACAGACAGATGAATAAACCAAACAGGAATATCGCTAAACCGTAAGCAGCTGGTTTAAAGCATTTGAAAGAGAATATGCAAAACAAAAAAAGGCACTATAATACCGAAATCCACATAATATGTAATATCTGGTGTCAAAATGTGAATAAATACACAGAATTCACTATTATCAGTGTGTTTTTTTCCTTCACGTTCCGCAGTGGAACATAGGGCTTCAAGCTAGTGGCTTGAAGTTTCTGTGGCAGTGTTTATTTTACAGCCTCATGCCCAACCTTTCCTCTTCACCATCATTATTTCTGGCTTAGCGAGTTAAAGGAGTGCGTCGGTGGTCGGGGATCGAACCCCGGACCATGTGCATGGTTGGCAAGCGTCCTAACCGCTATGCCACCGACGCGGCAAAATACTCATCCACATGCCGGAACCCGGGAACGAACTGGGGACAATTATCGGTGTAATGACCAATAAGTCGATTCAATAACAGGTTCTACAGATGTTCACTAGAGTATACCGTAAATGTTTAACATATCAAAGTCTAGCACATCAACCGTTCAGTGGTGCTTAATCAGGTTAGTTACTGCTCTACTGAATTTCCCAGTTAGACTACTTTATATATATGCAGTGTAATCATAGTAATAAATGATATTTTTGAACTAAAATTTACCTTTACTTACAAATGATAACTTGTGGAACGAAAACCTATAGAAATACAGAATTCGGTGGACAATTATCGGGTTTAGCGTCTCATGACTTCATACTGAAAAAAAAACGTATTGCTACCGACTATTCATAAATGACAGAGGTACATTGATATAAGTATAAAACTTGGGCACTGTGATAGAGTATAACTCCATTATGGATAAGATTTTATTTTGATAAATCACACAGTATTGTACAGTAATATTAACTGACGACGTTTCGAGCACAAATTATTGCTCACAATCATATCAAGTTACTCATACAACTTTTTCCCTTCATTTATGTACATGAGTAGAATCGACTAGATATTTGAATAAAAATCAATATGGGATAATGTACATTCAGAAATAATAATAAGACTGTTATTGATCAAATACAATTAGATGGGAAATAAAATGAGTGTCTTCATAGGCAAAATAGGTAACTTGTTAGAATGTTGTGATGTGCTTGAATTGAAATAGAATTTTGAGATTATTTATTATCCTCTTCTGATTTGACCGGTGGTAATAATATCTTCCATATTTCTGGTATTTGCATTGAGTCATTTCTGTTGTGTGTGTTGGGTGTAGACTCGATGAATAAGGATTCCGTAATCAACCTCTCGGTGCGTCGGTGGCGTAGTGGTTAGGACACTCGCCGACCATGCATATGGTCCGGGGTTCGATCCCCGGCCGACGCACTCCTTTACCTCGCTAAACCAGAAATAATGCTGGTCAAGAGGAAAGGTTGGGCATGAGGCTAGCAACCCCATCCTGTAAAATAAACACTGCCACAGAAACTTCAAGCCACTAGCTTGAAGCCCTATGTTCCACTGGGGGACGTGAAGGAAAAAAAAATCAACCTCTCTCTCCACTTACCTATATTACTTTTTAGAATTTTAACTCTATCCCACTCTATTGTGTGGTTGTTTGTTAATTCGTGAAGTGCAATAGCTGAGCTTTTTTCTAAATTACTTATCTTCTCTGGGTCAACCATTCTTACCTTAGCTAAATTCTTATGTCCTGATAATCTGACTATCCCTGACCCACTAGTTTGACCTATGTAGTTGACTTAACTCAGTCATTGCAGGATATTTTGTAAATTATATTATTTTGTTTAATTGGGTCCACCGGGTCTTTCAACCTACAAAGCTTGTCTCTGAGTGAGTTTGTAGGTTTAAATGCCACCCTAATTCCTGCTTTATTGAGAATCCTACGTAGGGCCTCAGATGTCCCCTCCTTATATGGTATAACAGTAGATGACTAATATTCTTTCTTATTTATGTTATCATTACTAGTTACTAGTACTTCCCATCTAATTTTAATGCATTAATAACACTAGTACTATTATTTCTGAATGTACATTATCTTACATTGAATTTTATTCCAATATCTAATCGATTCCACACATGTATATAAATTTTAAAAAAAAGGTTGTGTGAGTAACTTGATATGATTATGAGCAGTAATAATTTGTGCTCGAAACGTCATCAGTTAATATTACTGTACAACACTGTGTGATTTATCAAAATAAAATCTTATCCATAATGGAGTGACAGAGGTATACCGTGTACAGGAATTATCTCAACCAAATTAAAAGGATGCTAACACATAAATCCTCAAATATTAGTCGTCACATTGAGTACTGATGTTGACGGCATTTCCGTACTTGGATAAAAAGTCATGCATCGAATAACCTAAAAATGAAAGTCAAAATAACTTTCAGTGTTTCAGTGTCATCATAAATTATTCCTACTGGAATCCCTTCTAGATGAAAACGTATCTAAGAGAGAGAAGAAAACTTACCAAATAGAGTTATTTTTTCTTCCACCATCTGTTGAGCAGCTTCACGTGCGTTCGCATCATCGATCTCTTCAATAATTGCAGGAGTAATTCTTTCAACAATAAGTTTTTCATTCCATCTTATTAACGCACCGAAAACAACTAATCCTAAACCCACAAGCTGATGATAAAAATGAAACAGATGCAGTCAGTCAGAGAAATGAAGAAAGGTAAAAAAAAGAACCCAAGGGCACCGAAAAATTAATTATTTGAGAAGCTGACGACAATACCTTTCATTTCTGAATACTGTTCGTTACATGAGTGCTCACTGTTACACATACGATGTTGTTAAATAAAGTAAGTCACTTTTATTTATAGGGTTCGCTCGGGGTTATAAAATCATCCAAAAGAAGATATTTTTGGTTTGAACAATTGCAGTTGTTTGTCTAAATATTAAGGGACTTCATCAGTTAAATGTACTCTATTTCAACAAATAAGCATTTTCTCGTTGATACGTGGAAATCTACAAGTAATGTGTGACTGACGTCTTCTTAAGCGTTTTTGGATCTAATAACCATGAAATTAGATTAGCCATGTCCTATGCCCTCAGTGGATTTTGTGAGCGGAAACCATGAAGAAGACTTTAACTGTGCCGGGAAATTTCCACACCATTTAAAACTACATTCCACGTTAGTGTCTTCAGGTACACAGTAGAAAGTTTTTTAAAACTCCTGTGCTTAAAGGATCTTCTGAAAACTGGAAAACACTATAGGGAATAAATAAAAATTTTGTCATTTATCTTTTGAATTTCGACATGTAATCGCGGGCGTTGCTTTTTCGGAAAAAGCCAAGACAAAGCTTCAGGTGAAAATAGAAAATACAAAGGTAATAAGGATACCCAACCAACAGCTAACAGCAGTGGCAGAAATTTAAAAGAATTCGTCTCTTCCACATAGCAAGGCGGTATCCTTTCAACCACAGGCGGCAAGGACAGCGATGTCAAAGGTAGCCATTGGAGATCAGGAAAGCAAGACAGACTTCTATTACTCTGAAATCCGTGTGGAGATCTACAGCACTTATCAAACGATCAAGATCTGGACTACCTGTAACACTAATGTTAGTTCAGTCCTTCCATAGGGTTCGGAGACTTGGTTCACAAAAACTACTACCTTCACTTGATTTTGAAGATCAGAAGACCAACCAGAATGGACAAGGAATGAAGAACTTCGGGAACTAACCAATAAACAACCTGTTAATTAACAAACATGCAGACGTAAATGGAGATGAGTTGTACATACATTCAAAAGACCGTTGAGTGGCATCAGACACTAGGTCTTCAAGTGGAACCTGAATGCTAAATGACGAGTTGAGCGTCCAAGGGTGACATGGTTAGGGTGAATCATGAAGTCAGTTAAAAAGGGTAGCAGAGAACAGGGTGAAATGGAGATATACTTTTGCAGCCCTATGTTCAACTAGGAACCCGACGGAATAATACTAATAATTTTACTTCACTAATGTTCTAAAACCTATGTTGCACTGAATTAAATTAATCAAATGATGACCTGCTAATTGGTAAGTGGTAATCAGCTTCAGGATATTGGTTTTGGTGGGAACAATCACGATAATCAAGACATTCTCTACAAGATTAGGCCATCTGATACAATTATACAGCTAGTTAATAGAAGGTAGTAATAAGTTGGTGCTATCGAACTGTAATCCATTGATATTATTATCGACTCGATGTTATTTAAACTAATTCATTTACTATTATGTGTATATATAACTGTAGAACCTGATGATGAAGTCATCGAAAAGAATAATCTTTGTTCAGTAACCATTCTTCTTTTGAAAATATGAAATAATCAGAATTTTCAAAGATATCTGATACCTGAAAAGAATGGGTGAAGAAATCTACTAATAATTACCTAAGAAAAGTTGCTTGTGAAAAGGTCAAGTGATATAAATAAATACTGGCAATGTTAGTAGGAAGTTGGAAGGAAAGGGGTTTAAGGTAATTTTTCACATTCTGTAGTTTCATGTGGACTGCTACAGTAAAGAAAGAAAATGTGTGCGAATTTCTTCGGAACACACAGGTTTTGTTTATTCACATGTATTCTAATTACACCTGCTGTGTGTAAAGATCGGATGCGTATATCATTATTGAAAGATTTGTTCACCCATTCTTCTTAATTGCCATTACCTTATAAACTGTTGTTACTTCTATGGATTGACTATATATGGTTCCGTTAGATTTTCTTAAAACTGTCTTGGTTTTCTCCAAACTGTTTTCACCTGTCCCATACCATAAGAATGGCTACATCGTATCAAGTAACAACACATCAACAGTTGATTGGTGTGATTTCGATGCATCATATTTTGAGAAAGGCTTTATTAATATAGCATGGATTCTCTGACGGACTAACGCAAAAACAAATAACAAGTGATAACAACTGCTCAAGAGGCAGCTCCCATGGTGCCTGTGGTCCAGTGGATAATACCCTGGCATCAGGAATTATGGACGCAGGGTTCGAGTCTCAGTTGGCATACTATCACTCACTTGGAGTCCAGCTCACAAGTCCCTAACAGAAAGAAGTCCGCATGCTGGGTTCTAATGCTGATCACTGTCAAGTAAAATAGCATCACATTAATCCCCAAACATCGTCAGAGAGGAGAATCCGTACTAGGAGATGACATGCTAGCAGAGACCTGGCATTTTGGTTTAACATAGTCAGTTAGTGTGAAACACAGACTATCTGAGATTGTTGTTTTCTAAATGTTTAAATGAAGATTTTCAACTTATTAGCTTCATCAGTCTGTCTGACACTCTGGTACTTGCTGGACAATAGGGTAAGACTTGGTTAGCCATGAAAATGATTGTCGGTAGAGCAGAGATGGCAAACACATCTAAAAAGCTTCAGAAATGCATGCATGTTATTACCTTTATGCAGTTTTGCCGAAGCATAACACTGTGAAGAAAGCGATTTAGTGTTCCTAACCACACGCTAGGTCAAATGCACAGGGGTTAGACATACCGATTCAAATATCCCAGTCTAAATTGACACATCAGACTCTGTTACCAGCTTGACAAACTGACTATATGACCACTCGAGCTGGGATGATATCCACACACCACACCAGTAGTCCTTGTAGAAATAAATATGCTATGGTAATAGCAGAAGCAGAGGTAAGTCAGTCATCTTTTGCACGACTGATGTTTTCAGAAATAATTAACAACTTTAAGTCAAAGAAGGTAAAACCAAATGCTTCAGAATGTAAACACAACAAGGTGATGTATACCAGTAGAAAAATTATTAACTGACAAAACCGTTAATAGGAGAAAAAGTGTGAACAGCAAAACGGAAATACATGATACCAGTAGCTATTATTATGCTTATTATCGTAGTAATCATAATCGTGACAAGATGAATACTAAATAAATTATGACTGCATGCGGTTGACAATATTTACCTATAAATAAATGGTCCAGTGACTTACTGTCACTGTTACTGACTGGAAATTATTTTGTGAACACTTTTCGCCTTGATGGCTAAGCTGCATAAATCAATTTATGCATTGTATGTATGTGTATGCATACAAACATACTTATATACTTATACACTTACATGTGTTTGACTTGCAGATAAGCATACCTTGTTTATCAGAGCTTGTAATGAGATGAATAAACAAATAGTAACAACGCAGTAAACAAATTATTCTGCTTCCGTTTCTACTACTTACCTATCCAGAGCTATCTATGAAACAGAGAATAATGACACACACACACACACAATTGTTTATGAATGTCAAATACGCATTGAAGTAATCTGTAACTAGTCGAATGAATCCACTAACTGCAATTTACTTAACCTATCTCCAATTACGATAATGGTTCTTGAGTGAATATTTACGTAATCTTTTCTTTTGATGACTTTGATTTGCATATAGCATATTGGTTACTGTATACTTGATACTATACTTGACAACCCATCTGAAAATTTATCTCTTGTTTGCCAATAGTTTTAGAACTACTCACCTGAACAAATGGAAACGCCGACGAAATCTATAATCATGATGCTGATACTTCATTTTGGCTTGAGATTGTGAAGGCATTCACCTACGACTCTACCAGAGAATGAAGTCCGTTAACTATTCAGCAGGCACTCGACTGAAGTGTAATGAATTCTAAGCTCTGTCCGTCTGTAATACATATCCACCGTCAACTAATTCCATAGATTAACATCCACTACGCATTACACCTGGTAGACTCTATTAGCAGGGATTTCTCAACGCAACTTCAAGAAATTCATCTTTACACTACTAATGAGTTGAAAATTGATATTTAAAATATGATAAGCGACCAATAATAAATCATTAGGAAAAAAGACGATAGGATTTTATGCCCTTAATGGAAGTGTGCGTAAAATTCTTTTTATCGCTGAACTCAGCCCACTAGTGGAGAAGTCGAAGTTTTGCACACCAAACAGAAGCTGCCGTGTAACCTTCAGGTCGTGATTTATCTGTCCAAAAATATTCCAACGGATTACTAAAACCTGCAGGTATCCTCTTTTACCTGAAAATCATATATACATAATTAAGATCCATCATCGTTTGATTAGAACAATGTTTATATTTCATAACTAAACTGCCACATTACTTAAAAATCTGTTAAGTGAAACAAGGTGTTCAGTGAAATACTTGTCTGCAGAGGTTTTTTTCCCATAAGGATCACAAACTCCTGGTTAAACGAACTGAAAACTTGCCTCCAGGCATACAAAAAGAAGAGAACACAAAACTAGCGTTTTTTCAGCCGATATTTTGCAGAACATTTCCACTTAGGTAAGGTAGTGAGTTATTTGGCTCATGTAGAAGGTGTTAGACTAATAATAATTAAATGATATTCACTGGTGACATGTTTAACTAGCTAGAAGGTATTTCCTAGCATAATTTGAATTTGGTTTCTCAATTGGACGGTAAAACCCCTTATTGACTTATTTTCTTCAAGAATACAGCTTATTGGGTTCTCCACAGTACACCATTAGAAACTGAATGCAGTTAAGTTGTCCTACATTATATTTTTCTCAATCAAATGTCAGTTGTTTTCCCCTGAAAATGCGTAATTATCTTTTTGTTTACAAACTCATGCGGTTCGATATTTCATTTATTGAGCTGTTTACTTTGTTCAATTTGTCCTGAGTATTTATGATTTCTCCCGTTAGCTTTAGCTCTAGTAAAGTAAGTAAGCAGTTAAGATTTTAAACTGCCTTATTTACAATCAAAATCAATACAGATTTAAACGACTGGTACGTATACTGATCTGGTTCGCCTTATTTTAACTGATTTTGTACACCTGGTGTATTCATTCAATAATCTATGTTTATATCTACACACAAATGTTTAATTTGATATTATTGTTATTATTATTTTTTTTAAATAACTTTTTTAACTTATTTGCAAAGTTTTGATTTTGGTGTGAGAATGAACACTGTGAAAATAAACTAACAAGAGTGCTAATAACTTGTCTAGTTACGCCTTTATTAAATGTTCAAGTGGATCAGAACTAGCTAAGTACAACATACAGACATTATAAACAGCAGTCAGTATTAAATATTCATAACAAAAAAGCCCAAATAACTCTCGAAATCCCTTGATTGTGTGCATAATATAATTTCATCAACAAAAACTGTGAACTGTTAGACGATTGGAAGCAGTCAGCAAGAACGCTTGGACTTAGGTTTTGTTGTTGTTGGTGCTCGTCAACGAAGCGTATCTGCAATCTTCAAGGAACTCATGTCTCTTCTGGGATCTGAACTTGGGTCACCGAGTGCTGTAGTCAGAGAAGCTACCGATAAGCTATTCAAACCTGCAGTTGGGCTCCTGTAGAACTGTAATGGATGCTTCCATTGGACACTAGGTAGTAGTCAATGTCGTGCGTCTTGTCCTTCGTTTGGTTCAGACTGAATTCTGTCAGGCATGTTTGCAATGTTACTTGGCTGATAAAATTCAGTCTGCATTAAACAAAGGACCAGACATGACATTAATTACTTACTAACTAGTGTCCATCAAATCTGTGTATGGTGATGGGATAACTAATCAATGAATTGTTTCGAATATTATTTCTTCATTCCTTGATCTTTCTTTGAACTGATCGCATACACACAACTGACTTAACCGAAAACTGAGAGTTATTAATATTTAGAAAAGCAAATAAAAGTAAGTTTGTGGTGCATTCTCAAGTAGTTAAATTATGTTGAAGGCGACATTGACAATCAGTTTGATGAAAACTGCACTGTAAAATATAAAATAAAGAAATCATTTTTCCCCGAAAGTAAATTTGTTATAGTTTTATACTGTCCGGTAAAATGTTCTCCGACCAGCGGTGGTATTTCCAAGTTTGTGACTGATGTCGGTGACATATACAACTGTGGGAAAATATGTTCCAATGGAGTTTTAAAATATTCAAATTGGCTTACAGGAATGTGCTTTTGAAGGCTTGCATTTCCCTATTATTCAGCGTGCGCATGTCTACCACTGTACGCAAAATGTAAGTTAACATAATCTATTCTTCATCAAGTTTTCAATTTCAGCAAAAACACCACTATAATCCTTTGAATGCTCTTAAGGCGTTCTAGAAACACTGATATCGCTTGAACGACCTTTAACACAATACCTGGGAGCTATCAAAAGCGTTACAATGTCTTGGAAAATAAGGGTCAGCTTTACTACTACTTTAATTGTCAATACGCTGGTCAGCTAGAAGGACAAAAGTGTCATTTTAAGGTGTCAGATATGCTTCTGCTACCAAGTGTTGATGACAAGCAGTTAAATTAGCTGCCCCGAACATTATGCTTTCTAGTGGATTAGTAACCAGAATCTGTGTGGATTGAAAACTGGATTTTAATTTTACAGCTCTAAAACAAACCCATATGGACATGTACCTTTGTTGTCCATACCTCAACCTGAACTTTAAAACGTTACAAGAATACGATGCATATTTATTTTCCTGAACTGATGGTGTTTACCGGTATTCATCCTATTGTACAAAGATCATTTTGTCAGACTGGGGTCATGTTCAGAGCTTGAAAATAGAATTTCTATGTGTGGTTTCATACAGATACTCAACGGTGTTTTTTGTAATTAGTCGTTATCTGTAGAAAAAAGAACATTGAGAAAGTACGTCGCAAACTGTCGTGCTAACTTTACTCAAAAGCCCCATTGTGAATATTGCCTTATTGTACTTTAGCTTATTGTAAGTGACCTTAGACATGCTAACGTGATTCACTAGAAAATGTCATTTAATCCAAATCCAACTGGATATAATTCATTTCATTTTAACAATTCTCAAATCATGTGGTAAACACTAGTCGAATGCGATGATACCAATAAATAGACTTTTTTTTCAATTAATCAGATCCTCTTATTGAAATGAGATAGGCGGATTACTTTTGACCCTATAAATCACTAGCCTTGTTGAAAATCTACACTCATTTCCCAACAGTTCAAAACTTTGTCTAGTTAGGTTAATTTCCAAAAGGCAGATTCCATAACTATGAATTTAAAAAATGTTAAGAAAAGCCGGTAAAATGATAACCATTATGCCTGAACTGCTTGCAGTTACCGATTTTCATTAGAGCATAATAATTTTAGGATGAAGTATAAGACAATTATTACTCATATGATGATAATATAAACTGCCATGTTACTCGTAATTATGTTCATTACATGTAAATCAATGAATGGGAACAAGCAAAAAAGAAAGAGAAACGTACCACAAGTGGTATATTGAACAGTACTAAAATTGTACTTGAGATTACTTTACACATCCTGACCAGTAAGTAGGCTAGGTGGATCCTTTCAGTATATCTTAAAGAAGTTAATTCAAGAATACAATTCACAAAACTACTTTTCTCCGGCAAGTTTTGAAAATTAGCGAAATAACCAAAAGAAACAGTTTAACCAATAAAATGGAAGAACACTAATAGAATGTTTGATTTGCTACACAAAAATCTAAATGTGGGCAGTTTACAGATTGGCCAGAGAATTGACCAATTGAATAGCCGAAAATCCATCGATCTTAGACTTGTATGTGGTATATTTTAGAAATGTTTATCTTTTGTTGTTTCAATCGAAAGCCTAACGAGAATTTTTAAAATAGCAGGGAGGCAAAAGCGATGGTGGTTAGGCGGTTAAACATTCATTTAATTCAGAATGTCTTTATTGCCCCATGGAGATGTAAGAACCAGTACACATGAGTCTGTCGTGTCCTATTCAAAGCTAATTACTGACCACCTGAAATATAACTTATTTTGTACTGATTTTACACCGATTATCAGTGTTGAAAGTCACTGGAAACGTCAACTTGGTTTCCCATGTCACCCAATCAAAAGTACTAATGCGCTACATTTTTTGTGCATTATTAAATAATACATAAAATTACCTTAACAGTTGTCAGCACTTCTGAACGTCTACTATGACAACACTGATGCATCTCGGATCATTAGGAAAAAACAGTGAACGTCTTATGTCACACTGAAATTCGTCATCATAGCTTACACGCTTCTTTCGTAGAATATCTAGCCCTTCTGCTTACAGTTTATATTTGTGACTATAGAGTGTTGACCTTACCAAAAGTAAACTGACGTAAACCATCAATATTAGCCAGTAGCAAGACGTTCACTTGCAAACTGACATTCTTTGTATTCTCACTCAATCGATCAATTGGTATTAGTGGAAAAAGTATTGAGGGCTATGTGACAACAAAGCTAAAGTTCTACGATGCATCAGACATCAAGTCTTCCTGAAGGACAGATGACTTGTAATTGAAGTTTGACTATCAAACGGCAATTTAAATGTATACTTATGAGTGCCTCATCCAGGAACGAAATCAATTACAGACACGGAGAATCATTGTGCTTGGTGCAGATACGTGCTCTCGATAATGTGTAGATAAAATCATGGTCTTATAATAAGTGCTGTACTGTTTGAAAAAGTGAAACACTGTGGAGATGAAGAATCACAAAACTTATGGTTTATTTATTTATTTATGGAAAAACAGTCAGCCAAAACACTTTAATTCTGACTTACGGACTGACAAAACTCATCAGATGAAAGTCAAGCATCTTTTTTCTTAGTCTCTACAGTTTCTGAATATGATTATCATGGAAAGTGACACTAAATATATATTTTTTATTATCACTTAACATAAAGTCTACCTTGATATACAAATTAGTGTTTCAATAAATACCGTCACCATGGATAATGTGATATTGTTGCGTCCCATTCAGTACTTACAGTTAGTTCGCTCGTTCTGTCTACCTACTAAATCAATTTCCAAGTCAAATATGAAATTTATGCACCGGCATATACAATATGTTTTTTGAGGAAACTTTAAATCAGAGATCACTGATTCTTACATGGTTCTATTGAGAACAGTTGACAAACATCCACAAAAATGAGTTAAAAGCATTCCGATGCCGACCAGTAAAATATCTTTATGCACATTTCAGTTAATCATGAATGGTAGCTTACTAACAATTACAAGTATTTTCAAACAGAAGTGTTTTATTTCATTCCTTTATTTCTGTGAAGGTAAACTCTGATTGGAGACTAGTAACTAATGTGATGTGTCTAGTCCTTTCTTTGGTGAAGACTGAATTCTATCAATCAGGTATTTGCAATGTAGCCACCATTCTAGGTAGCTCGCTATCACGGTGCACATTGATTTGATGATATTAGATAGTTGGAGGCAATCGGCAGGAAGCCTTGGACCTAGATTTCGTGCTAGTTGGCACTCATCGGCAAGGCGTATCTGCAGCCTTGAAGGAACTCATGTCCTTTCTGAGATTCTAACCGGCGTCCTTCAGTGTTGCAGTCAAATCAATGTACACCGTGATGGCGAGCTACCTAGAATGTTGGCCACATTGCAAATACCTGATTGATAGAATTCAGTCTTCACCAAAGAAAGGACTAAACACGTCACACTAGTTACTAGTGTCCAATCAAAATACCCACTACAGTCCTACATGAGGTCAATCGCGAGCCCAAATAGCTCAGTGTTAACGTCTCTGAATGCAGCACTGGATGACGCGGGTTCGAATCTCAGAAGGGACATGAGTTCCTTCAAGGCTGCAGATATGCCTTGCTGAGAAGTGCCAACTAGCACGAAACCTTGGTCCAAGGCTTCCTGCCTATTGCCTCCAACTATCTAATATCATCAAATCAATGTTTTATTTAATTACTTTATTTTTTAGCTTAGCAAACAGGGTTTTGTATACTGGGGGTGGATATTTTTCATTTGGCACCAATTACTGAAGAAATCTTTAGTGCATTGTGTTGCAAACTGTTTGCACATCAATGCACATGTGAATGTTTGAATACTGATGTCACGAACGACATATCGAAGGTATCAATTTACAAAAATAACAACAGAAGGCAAGACACGGAAGTCAGAGTATATTTTCAAGCTATCAAACCGCTATTTATATCTGTACAGTTTATATTCGTCAACCAACCACTGAGCGTGTGATTTTGGTTTACATTAAACGACAATAAATAGAATATTCAAATATACTTGGTATTTTGTTGGTAACGCAGTAGTGAACTGTGAGAATAATATTTTGACCCTAGCAACAAACAGATTGTTCAAATAGATATTTCGTATTCTGTTGCTAATGTCTTATTGAACTGTGTGAATATGTGAGAATCATGTTCCGATGGAACGCATTGTCTGTATCACACCACCACACTACTGCATACTTTAATTTGTACTGGTGGATTTTGTTAGGCTTTACTTTCTGACGGATAGAAATGGTCAGTTTCAAGAAGAACTGGTATAATACTGAATTTTTTGAACCAACTGTTTACACAACACAAGTAAGAATTATATGAGCTTGGATAGCATAATTCGCTCATCTACTGCAGATTACTCAAGCTCATTTGACAATTTTCTTACATTTATATCAGATAAATTTTCACGATACTTTCTAAACAAAATGCTCTCTTCCCAGTATATTATTGTGATCAAGTAGTAGCCTGTAGTTTTAATTCTAATGAGGATAACAACATTTCGGTACAACATTTTGGGATAATGTCGAAATCTTAAACAGAGGGAACACCAAAAGTGCCAGGGAATTCCTAGAAGCCTGGTACTCAAACGAATATGCAATTAACAAACACGTTAATATAGACGAAATATACCTACTAACAAAAAGTAAATCAGGTGACCAGAAAGTTTGAAATCCAAGTCAATAGAAATGATCAATACATATGTAAAGATGGTTACCGGGAGACGCAATTCTATCACTCATGGAAAATCAGTTCAGTTCATGCTAAAAATTGCGCTGAAGATGTTGTCCAGAAGGACGACGAAAGCTTCGCAACAAAATCAACCAGCTCAGAGAACACTATTAATTGCAAATCATCCACCTAAGCTACAAATCTTCTCTATTATTTTGGTACACTATAGTGAATGACCTAAAACAAAGCCTTTCGTCTTCTAAATGTATAAATGGGGATCTGTTTACAACAGTACCTCGGAGAGTACAAAAGAAAATATTTATAGGTAGTCGGAAACGTAAAGTCCGTAGGACGTTCAGCCCTACTCCTAAGTTATGGTGTAGATATGGGGGGTGACACACTAACAGTGCTGAAATATGAATATACCTCTAAGTTCTTCACATATATACACTCAGTAGTACATGGAATCCAATTCATTTTCGAGTTAGAAAACTAAAAGAGTGAGTAAGCTGTGCAACGCAGTAAAATCAAACTAAAAGACTATTGTGGGTTAGATACCAACATCTATAGATATCCGTCGCATTCTAATAAGTGCTTTGACTTTGATTCATTCCACCGAAAATAGAGGAAGCTGGTTTTAGTTAACTGTTTATGTAATCGAGCCTGGAGCCTGACTAATAAGTTAAGAGATTTATATAATGAAATCAGACAAATTAGGAAAATATTACCACCACCAACCAGATTTTATTCGAAAATTTCTGAAGACCGATGAGAAAAATAAGATTAATGATGGAAATGATGGAAATAACAAATAATAGGCAATTCAAAGACACAATAGTTACTGTGACATAAAGAAGGGAAATCAGAGGCCCTACCTAGGATTCTTGAAGGCGAGGAACACATTCATCAACCTGAAACCAATCTGGAAATCTTCGTCACTCAGCCTGGATCAACAACAAAATTCGGATTTTCAATACAAACGTCAAGTCAGTTAGTTCTTGTATACGGATCAGAAACTTAGCGGGTCACAAAGAATATTTCCGACAGCCTGTTGCAGACCTTTATCAACAACTGTCTTCCCTCTATACTGAAGATCAGATGGCCGGAAAGGATCACCAACAAGAAACTATGGGAACAAACAAAACAAGAACCAATCGCTCAACAAATATGCAGGAGAAAGTGGAGATGGATTGGACACTCTCTGATGAGGCGGCTGGGTGACATCGCTCGTCAGGCCATAGCTCGAGTGGAACCCGAAAGGGAAGCGGCGAGTGGGACGTCAGTGCAAGGGTGACATGGAGGAGATCGTGTGAAGAGGAGTTGAAACAGTATGGACTAACATGGATGCAGGTGAAAAGTACAGCAGAAGACAGAAGCAAATGGAGGCGTGCAGTAGAAGCCCTATGTTCCACTAGGAACCCAAGGAAACAATAATAATAATATAATACCTAGGATTCCTAATAAGGCCGGAATTCGGGTTACGCCTAAGCCAACCAACTCACTCAGAAACCAACTTTACTGGCTTAGGAACCCTGTTAAGAAAGATAATATAACTTATGAAATAACGTATAATTACTGTGGGATCAATTACATAGATCATGCTACTAGGTCGATGTAAATTAGATAATGGGAAAAATAAGAACTTAGCTAGAGCTAGAATGGCTGACAATGATAAGTTAAGTAATCTAGAAAAGA